TTTGGCCTATCTCACGGCACGACATCGGAGTCATATCCATATCAATCGGTTGGTGCCGGGATATACTCTTTCAATGATGGAATCAATACTGGCCCTCCCTCCCACCATTTTGAAATGTTTAAATGGCTTAAGCTCCACTTAAAATAGCCGGCACGCTGAGCCACAGCGGCTGCATGCCAACGACTACATGGTTAGTTATCGGTGCACATGTCTATGCATTTCAAGAGCCCAAAGAGCCCAGATGTAGGTCACGCACTTTTTGGCAGCCTGATAATCGCCTCAGGCAGAGCGTATAAGAGTCTAGAGCAGGATGGCACACTCCTTCAAGTGAGCTTGCCAGCTGTGATGTGATGCCCAACCCGCCCGACCTGTTTGAAGCTGGCTAGTGTCGCGGGTTGGTCATCGCCTTCTCTGGTCAATTCCAAGCTGGGATTGAGCAGAGAAGGCAAATTTTTCGTGAAACCGTGGAGGCTGACGGCAGGAGCATTGCGGCATCGGCCCCTTGAGTCTGCGCGACTTCAATCGACTTCATCTCATCTCTGGTTCGGGTCATTTGGGGTTGGAACGCAATGCTGTGCCCAAAGTTGCCCTGCTACGAGCTCGGAAAAACAGGGCAACTCAAGCTCCTGGGATAGTGTATTCCGATTCAAAAGCATCAGAGGACCCCCAGCCTGAGCGGGACTGAGGTGGGTTACCCTGCGTTGCAACCAACGCGCAGTCGCCTGGGACTTGCAGGACTGGCCCCTTTGCCCCCCGCTGCCCCCTCTCTGCCCCTCTGGACTTCTTGCTTTGCAGACGACTGCTAGCGCTCCAGTGGTGCACGTTCACTAGGTGACAGGGTCTACCGCGAGTCCGTGGGCCAAGTCTTGGACCATGCTGCTGGACCCTCTTTCTGGCACATGATTTACCATACATTCTTCCACATTCTTCCGCAGCATTCTATCTTTACATCATTCTCGGCCCACTTTTGCAAGCAGGCATGCATGGGGCTTCTGGTAGGAAGCTAAAAATTGAGTGGGAAACAGCTGCTCAGATCTGGCCTGACCTCAGCAAGGTGAAAAGAAGGCACAAGCCCCGAAGCTTTGAACTAAACAGGCCTAGTCTTGAGGGAGTTTGAGGTACTGAGACGTGAAGGTTTGAGGCCTTCCCCTGCAATCCAAAGAGGTGCAAAATGCTTTCATGCGCTGCCTTCGGCATCTTGAGATGGAGTGTTGAACTGGGCCCGAAGGGTCAGGGAATCCGACGTCACCGTCACATGAGAACTACATCCCATGTCTTGTGTGCGCAAAGACACGGACGAAACAAAAGACAAATCCCCCCGCCTGTGACAATCTAGAATGCTGCCGTCACAGCTTGGCTGTGGCCAAAAGCTCGGTTACACCGTCAAGCTCTGAGCATGAGCCAACGACCCAGACTACGAGTAGCACACAAGCCAACAAAACTTCAACTCAGGCTGAGCTCTCCACCACATCTGAAGTTCGAGGTTTTGGAAGGTGCTCCACCTAAGCAGCAGCTTTTCCACTTCTCTGCATGAGGAACCCGGAGAGTAGCGAGTTGAAGCCTGCTCCTTCCCTTCCTTCCCTGAGCACACCCAGCGTGCGGCAGAAGCAACTATCTTGCTGGAATCTTCTTGGAGGTGACCAGTAGGCTTTGAGGGCCGTGATTTTTTGAGAGAGAAGCGACTGCGCTGCCTACCGCGCTGCGGCTGCGACTTTTCCGGAAGCGGGGGCGGTGGAAGCACCGGAAACTCTAAGCTCTAAATCTACAGCCAACGGCCAGTGGTCAGAAGGCCACGAGCAGCCGACCAGCGAGGGAAGCGGACCTACCTTCACATTGCCGGAGCCAAGAGCTGTTCCCCGAGATATCCCACACACATTCATGGGTGCCAAGGATGGCGGACAGCAAGTCTACGATACCTCTTTGACAAAGACTTGGACCCGTTCTATCCTCTTTGACCATGCTAGAATGCGCCTGAAGATGGCGTCCCTGGAAGCTGTGTCTTCTCCGGCAAGCAATGGTTGACATGGTTTAAGGTTTGTTGGGCCGGATTGACTTGAATGCGCTTGCTCTCTGCTTCTTCAATGCCCACTTCAGAACTTCATGTGCTCCTCGCACCACTAACGGCTATGTGCGGCTGCGGCCGTGTTTCCTGACAACTAGCCGTGTCAAGCGCCAACGCTCGATGAATGGCAGCGATGGCGATGAGTGCAACATTTATATTTATTTGGAGCTTTCAACCGGAGAGCATGAACAAGCTACTGCTTGCTACGTCCCGAAGTTTTCCAAGTGCGCTTGCCTGTCAGAAGCCATTCTTAGCTATGGGCCACAAGGCCACAAGGTTCCTTGGGATGCTCCTCAAAACATGTGACGCCAAAACTGTTGTTCCGCCATCCTCTCCTCCCAGCACACAATGTGTTTAGCTGTGTTGTTGCTTCGAGGGCGGGGGGGGGGGGACTGTGCTCATTTCTGCTCCTCTGCCGTTGCTCTGGCCTTGCCTCGTTCAGTTAAAAGCTTCTGAATGGGATTGTGATCTGACACTGTCCTCTGTTCCCGTGTGAGGCTGCCCCCACTGCCAATCTTTGGCTCCGAGATTTCATTACTACGGGGACACGAATAGCTCATATGGGCTGACCTCTCCCAACAAGCTCGTAGTGGCAACCTGTTGCAACCCGTGACTGCCCTGCCAAGGGCCTCAGGTGATCCTAACTCTGCCCACTTTGGCAGCCGCAGTCGACGGAGGCGACTCTTCTGGAAGCCTGGGCCTTGCAAAGGAAGCGCAGCTCAGAGACTCTCAGCGCTCAAGAATCCTAAGACCCTGCAGTGACCCTCGGCTCGACCTCTGCTTTTCATTGCTTTAAGGCTATCCAGTTGTTTGAGGGTCATTTGCGCGAAGCGGCTGCAGGCACCTACTGCAAAGCGATTCCCAGGCCGAAAGCTCAACAAACAGATGGGGTCTCGGCTCAGCCAGATGTAGTCAATACAGCCGTGAAAACCTTGAGTTCAGCGCGCAGTCCGCTCAGAAAACCTACCAACAATCAGATGGTCCGCATGCTCGAGCGCGTTAGCAGAATTTGATTCGCCTCGCCCAGTCGGGGCAACAAATGCCATATTCGATGGCTTCGCTACAAGCATACAACTGGCGGCTGGCCAAAACTCGCTCTGCTGCAGCCAAATACTGCATGAAACCCAGCTTGCACACACAGCGCCTGAGGGTCCGTCCATACTTCGAGTTGGTGAGCACTTTGTCACGCACGTCTGCCGAACTTTGCGGCTCGAGATCCTTCCGAGGCTGCAGGGATATCTGGCACCGAGGTCGAAGCCATGGGCAGCTCATGAAACGATGGTCCCGAGTGGTAACCCTGCGTATAAGGCTCTGTATGATAATGAAACCCCACACGAAAGGTTGGAGAACTGCCCTGCAGTAATGGCTGAAAACAGCTTCCGTCCTCGTAAGCAGACTTCAGCTGCCAATGCTGTTCCAGTCCTGGCACAGCAAGTCTTGGATCTAAGAAGATCTCCCTGATCTCACGGCCTGCCAATGGAAGCACAAATCCTTGCAAAGGCCAGCTCCGTGTTGCTCTTTCCACATCGCACATGACATAATTGCACAATTCGTTTGCTCAGGGTCTTCCGACTGTAATATAGTGAAATATGTCATGCGAGCTCTGGCTGCGCAAACAACTGTAGACAGCGTGACGGCCACCACCATCTCGCAGGAAACGCTCTGCAGAGTCAGGCATGTCCTGCGAAGTGAAAGATGACCAGAAAGGTGACGGGTGTCGTACTGGCAGTTTTAACATACGTCATGGCATGGCTTGTCAGTCGAGCACATGATTTGGCTTGAGAAGACTTGAAGACTCGTTGCGCGGCCCACACCCCTGAGCAGTCCTCTCCAGCAGGGGCGCTGGTGTCTGCAGGTCGGCTTTATTCTTATTTCTATCAAATTTGAACAGCACTGACATCATTGAGGCTGGCAGCAAAGACCCGGCCTGTCTGGCGCAGCTTCTCTACCAGCTCCACAAGCCTATCAACCTTCCAGGCCGGCGTTCCAGTGGTTAAACATTCGCCACACAGCGAACTCGCCGTTGACGGCCCTTGGCCTGTTGCCGTGCTCGCGCTGATGCACTTCCATGGTCCTGGCAGGGCCATGCACAAGGATTGTGAGCCATACTGCCATGTCTTAGCATGCATCCCTTGCTCCCGGTAGCTGCAACTTACAGTGTATTCACTCTACCAATGAACATCGCGGGCGGTCCTGCGAGAACCAATAGACTTGTCCGCACAGGCTACCTCGAAGCTGGCGAACACGGCAAGTCAAGGAGGTGGTCTCGAACTTGAATGCTTCAATAGCCCATGCTCCCCCATGCACCCCGCCCCCCCTCATTTGCAACAGTGGCACATGTGAACAAAGGAATTGCTGGGTCTGTTGGAGCGCCGAATGCCATTGCCCGGTCATGCTCCTCACACGTTGTTTCGATGTCAAGCAGTGTGTTGCATATGAGCGACATAAGGCACTAACTTGGGATGTGATCAAGTTTCTTCCTTCGGCAACATGTTGCATCTTGAACTGTCTTAAACGCTTCATCAAGCTGCAAACCTTCCTCACCTCTCTCTGCTTCATGTTGGCCAATGGTTTATTCCTTTCTTACTCTCTCTTGAACTCATTCCTGGTTGCATTCCTGCAGTTCAGGCTCGGAGGCAGTATGTGGGTCAGCTGGCCGTGCACTGTAGCAAGTGCCACTCAACATCGCTAGCAGTTCGCTGAGGTTCCACGAACTCTCGCAGACATAACATTCTCATCTTCAAGACTCAAAACCATATCGGCTGATGCCGGATGCTAAGCTCTGAAAGTCTGAACCTGATTCAATCTATGAGCTCATGTGCCACGACACCTTCTCGGTGTTGGCAAGTGGGCAGACCCGCCCGTTGCATTTCACGCAGCGGGTGAAGAAACGGTCAGGGTTGATTTCCACAGAAAGATCCTCAGCTGTTACACTGCAAGTCATTCGGAGAAGGACGAAGCCTGGCTTGCCGAAATCAGACCATCCATGCGAGCTTACAGACTCACGGCAAGCTCTAAATTGCACTCTCCAAAAACCTGCAACAGTTTGAACATGGACAGTGGCCGTAGGCCATCAGTCCCGAGTCCCAAGTATTTGCTGAAAGTTGCGAGGCACAGCCGCGCCAAAGCTTTGTCGAAACAGCGGGCATCAAGGAAGTATGCCAAGGCCTTGGTTGCAGGGTTCTAATGCTCCAATACTATTCGAAGGTGTAAGAGTCAGCCGCTCGGACTGCTCTCCACATTCGAGACTGCTCCAGGCACGCGCGCACGCGCACGCGCACGTGCACACGCCCTTTGCGAGGTGCTACATCAAGTTTTGCGAGGTGTTACATCAAGGTGTTGGTTGGTGGCATGCTCGGGCGTGGCTGGAGTCTGCGGATCTCGACTGCAGATGCTTGGCCTTGTCGTATTCATCCCAATACGCGCTCATATGATAGATTCCGTAGGCATTCCGTGGTCCACATTATGCTCCCGTCATAGTTCCAAGCACGGCTTGGTCCTTGAAATGTTCGACGTGATGGCCGTGATGGGACCTGCCAATTGGCCTCACATCGCTTGGGTGTGGTCCGCTTTGCACGTCTGTTTACAGGGGATGCGCACCGGTGGATGTGCGTGATGTGGTCCAAGTGCAGTGTTTGGGGTCTACGGTGGCGAGAACTGTAGCTACGCAGAAAGATGAAGGAGTGAGAAAGGCTGGGGTGTCGACGGCGTCAGCACGTGCAACCAGCCTGTGTCGGGTCAACTAGCATCAAGGAATCTTAAATGATTCTTCATGCTCTGCCAGCACCTGAAGGCCGCCCCCCCTCGAAAAACAACTCCCCTTCGTTGCGCCTCTTCGAAGCCGACACCAGCACACGGTCTTCGCGTGCAGCACGGGCTACGACAGGCACTTTGGCCTGAGAGGCTCCGCAGTGTATGCCAGAGAACGCAAGAAACCTGCGCTCACCTTTCGTTTATCGAAGATCCCATGCCTCCCTTGAATCCCATGATGCGAGTACAGCCTATGATATTCACTGTCTGAGTGTCTGAGGCAAGAACCAGTCGCAGGCCTTGGGCGCCCTCTGGACGCTCCTGCCAGCATCTTCTGAAAGACAACACAAGTAAAGAGGCGTTCTGAATGTTCTGAAGCTCTCCTCGCGTTCTGGCTCTTTCTCCACCATGACATCCAAGCCTCCATCCAGGTGGCGGTTCAAGGTCCAGAGGATCCCTGTTGCAGACTTGCGACCACGTGCGACGAGGTGCCCAAGAGTCGCAAGGGCTTGGCGGCCTGAGGTCAAAGAGTTCCACTCCGGACGCTTGCCAGGCACCCAAGCAAAGCATGCAAAGCAAAAGCAAATTCACAAGACATTGCAAGACAAAGAAAAGACATCCGCATGACGGTCAACAAACAACAGCTGGCTCAGAGGCTCGAAGCCTTCGAGATGTCACGATCTACCAGAAAGCGCTCCACCTGTCTCAATGCAGCCACTATGCAGCCACTTCAAAACCATGTAGCGAAACAGGCATCTCTCGACTACTGATGCTTCGTTGCACTTCCGCTGCCTAAAGCCTCAACTTTAACATGCTTTAAACATGAAAGATTGGCTATCTTGACTGTCACGGGTCCAGCAGGCAGCAAGCCTTGCGGAACTTGCGAGGAACCTTGCGCAGGGTCCGACTCCAAAATCGCGGCAGGCCATTAAAGTGCGACTGCTGAATGCTGCGCAACTGAGTCAACAGCCTAGCTGGAGTCTCCACTCGCATCATAAAGACGAATGACGAATCTCGAGTACTATTGAGTACTGCAGGAGACTGGAAAGGCCTCCACTGCACCGTTGCGTAGCAATTGGCAGCCCAAGCCCCAAGGGTGTGAGTTCAAATCTCCACCTGCAGAGTCGCAAGAGCTTTTTTTGAGTTGGCTGTCCAAGAATCCGCACACATTGGCATTTCCTGGGAGCAATCATGTGGCAGCTGAGTGGCACAGCGCCAGGGGCTTCGAGGTTCCGAAGCTTTGGGCCGCTGCCTCCAGAAGGGATGCCAGCCTCGGCATTGCAACACCAGTCGGATTAGGTTTTAAACGCATTTGAAGACTCGGACTTGGGATCAAGAAGGTGGGATCGGATGCGGGCCAGCATGAAGTGTGCTGGGCTGGCTAGACATGGCAAGGTGATGCTAAGTCGCTGGGAGAAGCGAAGAACGGATATCTTTTCGGTTTGCATCTCTCATGCTACTCCGCCGAGGATCTTGAAGCGTTTCGGGGTTCTTGGAGTTGGGGAAGCGTGAGCTGCGTTCAAGCATTGCAGGGCTTTCTCAACTCTCAACTTTCGAGAAGCGCAATCTGCTTCCTGATGTCGGCTACGGTGGGCGAGCAGTAGCACTAGCAACCACTAGTGAACTTAAGGTCACTCCGCTCGAGCACCTGCCACAACACTACTGCTGCATTTGTTGCGCCCCATGAACGCCATGAACATGGGCAAATTCGTCCGTCGAGTTGCTGCCATGCCCTGACGTCGTCATGCTCACTGCCCCAATAGAGATGGGTCGTGGCGATGAGGAAAGAAACATTTTCCTGCACATCTTCCTCAGTGGGGGCTTCTGCTCAGAAAGGCTGATGCAATGTGGGCGAAGACCCTAAACCCTAAACCCTAAACCCTAAACCCTAAACTAACCCTAAACCCTAAACCCTAAACTAACCCTAAACCCTAAACCCTAAACCCTAAACTAACCCTAAACCCTGGCGGGTCCACAACAGACCCGCGCAAAACTGTGGCCCCACCAGCAAACCTGACATGCAGGACTTAGGTCACAGCCTCTAGTGTTGAGAAATGACGCCTTTCTGCTCCCTCGTGCGCCTAAAAGCAAGAACTTCCAGCCATTTCTGCCCAGAAGGTTTAACCTTCTCGGAACGGATTAGACGATGTAGACCATGGACGTCATCATGCTTGGGCCCTGGATGCGCTCTTCTCATCAGAGCAGAATAGACCATGGACGTCATCATGCTTGGGCCCTGGATGCTCTCTTCCCAGAACGGAGTGGACCATGGACGTCATCATTGTTAGGCCATGGCAATGCAGAAAACATGTTCATGCTTGGGCCATGGATGCTCTCTTCTCATCAGAACAGAGTAGACCATGGACGTCATCATGCTTGGGCCATGGATGCTCTCTTCCCAGAACGGATTAGACTATGGACGTCATCGTGGTTGGGCCATGGACCGGATGCTCTCTTCTAACTATGGTGAAGCAAACGTGTTATTTAGACCCAGGGCTGGGCAGAAGCGGATGCAAGCAAGACAGGGCTTAGTTTAGGACACGTCGAAAGTGCGAAGTAGTGCAAAAACACGCCACAAATACCAGTGTAGTCTACGGATGCCAAAAAAATTGCACGATGATTTTAGATAAAAATTGCGGGGATGAGGTGATGGGCGAAACCCAGGAAACATCGGTGATTACAAGGGATTCTGAGGGCAACAGAGCTAAACTGCCGAAAAGCGTGGGTCTGTTCTGGCCCCGCCTAGCCCTAAATGCTGCAGTGCGTGCCAAGGTTCCAGCTCGACGACCAAAGCCTCAAAGCTCTGCGTGAGAACATCAAGGACGACCCATACACTGCCATAGCATTGCAATTAGCATACATTGCGAAACGTTGGTCAACAACGCAACAAAGGAAGATGTTTGCTGTTCTTCAGCCCTTCGGACGAGGACTGAATTAAGTCGGGCAACAACATTCCGCCGCGCAAATCTTGCAATCCTCGGCTGCTGTAGGCAGATCTGCTTTACGCAGACCAGCTTGCTGCAACTTCAGCACGGTCCCCAAGATGTACTGGGATGTCAGGAGAGACAGGCATGAGACAGGCATGAGACAGGCGGCACAGCTGGGGGAAGTGAGTCTTCGAGCAGCGAGTCAAAGTCGACCACGAGGTGCTGCCGGCACCTCTCGTGCCGGCTATGCTACGCTGTGCTACGCGACGACCAGTGCAGCCAACTGAGGCTCCGGATTCGGACTTTCATGACTTTTCAGAATCAACTCCCAGTGTCTTTGACCAAGAGATCCTGAGAGCCTGGAATTGCAGATCGCCACTGCACATTCTCCGAGCAAGCTGCCGACCTGAACTTTGTCCGGCGAAATGCGACGAGGCATCCGTCTGCACGTGCGGGCCTCTGAGCCTCAGCCAGGGAGAACTGGCTTTGATGCAGAGGCTCATGATGCCAAACCACACCAAGGCCAACTGAACGGCCGCCACCACAACCACAACAGCAACAGGGGCACAACAGCACTCACGTGATTTTTTGCAAAACTACATGACACGGTACGCAGGCGATTCTGGCTGTGGTGATTGGTCCACATTGGCTTGCGAATCTCGCGCTTGAGCTGGCTAGTTGTTTGATGCTCATTCCACCCAGAGCGACTTGTTTCGAGTCCTGCGGGTTGAAGTGACGGTTGGATTGCAGATGATTGCAGGGTACGCGATCCCACCCCCCTTCCCCCCGGCAAAGGCCACCCGGAGAGTCCTCGAAAAACATTCCAATCCACTACATGCTGAACATCTGATCACCAGGCAGCAAACACCACCTCATAGTCCAAGCCTGGCACACGGTCTTGCCGAAGCGTCATCAAGAATATGGCTTCCCATTGGGTGTGGCATTTACTCGCCCAAGGCAAACCAACCCAAGAGAGAAGAGGATGACAATGGATGACAGTCCACCTATGCTGAAATTGCCATGAGAACTCGCCTTCCAGGAGCGGCTGCCAATGAAGCGCTTCAACCTCCTGGCAGCTCAGCCAAGATTTCAAGCACCGGGCCGCTAGGCCCGGGCCAAAATGAGCCCTAAATTGCAAGCCAACATCCCAGCCCAGTCCTGAAGGCAAAGTACATCGGCACCGATGTCCACCAGTGCATCTCTCCTTGCGGGCTGCCAACCCTCTATGTCTGGAGCTGATCTGATGGAACTGAGTCTGAGTGGCACGACGCCCCTTCGGCCCCTTTCACGAGCTGCTAGGCACAAGGCTCGCAAGCTGCAAGCAAAAACAGTCTGTTGAGCGGAGTCACAACAGTGGAAGTCTGTGCCCAAATTTCAGCCATTCCTGCCACAAAATGCGCCAAAGACGTTCGAAACGGTGTATGTGAAACATGAGAGACGAGTGACATGATATCCCATCCTCACAGCGTGAGCCCTTTGGAGCCCTCCCCTAGCATGTGGATTCCACATCGCTCAACCTCAGATACCTCAGGATGCCTTACAGTCTTGGGCAAGCTGCGGGCTTCACATCGGGGAAGGACTTCTGAAGAGAGTAGCTTTGCGCAAGGACCTCGAGAGATCCGACAAAACTGACATGGGCATCCTCATCAGTGCCACACAGTGCCACACAGAGCCGCACAGCGCTCGTTCGTCCACTTCCTGCAGCAGCGTTGCGTTCCAACTGGCCAACCGTAGTCTCTTCTCAGTGCCCTGGGCCTCAGGGGACGTCGACATCGACTACGGATGTTTGGATCGTGAAAGTGGCAGAACGCAAGCTTCTGTGATTCTTGCTATTCAAAGCACAGTAACAAGCAGCATGACTGAGCAGCTAAGGGCACTTCTGCGGGATCCTGCTGGTCGAAGACTCTTCGACTCTAGATGCTCTATATACTACCCAGGCAGCGACATGCTACACTATAGCGAAGATGCTTTGCGCGGGAGAGTCACATAAACGTGCTACCTCCAGACCTGCGTATCCAAGAGCTTACTCGGGCATGGTCATGGAGCCTGCACGCCCAGGATGGACTGGAAGTCGAAAGGCAGAGGCCTGTGAAATGCTCATGCTGTCGCATCTGGGAGGGGGAGGCGAGGGGGAGACAAATCTGCAAATTGCACATGTGACATGGACAGGACTGACACGAAGTATCAAGGAAGATGATCAGGCAACAACCTTGCCTCCGCTTCACCTCACTTGCCCCGGCTTGCCTTGTCGGGGTGACGCGGCTATCCGGCTTTCGTAGCAGCAGCGGCTCGGCATCTTAGGGTTCGAGTGTCTGCTTACAGCCGGAACGTGCCTGGACCCAGCTGTCATAGTTGCACTCTACTGGCCAATGCGCTCCAAGTATCCGAAAGCTCTGCCCAAGCCAAGCCAGCGAAGGTCCGCGCTGTCCATGGACGGCTGAGTTGGGTCAAGGCTCTTCGCAGAGAAAGGCTTTGTTTCCGAGCATAAGTTCGGTTGTTGAGGGCTGTTGTGTTCTTCACTAACTCTGGTTTCAAACGCGGGAGACTCTCATTGTCATGTGCCGCCTGGGTTGCTCGTCTACCATCCGAGCTGAAATGCTGCAGGTTGTACATCAGAAGTCGGATTCAACAATGACTCAGGTGACTAAGGCTGCAGAGCCATCACATAACCATATGCATCGACATGACTGCTGTCACAGATACCCTGCTGCCATCGCGATAAAGATCTGAAATCCTAGCCTAAGACTCCCTCACATCATCTCATCCTCTGTCATTCTGTGCTGATTCTGTGTGCCGTACTTCTCACGCTATGTGGCAGCACCTGAGCCAGGATCTCGCATTCTGAGATAAGGACCCTGAGCCCTAAACCCTTTCCAACACTGGTTTATTGTTGAACACAACGCCATACAACTTTTCAGCCTTCGAGTGAAGGCCTCCGCACCTTCAGCGTGGCAAGATGTGTATCCACTGAGCACTCAGCAGTTCCGGCTTGAGGACGCCCTCCGAAATTTGGTGGATCACATTCGTGTTTCGATCGCGCTCACCTATCAGGGACCGCCGGAGCCGGAGCATGAGCCAATCTGGCATGAAGAATGCTGAAGGGAAGGGGTTTTGCTTTGAGGTGAATGTGAGAGTCTGCCACAGCGTCTCGCTGTGCGATCGCGTAGCAATGCCCAGACTCCTTGAGTTTTTCAACGACTCCAAGAGCTCCCCCAAAGGCTCCTCTTACAATTCTTACAGTTGCTGTTCATTCGGCAGCCAACACTCATTGCATGTCCCATGCCCCGCACCTGCTCGGACAGCCTCTCCGTTTGTTGTGATGACCACTTCTTCAGTTGCGGTAGGAGGGGATGGGTTGTCACCAGTTCGCAGTGCAGAAGCAGCAAGAGATGTACTGGCACGGCTCGTACGGCTCGCTGTCATTGCAGTGCCTACCAGTAGTCATGGCAGAAAACTGCAGGTAGCCGTTTGACGTATTGCTGGCAACAATCCCTTCCCTAAATATGGAGAGCTAGTATCTTCTGTTTGTATTCTTATTCCCCGACAGCGGATACGCTTAGGGGGTCTACATGGGCTCTACAATCTGCAAACCAAAGGAGCGGTGACCAAGGTTTCGGGTCACTGGTTCCCGAGGGCATAAGGGATGTGCGCGCGAGTGACGGATCTTGCATCAGCTATTAGAAGTCATCTACCAGTATCTTGGGGGCAGCGCGAGATCGCAGCAGTCTTTTCGCAGGAACATGTCTCTTTGTGCATGGTGAGAGATCCAAAAGTGCTCGCGGCGTGAGAACGCAGCAGCCTTGTCGCATGTACATGTCGCTTTCCACAGGCGTGAGAACGCAGCAGTTTTGTTGTCGCATGAACATGGCTATTTGCTCATGAACTGCGATCCAAGTGCGTGCGTGGGGCGAGAATGAAACAATCTTTGTGCATGAAAATGCCTGTCTCATTGTGCGCAGATTGCGATCCAAGTGTGCCCGCGACGAGAGAACGCAGCAGCCTTTTTGCAGAAACATGTCTCGTTGCGCTCGTGCAAGAACAGAGCAGCTGCAGGTCTATGTGCGGCGTGCAGACATATTCACCTGTCTTTGAACACGGAGAAGGATGGGTGCACGCCAGCAGAAGGAGCAATGCGGGAGATCCTAGTGTGCGTGCGCTGGGGAAGTTGCATAACAACATGTCGCTGAGCTGCAACACGCACGAGGTCACGTATTCGGCTTGGATGGGCGATCCTTGCAGGCTGGGCTTGCTCACACCTCCTTGTAAGCTGGATTCCCCAACAGCAGACACGCTTGCGGGGTCTATACAATCTGTAAAGCAAAGGCGCTGTGACCGAATTCGGGTCACGAGTAAGGGATGTGCGGGCACGTGACTGTAGAAATTGAAGTTGGTGTCCACAAGCAAAAAGTCATCTATCCTGGGGGGCGGAGCTGGATCGAAACAGTCTTTTCGCATGAACATATCTCTTTGCGCTCGGAGACCGATCCAAGTGTGCTTGCGAGCAGCAAGCTTGACGCGTGAATATGTCTCTTTGCGCCCTGGAGAGAGTGCTTGCGGCGCGAGAACGCGGCAGCCTGGTCGCATGAACATGTTTCTTTGCGGTCTGTTGCTGAGATTGTCTTGCTATTTAATTTTCGTCAATTCTGATATTCCGGTAGATGGTGCTTCGGCCGGACCACCTCAGAAACCCAGCCAGTACTCAAACTGTTGGACCGTCATTCACTTAGCTTTTCTCCCACGAAACCTTTGGGGGCGGAGGGGGGGGAGTTCGGGGGGGAGCGTGGACGGGGAAGGGCCTACTTGGGAGCTCGAGTGGCCAACTAGCGAGATGCTCCCGTCTCTTGCCCAGGCACTGTTTGCTGGCGAGAGCATGTCGCCGACATTCTCCATCTCTTGCACACCTGGGACAATCGAGTCGCGGATCTGCAGCCCAAGGTGCTTTGTCCCATATCGATCTCTGTCAAGCTGTTCAGATGCCGTTGAGCCAGCAGTGTAGCTACTGCTTGGTACATGCAAGCAGGCATAATTTGTGCATTTCTGAAGCTTTCTCTTGCTACCCCAGCTTGCAGAGTCTCGGGGCATGGCCCTTCACACCACTGGACCGCCTTCCTTTCTCTGACTCAACTGTCTTGAGTCGCAAGTCGATCACCTCAAGCAAGCCAGGCCGGGCTCTTATACTCTTATACCCTCTAACCCCTTAAACAGGCCCTTTGTAGGGCTGATTCTGGGGATTATAGGGCCAAATAGCCCCCATCCTGGTAGCTGAGTCTGCTAGGCTGTTCCAGACACGGAGACGAAGATGCCTGCGCAGCCAAACCTTCGTTGACGCTCATAGGATCGCCACCTGGGGGCACAGAAGATCAATGAATTCCAGGGGGCATGAGGATGCTGTAGCGACAGGCAGGCACCGTCTGAAACGTATTGTCGTTGTCGCGCAGACCAATGCATCTAGTAGGATGAGGGGGGGGGGGGGGGGGGCGATTCTGAGTTCGACTTTCAGAGCTACAGACAATGCCAGTGATCCGATGGGCGTAAAAGTGATAGCGCACGATTTCAGGTTACCCGAACTGAGACCCCCAGCGCAGGTAGGACTTGAACTCGGAGTAGCTTATCCGATTGTCCTGCGAAGCCGATGGGCCCCCTTGCATTTCTTTGCATCCGACACTGGGGATTGAATTAACTGCACAGGCATGTTCTCCTTCAGGATATCTGCTTCAGATAAAAGTTTTTCAACTTGCTCACCTTCAAAGGTGTCGCCCAGAACCTGCAGGGATGGTCCAGATGTAGCGTGACAGAAGGTCTCTACTTTGATGATGTTTCGCAGCGGTGAACAAAAACGCCCGGATTCGTCTCTTAATTGAGGAGCCTCCCAGGTCTCAATCTCCAGCCTTTGCATGACAACTCTACGTTGTAACAGGCCTCTCTTAGAAATGACTTCGCAGCAGCGCGCGCTTGCGCGCGCGAACGGCCTCGCGCAGGTTGGCTGCAGTGATGTAACCAGAGCCTTGGACCAGTCAACCTTTGAAGATGAGAAGGGGTTAGGGTTTAAAGCTTTAGGAGTTTAGGAGTTTAGGGTTTAGGGTGTATGGCTTATAGCTCCGCTCTGCACCTGTGGCAAGACCCTACCACGGAACCTCAGATGACAGATTCTCAGCTCCAGGCTATCCACGTCAAACTTCTTGAAGGTTGCCTGCAGCTTTCTTGAGCCACATATGCTATCCATTCCCCCGGAAAAAAACACTTGTTCAACATTTCCACACCCTTCAGAATCGTCAGTGGAGTTCTTGTGGAATCCCTACAGTACTACCATCTATCAAGGCGGAACAGTGACAAACGAATCCCGCACACCCTGACATTGCAACCTGGGGCTGAAAATTATGTACAGCATCATCACTGGAACGAGCTTCGAGGGTGAGAAATCAGCAGCTCCCCAGTAGCCCTCGAGCTCATCCCCATGTAGGCATTTTGAGGAGATTGTGGGGGACTTGCATAGGAAACAGCAGTCCCAATTCCCAGACTGGCCCGCCTTTAGCAGATGATCATGAAGAGAAATACGTGTGCTGACCTTATCACAGCGGTGGGGCAGCATGGGCAGCTTTCGTAGCGAAGGCAGGAGAATCACACTGCCCAAGGCAGCCCGCCATCGCTGCCAAGAAGTCGGAATAGTGAATCTCCTGACCGACATTGACGGAATAATTAACGCGCAAACACAAACTGCAAGCTTAAAGGTCAAGCTTGAACCATCTTGAACCTGTATGTCCTCACGTTGGCAGCAGACAATGACTTCGAATACACGCAGGCGGCCGCAACGTGTGAGCAGCAAGCTCTACGCTCTTGCTGCAGTGGCAACTATAGCAATCATCCCTCTCGCAACCGGCACCTCAAGGTTCTAAAGCTCCCTAAAGGCTGGCGGTGGCGGAGCGCCTCGTCGTGGTTGGTGTCCAGGGCATCAAAGCACTTTCTTGCCTCCTGCCAACGCCCAGAACATGCCCAGAGTGCTTCCCAGGCTTGGCATGCCGAAGCCGTGGGCTAAGACTTGGCGCACCCCCTCGGAGACGTTGAACTTCTCCTCCATCACCTCCCACACACACAAGAACAAAAAATGCATAACGTGGTGACAAAACCACCCTCAATGCAGCAGATGAGACGGCCCAGATTCACATCTAAAACACAAATTTGCATATCCGACGGCCTGCTTCAAGTCGGCCAGTTTGATGGTGCCCTGCCTTAGGCAAATGTCACCATAAGGCCATGCTGCACATTCTTGCCAAGGCACCTGCGGCTCTGCGAGGAACCCGTTGGCTCTGTTCATTTTGCTTCTTTCCTAACTGGGTCCTAACTAAAATGTTACTTACCATCGTTTCCAGTGTAACAGTGCAAGACCATGTGTGCCCAGAAGTCCAAAGCGACCACAGCTTCGCATTGCGTACGTCCAACAGCGACGACAGTTTCGCATTTCGCAAGCGCACATGTCCCCAACAACGACGGCGCTCTCACATTTACGTGAGCCCAGAAGTCCCAAAAGCCGTGACAGTTTCGAGGACTGCGCGTGCGGCCGCACCCACCCGGTAACCCTTGGACTGGGGTCGGTGCTGTGAGTGATCCAGTGCGATGAAAGCCTCCTGTACCTGTCTCAGTGTCGGGGCACATATATCATGTCGGACGCATGCCTAGATTCGAACTCTAGATCACTGTTGCACATCCTCAACTTCCACTCTGCAGCAGACCAGGCAGCGCAGGCAACAGACTCGCCTGTGCTCGCTCCTCCTGGGACAAAGACCAAGCCATCATCTCCATGCACGCCCGTCGGAACCTGTCTGCACAGCATAGTGTGCGTGACGTAAGGCAAGTCCTTGAATGCACTGAGCGGGCGTGTTTAGTTTGGGCTTGAGATTGAAACTTGATTTGATCTCCTGGTGAAGATTCAGGCCATGGTAGCTTTTGTTCAACGGCCACGTCTGCCAAGCTGAGAACGCTGCAAACTCTCATGGAATCAGGGTGCTGGGAACTGGGTTGCAGACTTCGAGGTGTGGCCGAATTTGCGCAGCGCCTCCACCTGGCGCGAGTCATTCATTTGATGGAAGAGAGTAGGGAGAGTTCCCAAAAACCTCAGTTACTGACATGTTGTCTTGGGACTGGGGAGGTGGAACATCCGAAGGGCAATCATGATCGGCTGGCGACTCCATCGTCGACATCCTTCCACGGAACCAGATCATGCCTGCCGGTGTGCACAACGACATCATTGACATATCGCCACAAACTACAGTACGCCCCAAACTGTTCAATCTAGCATGAATGGCTGGGAGGTACCTGTGAGACGCAACCTGCTGGGCATGTTCTACAGATTGTCCGCGCGCAAGCCTGTTCTTGATCCAAACGTGCTGCAGCGCGGTGGCTGCAGTCAGCCGCTTCTGCGGGTTCACCTACCGGAATGCACATGGACATTGAGGAATAAGAAGGCTGTGAACACTCAAGCAAGTTCCCAGCATGCTTCGCCACAGCAACTGCCTCGAGGACGGCCTTGACAAACCTCAGGTGCTTCTGTACTTTGACGGCATAGCAGTCTGTTGGAACTGTTTTTGAGTGCTTGACTTGGCACACACACACACACACACACCAATGCAGCATGACAAGTTACTCACCCTTTGCCGAAAGAGAAGCAAGCGCTTGGGTCCGTGCTGCCGCCCTTCGATGGAGACGCTGCTCCACCGTTCGGGCTTGAGGATGTAATTCCTGGCCACTTGTGCGCTCCACACGACTCCGCAGTTGAAGCTGCCACCGCTGCGGCGACAAACTGGATGTACATTTTGCGCATTTTGCAGCTGCACAATTGAAAATGGAAGCAGGACAGCCAGGCCCGGCGGCAATGTTCTTCGTCTGAACCTCGGCTCCCAGTGGTATGCTGACAGATGCACGAAGGGCTGTTCATGGGCACATGCAGGTTTACAGGGGGGGAATGTGGATGATGTGTCAGTGGCTCACAGAGCCGAGTTTTCTGCAATTTTCAACACCTTGAACACAGATCACAGCATGCCCTTCCAAGGATGTTTTTCCATCGTTGTGGTCTTCTCAGTCTCCTCGAAAGAGAAATGCCGGACTGGAATGCAGGCTTCGCAGGGCGATACAGGTGACCGCTTGTTATGCTTGTTAGCCCGCTAGAGGCCTATCGAGAAGCCCGATACGGGAAATGGTAAAACAAAACCCCCAAGGCCTAGATTAGGCTACCTCGGGCTCCGAAGGTGGATTGCGATCGAACCAAGCTGCTAGGCGATTTTTCAGCCAGTCTCTGACTTACGAGTGTGCGGGATATTGTGCAAATGCCGACCCGATCCTGATGGTTGGGTCTGATTCGGAATGCGAAGTGTGCCAGAGGATTGGCGGCGTTGCTGTTGCCTCAGCGCTTCACTTTGCACGGGACATAAGGGCCGGGCTGACTCAGAGCCCGAAAAGGGCATATAGCCGGACAGCAGGACGAACGCAATGACCTTGCCGCCAAGGCAGGCAGCCACTGCATGTCATAAGGCACCGGCAACACTGGGCATTTGTGGAAGCGGTTTGGGTATGAGGCCTTCTACATCCTGCAAGTGCTCACTGACAAGGCTACCCGCGGTCTCGAATTCCGAGACTGCGGCACCCAAACTCCAGATGTCACATTGGCTGCCGTAGTCTTTCTTCAAGACCTGGCATACCATGAACAATTGGTGAAGCCATGCATTTCTAGCGTCGGGCTACGCGGCAAAGCATCACTTTTGGACAAGCTGGCCCTCCGTTGAAGGCGAGCAGCCTGTCAACGTGGCCTGTTCCTTTGCGGGATTTACATGGGCTTACCACGGACCGGCCGGCGGAGCCGCCCGACTCCTTCTGCAATCATCTTCTGTATCGAGTTTCGGCAAAGTCTCGGGCATGGCCGTTTAGCTACGTTTAGAAAGTTTAGTTGTCCAGCGATGCCCAGAGGGCCTCCGGGGCGACGTAGGCAAGTGTGCCGCAACTGACATGCATCTTGATATTCGGATCCCACCTCGGACAAGGGCAGCATCCATAAATGCACGGAATCGACATCGCTGGATCGCCGGATGACCATAGCAGTGAAGCCATCCCCCTAACTTTACCTACCTGAAATATCTGCAGCCCAGACACACTTTGCTAAATCCGAAATCGATCAGCTTGAGGTGGTTGCTCGTCTTCGACTCATACCTTGGTCTGGGAAGCTAACTTTTTCTGATCCTTCATCTACAGCCCAGTCGGTTTTCGGACCCATGCATGTGCCACTAGTGCAACAGTGCACTCCAGCTATGTTTCAGCACAATGCAAGTCGCATCACTTCGTATCCCAGCCAGGGTGCAAAAAGTTTTCCAACTTCAGGTCTCGGTGAACGATGCCTGTCCGGCGCATATTTGGGAGCTCACACAGACTTGGCATAGCGGCAGGTGCTGTTGCACGCTACACGGAGCAGACCAATTGAGTGTGGAAGTGTCCCTGCCGTGGCTGTGAATGTAGTTCAACGCAAGCAGCATCTGCGTCACTGCGTCTGCCGCCTGGGCTCAGGACACTAGATGCTGCATGGCCTCCACATGCTCTATTTCCACTGCTGCGCAGGGGCTACAGGAGGTCTGCAGCGATGCAAACACTGCACTTTCGATCACGTGTACGCGATCCTACGTGTATGTTTCTGAGCCGGTTTGTCCAGTTTTTTTGCCATTCTCCCAGCATGCTACTGAACTCCCCCTTTTTCACAGGCGCTGGGCCACTTCTCTGACCCTTTGGGCAACGGGACACTTCACGCTTTCGGAGACCACCATTTTAACTTTGCATATCTCACTGCCGCACACCGGGCCGCCGCACATCACGCTCCGTAAAGCGCTTCAGCGTCGTCACCCGGTCGAAGAGCTCACCGCCCTAAGCAGGAGTCCAACAGAGTGTCCGAAATTCAAAGGCCTGATGCTATGTCCGACACCAACTCCATCTACGGATCATCTACAGATGAGAGGTGCCTCCATGCATTCCATGACCAGGTACAGGTAGTCATCTGCTTCGTAGACATCGAAAAGTCTTGTGATGTGAGGATGGTCCTTGGCAGAAGCAGAAGATTCAGGCCCTGGATACTGGGGCATTCTGAAGTTCTGAAGGTCGAACATCAGTTTTGTGCAGTCACACATTGCTCACATGCTGTTCCTCATAAGGTCGAAGAGGGTACTTCGGGGACCAGGAACGGTCTCCCAAACCCTAAACCCCAAACCCCAAACCCTAAACCCTAAACCCTAAACCCTAAAAACTAAACCCTAAACCCTGGCTGAGGCGGCAGCCATGCAAAGATATATCCCCACCTCAGACTCCAACTGCGCCTGAGAGAGGAGGTGTCGGATGCTTGTCACCGAGATTTCTCCCGAGAGCAATGGTTACAAGCTCCTTTGCCATAGGGTTTAGGGTTTCGGAGTTTAGGATTTAGGGTTGAGGAGTTTAGGGTTTAGGGTTAAGTTTAGGGTTTAGGAGTTTAGGGGAGCTCTAGAAGAGCTCCTCCCCCGAGGCCTTCTTGTCGCGCTTCAGCTTGCCAATTTTGAATGCCTGGCCAGAGTGACTTGCCAAACAGCGACAGTTTTTATGCGCCCTTATGGCGACACCTGATGCATCAAGATGAGCTGGGGATGGCTTATGGCTTGCGCAGGTGCTTGAGAGAGCCTCTTTGACTTAAACCTCTTACTTGCGTTGAAGGGCGAGGACGAGAAAGCTCACAACGGAAGCGGAACCTTTGCACGCACACGGAACACACCAGCATCAGGAGCAGCAGAGCCCCCGGTCTCTCAGAATCTCTCTTCGGAGTCCTCGGCGCCAAATGCTCGAAAGAGGGTTGGGTGGATGCGCCCTCTTTGAACCCAAATTCTAGAGGGATTCGCCTCAGAAGCCGGACGGGGTTGGGCTTCGAAATTCGTCTCCCCACCTTAAACCCACCCCATCGCAGGGTACTACATGAAGGCTCCTCCTCATGTTCGAGCGGAGAGCCTTCGTCATGACGCTATGAAAGATTCTCTCGCGCCCTCTTCCCGGGTTGACGCGCGGGTGCTTACGCGGGCTCTCGCGTGAAAAAGGCCACGACGTTATGAAGTCCAAACCTTCCAACCCGCAACTGGACCGCAAAAGGGCTGAGATACCTAGACAACCTGTCGCTGACGCGCGGAGCTGGCAGTCTGACGCGAAGCTGGCGCAGATTTCGCTGGTGGTCCACAGTATCCAAATCCTAGTGGTGCCACAGAGGCGAAACCCTGAAAACCCTCCACAACCTGCTAAACTTTCAACCGCCGAAAAGCCGGGGCGCAAGACCGTTGTTGAATCAAAGATCTTGGTTCGCGGGCTAAGGGGCACTCTGCAGAAGGCATCGCGCGCCCCGGACCGTAGCTGGCGCGACCCCATCAAACTTAACCATTAAACCTCATTAAGCCCCGTATCTTCATAGTACTCTTATTCCTTTTCTGGGGGGTTCCGGCTGGGAGCCTTCACGGCGAACTTCATGTTGTCGTCTAAGCCAATGCTCGTCGCCAAGTTCACGACCTAGGCACGATCAAAGTGACGAGTTGCGTTTCTTGGGGCAAGTTGGGCGGACTTGGAGGCAGCAACATTATGCTCACTGAGCTCTGAGTGAAAGGAAGGGCTACCCGCGCAGTGTGATGGGCTGGGGTCCTTTAAGGGCTTTGAACTGCATGTGCGGGGCGATTCCTCGAGATTGAGCTCGTCGTCGAAGCGCTGCACTTGAAATTCTTTTCAGGTTATCAAGGTCCGTTGTCCAGTATCTTCGAAGGGTTGCAGCTTTGCGTCTGACCCCGTGTCCGGGCCCTAAGAAGGAAGGGTACGCATGCACAGACGTGGGTGTCAAGGTCTGCTCTTAGCCGCGTGACAAAAATCCAGGCTGACTGGGGGTCGGACGCCATTGTAGCCGCTCCCCAAGACAGTCTCGTGGATCTGCGAGCGCGAGGCAGCAAGGAAAAACTAAGAAGGTGCCTCCATACATCGATCAGGTTTAATGTTCGCAGGACCTTGTAGTCATCGCCGATTCGGCGAGGCTTCCGGTGATACCTGTCGGAATTGCGGGTCTTTTTGGAGCAATCGGACCCTGACCACTCCAGTCTCGGCCTTCCAGAGACAGCGATCTTTCCCATGTGCTCCTTAGAATGCTGCACGGATGTCGAAGGCTCAAGATTCGCAGCGCAACAGGCTCCCAGGGAAAAAGGCGGACAGCATGGAGTGGAACAGTGTAATAAGAGTAATCATAATCATAGTAATCACAATAATACTAATAATAATAACAATAACAAATAATAATACTAATAATAACACTAGTAAGAATCTCAAACATCCATATCATGCCGAGAGTTGGGAGCAGCCATCAAGCAAGTACCTCTCAGCGCTGGACCGACATTCTGGTAATCTCGCCACCGATTTCGCTGAAACCTTACTTTCACGTCTCGGCGGCCACACCGAATCACTCGGACCTATGATTGAGCTCCAACTCATTCCCTCAAAGCCCCCGGCCTTCCTTGTTCACCGACTTGCTCTTGCTGCCCCCCATGGCTTAGAAAGCTGGCAGAGCAAAGTTCGACGGTGCACTCAGGGGGCCTCACTGCCCCCTTGGGTCCCCTCGAGCCTAAGGCAGCCTGAGGGCCTACAGGGCCTACAGGGCCTACAGGGGCTAGGTCAGCTGAAGAATGGCGAAAGTGTTGAGTTGGTGGTGGAGCATGCGGCATACTTGCCTACTTTGCCTGCACACTTACATCAGTGAGGCATGCCAACATCAAGGCAAAAAGATCGGTCCTTTGAATGAAGCCCTTGACAGATGTGTTGTCCAAAAGTGCAGGCGGCGTGGACTTTGCAGCCTACCGCTGCCACATCTTTCCCAAGCCAAAAGGCCAGTTGCGGAGCGGCGGACTTGGTGTGCAAAACGGGCACTTTTGCTACACTGGATGATCTCTGGGCTGCAACATCCAGAGGCACTTGCAGCACTTGCAGGCACATGCCACCTCCAAAACCACAACCCAATGGCTCAGTGCATTGCCCAAACAGAACTTAGAACCCCAAGCTTGGTTTCGTGACTTTATCTGGCTTGTGCAGCCCTACCTACACGCAGGACCCAGTAAACGTGCCAAAGATGCTAGCATTCCCTGCACACTAGTTGCACATGCGGAAACGCATCTTTTGTCCGGCAAGACCTCGATGTTGAAAAAGATCTAACCAACTTCAGGTCTGCCATAGATTAGTGCAATGGTTGGGCTGTGCATATTTCGAAGACATATACAGCTTCTGCTGAAGTCTACAAGTCACTTGGAGATAATGTGACATGAGAAGTTGACTTGGATGAGACGTCAGAAGGTGCGGCCTGCCAGCATTGCTCCAAAGCAGGCAAGGAAGCTCACCAATGGATCCCCACTCTCCCAAAAAAGCCTTGAAGTCCGCTACCTCTTCAAGATCGGCCACCTGAGAGAACGGAAATCAGGCGCGTCGCTCTGCAGGGCCCCCTTCCAGTTCTGCACGGTCACATCCAAAGTCTGCGCTGCTGCCGTTGTGGGTTGCCGGTGTAGACAGCGGCGCATTGTGTGGGTTGCATGGAGGTTGAGGTTGAGCTTGTGGCTGTAGGGCTGTAGGACTGTAGGATTGACGATTGTTAAGCTCAGGCCAAAGCGGGTGCGAAGGTAAGCCGAGTCCTTCTCAGCCCCCGGCAGAGGGAAGTGACCGGGAGGGACGATGACGCGCATGCGCTCCGCATCCAGCCTGTAGATATGAGCTCAAGATGCAGCTGTCCACAGCATCAGATTTTGGCTGACTCGTTGGCTCTTGGACTGCTTGCACCTTGCTGAGTGAGCACGGCGGAACTGCTCAAAGTTGAAGGCTTGACTCCTGAGTGTCACTGCATAGCCAAACAAGGTCCCGAAATCTTCAGAGCCATGGGCGGCTTGGACTTGCCACGACCCACGTCACCATGTATTATTACCTGTGGAGCCTTTAGGTTTGTTTGAGAACTTTGCGCAAAACCTCAGCCCGGAGCAGGTGTAGAGTTGCTGCGGCCGGCGACGGCTGAATCTTCTCCGCGACAGCTGAGCGGTGACGCAGCTTGTCGAACCGGCGTGTCACAGTGTCCGTACAGTGCAAAAACAGACATATGTGTCGCAAAAGCCAACATGCCGTCAGACCAAGACAAACGATGACAGCGCACAGGATGTGCCAAAGCATGCTGACTGCCGCACGTTCGACGCTCTCGAGAACCTGCGTGAGCCATCCATCGCCTGCGCAGCTGCGTTGGGCGTATTGGTGCAGAAGTGGCACTGCCCGGTGCTCGGGGCCATGGCTGTGCCCACAGATCTTGTGATGAGTCTCGTCGTACGAGGGCCTCTGAATGGAACCCGTGCAGCAACAGGCTCGGGCTCGAAATAAACTGACAGCTACAGTATTCAGTATGCGAGACGTGGCTGTGGTGCGGGCGTCTCGCGCTCGTCATTCGCCTCTGCTGCTTCTGACGATGATTCTTGTCGTTTCTTGTAGTAGAGTTCGTATTGGTACTAGCTGAAGAACTTAGCACAAGCATAAAATAGTATTAGTCTTGGTACTAGCAATATTTAGTATTAGCATTTGCATTCGTACTGCATGCTTGACGAGTGGTAGGACAAGTGGCAAGGCCAACTGTTCTCTCTTTTGCTGCACTGACGATGATGAAGATTCCGCCATTGCATTGTACCTACCGTTATGACAGGTAGCAGCTGCCGGAAAAAACTGACATGCATGCATGGTGAACTAAACCCCAGGCCCTAGACCCTAGACCCTAAACCCCAAAGCCTAAACCCTACATAGCCGTCGTCGTAGACCCTGCTTGCTTGCGCCACAGTGGCTTTGGCGCTGTCACGCTCCTGATCCGCCAGCTTGGACTCCAGTGCCTGCATGCCACGGACCCCTCCCCTAACTTTGAACAATCAAGAGTCCTAGGCTATCGTGGATAGTACGATACCTTAAAGTATGCGACATGTGTACTATATCATGGATAGAGGATTATGTATTATATATATATACATATTATGTTGAACAAATATTGTCTTGACAATATCAAATATTATACCAGTCCATGATTAAAACCTACAGGCCGGAAGAAGCAGTCAAGAGGGCAGCGCCATGCCGTGCCTCAACTCGCAACAGCGCGCTCTGCAACATTCGCTGGAGCTCCTCCGCAGGTCACAAGGGGGATGCTGAAAAAAGGTAAGTGCGTGGAAGTACCTTCTGGGCAAGCTACTGTAGCCTGTATGAGTTCTGCTCAACTGTGCACGACACGACTGTACGTGTCCTCCACTGTCGCATTTGCCGCAGGCGCAACGTGCTCTTGTGACTGCTCGGCAGCTGCCACGTCGATGCGTGCCTAAACAGAAGTTTCAGGGTCTGAGAACGGATCCGGTCTCAAATTTGGTGACGCACCCCCCCCGCCCTGTGGGACCACCCCCATCGCTTGGAGGTGCTGCAAACCGATGCCATGGGGGTTCCCGCCTGTCGGCTCCTATAGAGGGCTCCAACATGCGCGAATTTGTTTGGGTACCTTTCCTGGACCCCTTCCTGAAACCCCTTCCCTGAAACCCCCCCCTCCCCATTTTTAGAGGCCAGATCCTCCTTTCCTGTCCTGGGGCCGGCCCGACTGCCGAGGCGGCGCGCGCAAGCGTTTACAATTTAAGGAACATACTCCGCACAGTATCCAACACCACTTCCTGCACCTTTGCCTACTCCAAATCCAACTAATATTCCTACACATGATATTATCTGTATGATAATCATCTTCAATATTGATACTATCTTCATTTATCATTGCAGTTTCACTGATTGCATTTGATATTATGTTTTGAACAAAAAATATCAAACATTGTAAATAAGAATAAAGAACACAAACAGACTCGATGATTTTGTATACTCAGTGAAATGTTTTGTCACAAGCACGGAAACCAAAAGCTGCAATCTTGCTTGCAATCAAGAGGCATCTGTCACCAGGCCTTGAGCCTCCGTAAACTCTGCGTGCGAGGCCGGCTTGGCCAGGGCCATTCCTGAAGCCAAAGCCTCTTCGGCCCCTTGGGCCTCCTGGGCCCCTTGGGCCTCCTGGGCCCCTTGGGCCTCCTGGGCCTGGGCCGCGAGCAAACCCCACAGCCGGCCACCAGCGGCCAAGCTCGCAGCAAGCGCAGTGCCCTGTCTGGGCTGTGGCACAGGCTGCGTGTGGGCAGCCGGCGCGAGCACGACCTTTACGTCTGCCGCTTCCTCCTCACTCCTTTGTAGAAGGCGCAGCGGTGGCTGTGCCTGTTCCTGAAGAGAGTGAGATAAAGTCATGGACGGCTGTCGGAGCTGAGCTTCGGTGCTGCTGCGTGTGCTTTGTGGTCTTGCCGTAATTATTCGTGTGAGTTTGGCTCTCTCCTTCTCTTCAAGCAGCGGAACGAGTTCGTTGACCACATCAGCCAGCAAACTGTCCTCTATGTTTCCAGTGCGCTGGTGCACATCCACCAGGCGAACTGACCAAGCAAAAAACTGTGGCTCAGGCTGGACGTTTCTGCGAAATCGTCTCACCAATCTCAGCAAAGTGAGCAACGAAGGTAGCTGCACTAATCTGTCTGGTGAACTTCGAGGAATTTCTTGTTGCTGCGCTCGCCAAAGCCTGAGCGTCTCAGAGTAAGTCACAAACACTGACACTGCCTGGAAACAGTTCAGCTTAGACCGACCCTACAACCCGCTAGTCCAGTTCATCTCTTTTGACACTTTGCAAGAAGCTCTTCGCAACGCGGCATGTCCTGTGGTTGCTCTCAAAAGCTCATCTTGGTATAGCACAGAGAGGAAGAGAGCAACTCTTGCCTGAATCTCCCCAAGCAACACATGGAAGAGCGCCTGTGCTGCCCAGTTGGGTAGAAGTGTCGGCGCTGTCAGCGTCAACGTGCTTCGATTGCTGGAGGAGCTCGAAGGCGTGGCAGCGGCCTGTGGACTGGTGAGCAAGAACGGGTTCACTCTGTAACACTGCAATAGTACGTGGCGATCCGTAAGAGTTTTTTCTTGCCAGAGTCAGCCATAATCAGCCAAGTCAAGAAGCAGAATATACAATTCTGGCTGGAGAATGCCAGCATCGAGGGTGGCTGGGGCGCTGCTCACCACAACGGGGCCGAAGAGCTGCTGACTCTTCTTGTGTGAAAAATTAAGAGACAGAACAGCCTCCCGCAACGAACAAAATCGAGCTTGACTGTACTGCCGGCCCACAAACCCATACAGACCAGCTCTATGCGGCGAAAGCAGCCGAAAGCAGCCTCTCGTGTACTTGCCGTTAGGGGCAAGTCTCACGTCTCACTACACTTGAGACTTCCACCTGTTGCTCAATCGGAGGGCCCATCTAGGCTTCTTGTCGCTACTTGACATCCGAAGTGCTCCTGTCGCAGCTTATCTGTACGACCCACGCAACTACGCAGGTGTCCAGCCTGCATTGGATTCAGGAGTCTGATCTGAGCGGTACTGCATGTAGCCGCTCAATCCGCTGAATGAGACGGGACGAGAAGTACAGCAGCATCACTGCTCGGGCTTGGAAGAAGGCTCTACGTCTACAATATTTACACGCATGAGGGTTTGCTTGCATGAACTGTGCTCAGCAAGTACTTTCATCCCGCAGCACAGAACACCTGCAGTCAGACCCTGAGGACCCCGACAGAAGAGCATCAGCACCCCGTTTCAACACCCAGGAGCCAGAGATGAGCAGAGCCAAAGTAAAAGCCCAAGCGGGCAACACGCACTCTCCCAGCCCACAATGTTGGAGAAGCGCCGGCAACGCACAAAATTGACCACCACCCCACCCCCAAAGCCTCACGTTGTATGGAGCAATGAGCTACGCTCCCTCGAGGGAGCTTGGTGACATGCACTGATGCTGCTACTTCCAAGTCTCCACTCACTGCTGGTCAGAATGCTAAACAGCAGTAACAGAGCACTTCAGGGCCTATCTTTCCCAAGCCTAGCTTAGTGATCTCCTGTGCCCCTTCCGTAGCCTCTTGAAAGATGCTGTGGGCCTCGCAGTACCTGCCAACAGCAATGGTGATTGCAGCTTGAGAGGTCCATTTTACACACAAGTCCGGCAAATCGGTGGGCTGAGCAGGATGGGCACTTGACTAACCTAGACATAATCTCGGCCCAGTCATCAATAGACAGGCTCCTGCCAGATGTGGTGGCAACTGGCAACACCTCCTCGATGACAGCTGGAGAATCAGGGCAGGCCCGGACCGTGGCCTGCTTGGGCTGCTTCGGTTCTGCGTAAACTGGTGGCGGTGCACGCCCCAGCTAATTCGAACCTTACGCACAGCGACATTCAGGCTGGGATCGCATGCTCTGCCTTCAGAGTCCGATGTCTGGGCGACCCTGCGAGTCCCTTGACAACGTCCTGCACCACTGGCGGGGTAAGAGGTGGAGCCTCAAGAAGATCAGCACCGCGAATGGAAAAATCTCAGGAAAATTTTTCCATTTCCAAGCACTTTTCTGGGAATATGGCAAGCAACGACTAACGACTGGCCAATAAGCGATTACAAGTCTCAGATGCCGGCATTTTGCTCAGCCTGTTGATGCCGCGGCTTCGGGGTTTCAGGGCATGGCATGCAGCTGCAGCCGCTAAACTCAATAGTCAATAACCACAACTCTCCAGCGCCATCCAGGGCCTCACGCGCCAGAAGTTCTGCCACAAGGGGTGCAAGGCCTGGTCAGCTGACTTTGCTCTCGGGATCAGAGGGCAACTCGGGAACTGCCCTGCCTTCTTTGGGCAACGGATGTGCGGGTATGTGCCTTGGGAGTTCAGGCTCATGACGCATCTCTCGGGGGACCGGAGCGACCCAAAGAAGGTAGCAAGCAGCTTTTCGAACGGGTGAGCCATCAACAAGACATACTTACAACTATATCAGCTAAACGCTAGCCAGGATCAAGCAACAGAATTTGAAGTAGTAGTGCAAAACGAACTACTCAAAACCAAGAAAACGAACAATCTCAACCAACAGTATAAGCGTAGGAGTACTAGTCGTCGTTGTTACAGCCTGAGAACGCGACGACTTCTGGTGCTTTGTCAGCGCTTGGCCACATGCTCGTAAGGCATTGAAGTAAGCCTTGCAGGAGCTGAGTCCGTGCCTCTTGACAATCCTCTTTGGGACGCTGGTTGGCGCGGAGGGTTCCGTTACATGCTGGATCAGATTTTGTCGCCCGGGTGGATTGCTGACGTCACCTCGTTCTGTGCACATTTTGTTGGTGTCCAAAACTAGGGGGTCGCGGGTGTCTGGACTGCTTGGTATGATCCCCGCGGTTCGCCACTGCCCTCCCTACCCCGCCGCACCACCGCAACCATTAACCTCAACCCCTCATCAACCCTCATCCCGGAACCTCAAACTCCCTAAGCCTAAACCCTGCAGAACACCCTAATCGAAAGCTCAGGCTTCGAATTCGAGAACGAAAACGAAGGGGAGGGGGCTGGAAGGGATGGCTGGGAGGGCAGAAGGGGGGAAGAGGGGGAGAGGGGGGGAGAGGGGGAGAGAGGGGAGGGGAGATGATCAGGTTGCTGTGTCGCCGGCTTGCTCAAGAGGTCATGTTCATGGGCAAGAAATTGCGCATGTTCCTCCTTCTTCGAAACGAGCTTCCGAATGAGTTTGCCACTATTGGTTGAAATATTCCGCGCTTGTTGCTTCTGGTGGTTCCCAGAGCTGTTGCGGGAAGTTTTCGTGTCTTTTTCAAAACGACATATCGAAGCATCCCTCACTTTATGCCTCAAAGCGCCTTGCGCCCGGCTTCGCCACTTGGACGGGGACTGAAGCTGCAACGAACAGTTCATTCCTACAAAGGGCCTGCATCCCGCAGACCAGATTGCTATCTGGCAGCACCATCAGTACAACTCTTTAAAGAGCACCACGAATTGCAAACACGTGCAAGCACAAGGAGCAATCTGCAAGGACAGCAAGCACGTTATGGGGAACGCGTGTTAAGGCACATTGTTTGGACCACCGTGAGCTGTCCCCGGCGTCTTCCCCACGCAAACAGTCAGTTTGGACTGCTTGCTTCCCCCTCCAATGCCTGACTACACTAGTTGCAACCGCAGCCTCTGGGTTCCTCCTGTCGGCACCAGGACCGCAAGCCTTTCTGTTTCGTTTTGGCGGCTTTGTGGTGTCGTTCTCGTGTCGCGCGTCCCCGCCAACCCCAGGACCCGCCTTCAAAAGCATGTCTTCCCGGCACATGCCTTGCCATCGAACCACGCCAGACCCGAAGCATGCGCCACCGTGTGGAAGGGTTTCAGGCCAAAATTTGCTTGTCCACCCATGCAACGGAAACGCGTCATGCCCAGAAAAATGCACGGGAAATCTGAGTTGAAATTTCGGTGGAATTTCATAAGTCTTGACACGCCTTTGAAAATCTTTCGCGCTGACTTCGCGCTAAACTTCGCGCCAGACTTTGCGCGGTCATTTCGTCTCTGCTTGCTATTCGTGCCTTGAGACTTCGCGCAAACAACTCCGCGCGCAAAACTCCGCGCCCCAAACTCCGCGCCCAAAACTTCGCGCACAAAACTTCGCGCACGCGAACTCCGCAAAACAGCTTTCACGAAAGCACACTGAGCTCTAAACTGAAAATCCTAAACCCTGAACACCTAAACCCTAGGACACTCGGGAAACGTTCCTGAGCGAACAGCACAACAGGTGCAAACTTTTCAAATTGCCGCATTATGCATGCAGATGCTTCCTGGAGCCAACGGGAGTGGTTTCTGCGCTGTACTGTACTAGAACTGGTTCATGGTGCTCTAGCCCTCCAACAAGGTTGACTGCAAACTGGCCCCAGCGAACTTTGGCAGCCTCCACGAGCTTGAGCAGCTTCAATGTTTCATCTTTAATTACCAAGAGCGTATGTGCAGCTGGCAAACCTCCTTACGAAATTATCAGCGCTACTCTCTGAAGCCTCTTTGTGGGAAAGCATACTGCGCCATCAACAAGTTCATCGCGACTTGCCATGCTCGCACTGGTATGTCACATGTGCTGAAGAAAACATCTTTCGCCAAGAGGACAAGAAGCTTCTAGACAAAATAAGAATACACATTCTTTCCCAACTTTTACTCTGCGGCAAGCCGCGCGTAACGCTTGGGAAGACCCAAAAGTGGCCCGCCTCTTTGGCGGAGGGGGTTGGCACTAACCTGGCGTGGAGCAAGGAGGTTGTGCCAAGATCTTTCGAACATGAAACAAGACATCCGCACTGCCCTGCGAATGCTTTCAGTTCGTTTCGACTTCCAAGGCGCCTCAGCCACGAGAGCATCAGGTGTGCCTGCTTAACCGGTGCAAGAGGCCAGTCAGGATGCTCGGCGGAACCATATAGTCATATAGCACTTGAAGAGTAGTAGGCCATATACACTGTATAAATAGATGCTAAACCGAATATTCTATATATATATATATGTATATTAGAGAGTCTATAAATAAATAAATAAATAAATATATATACATATATGCGTATATCTTGTAATAAATACGGCATCTTGTAGCATATTGGCCCGCGAGGCGCACCGGCGCACACGGCCCGCACAATGCATTCTTCTCCAAGCCCGCTCGCATTCTGGACGAAAATCGCACTCTCTCATACTATATGACAGAAAGTATATACCATAAGATAAAGTATGCTTATAACAACTGTATAGTATAGAATAGAATAATGCAACATCGAATATGCAATATGATACTGTATGATGCAAGTCAGTGATGTCAGTGAATCCCGTTCAGGCCTGCTTAGAGAAGCCGCCGCCCAGACGCAAGATGGTGCAAGATGCCAAGGCCTGACTCCGTGCGTTGGTGTGCTCCCATTTGGGGGTTTACAAAATGAGGGCCCTAAAATTAACCCCCAAAACAATAGGATTCCACAGTACGAGTAATAAGGACCACAACAAGGAACCCCCCAATTTTCGGAAACCCCCGAATTTCTGTAGGCTACCTGTCGAGTGTTCTGTGTGCAGCAGACACCAAGGAATCTCCAACATGTTTCAGCCCACTCGTGGCCTCCAGCTCCTTGCCGGTGAGTCCCCCTGGGAGCCGAGCAGCTGAATGGACCTGCCAGGGCCATGACCAGAGTGGGGCTGGACAAAAGTAAGCTACTTGGCGCAAGCATCTGAGAGCGAGGCCAGGAAGCGGAGGGTGTCCACTGTGAAGTCCTCACTGACCTGCATCGTGCATACACAGGCAACGTGCAGACGTCTGCACAAGCTGACGGGCACGCACATGTGCGGTCCGTGCTTCAACGACCATATACGACCATCGACTGGCTACTGGTCACTCGAGCCCTTCAACCCCGCAAAGCCTCGGGGCTCTCGACCAATTCCACTAACAGCGGCTGCAACACCGCTGGCAACGCATCGTTCAGGCGGGTATCCTGGCACTTTGCGCTTCCTAGTACAAAGGGCTCAGAAAGTCTGCTGGCACGAGCTACCAGTACCTGCAAGCAACCTCCAATGGTTGTGATCATGCCCAGCTCCGCGGGTCTCTTCCAAGCTCTAAAAAGGCTGCAGCGGGTCCGTGTCCGCTAGTGCCGTGGCAATCAACACCGATTGTAGGCCTCAGAAGAGAAGAGAGCAAAAGTCTGGACAAATGGCTACGCAGCCGCTCTGCACCGTGGTGAGCTTGCTACGTTCGCACTCAGGGCTTAACGATTGAGGGTCCACAGACCCTCAAGCAAGCCATCGCCGATCGCATCGTAAAGCAACCGGTACTGCCCGCAAGGAACACTTCCGGCGAAGGTGGTCGCGACTTCTTCCGGCACGTCTGTCTGTTTTTCAGCTTTCAAGTTGGCAATGAAGCAGCGTGGTCGACTGCTGAATTATTATTGCATTCAGCTCGTGAATAAGAAAGGGCAACATGCTGTGTGGCAGCAAAGTACCGTCTCCCTGTACCAGTGAGTCCTCCGGCAGCTGCGGTGCAACCTTTGAGAAGGCGTAGAACACGGTCGTCACCTGAGCTCAGGGGGCTTAAGATGGGCTCAAGGGCCATGCGAGAGGGATGCGGGCAGCGGTCACGGGCCCTGAGTCAGTCACTTCATCAGACCTCAAGTTCTGGCTGAGCCGGGCAGGGGCGGCGTCTTCCGAAGCTTCTCCTCGCAGTTGACTGAACTCATGTATCAAGAATGCAGCCCCTGCAGGGGCCTCATGAACCAAGGCCGTTCGTAAGGCCCAAGAACAATTTTCCCACACTCTAGCCTATTTGGAGGCCTCCCGGCGTCTTCTTGATGCGCCAAGAGAGCTCCGAAGCCACGGCAGAGGCAACGTCACCAACTGCCCGGCCACGCCTTTGGTGGAGCGTTAGAAGCAGACCGTTCCGCTCCAGGGTCAAACATGGTCAAACGGCCCGTGGTATCATGAACCCAGCGGACTTGGGGATACTTGGAGTCTATCCGGGTCTCAAAACGAAATTCCGGGCCCCCCGGATGAGCCTCAGCCCCAGCCTCACACAACAAAACTTCCCTAAGCCACCGGCAGGCCAAAGTGGCTCGAGCAATGCACCAGCTGCGCATCGCTCAAATAAGGCAGCGCCTGGCAAGTGGTGCTGGAGCTGCCAGTTGTGCCAGCTCTGCCTAGCCCACTTAGCCAAGGTGTCCTTGGGCTTGCACTCGCAATCTTGCTCCTTCTCAGTCGCCAACTAGACCTAGCTAGCCTAGCTAGATTTGGCAACTGGCCTCAGCTGGATGTGGAGCATGTCCCCTCACCCACCCACCCGCCTGCGTGAACTGTGCAACTTCCACTCCTCAGCTTTCAACAAGCAATGCTGCTGTGGACATCTGTGGACTTCCAGGAGCTCTTGAATTAACATGGGTTCGCCCTCCCCCCCCCAACCCCCCATAATCGTCGACCCGAGGGCTGTGGTAGGATGATCTTTGGGTCTTTTCTTGAGGGGGTTGGGGCAGCCAAATCAGCTTTCTTGCTGGACCCTACACTTCTGAAGCCTAATCCCCAAGGCCTAAACACCAAACCCAAACGCTCCAGGGTCCGGGCCGTAGCCTGCCGCCTCCGCCTCAGGGCCTTGCACGACGGCCTTGTAGACCCCGGCGGCCTCTTTGATCCAGGTGCTATAGGGTAGTCTTTACCGGGGTTTACAGGGTTTATAATTTCTAGGGGAATCTAGTCTATCAAAAAAACGGCCAACATCTTCAGACAACTGCCGCAACTTCAAAAACAAGGCAAGACGACGAATCCACCACTGCGCACCAACATTTCATGACAGTCCCTGTTGGCGCTGTGAATTTCAGTGCCTGCTTCGCAAGCCCGGCACCCGCCCGGCGAGCAGCTTCTCGCGTCAGGGGCCTGTCTGCATCTCTCTGCATCTCTCTCTGCATCTCTCTCTCTCTCTCTCTCTCTCTCTCTCTCTCTCTTTCTGCCTCTCTCTCTTTCTGCCTTTCTCTCTTTCTGTCTTTCTCACGTTACTTGTTTCTTTGATTCTTGATATCCTTCTTTCGTTTTCTTTTTCTTTCATTCTTTCCTTCCTTCTTTCATTCTTTCTTTTTGGGGGCATCAAACGGCACGCGTCTGTCCGCTACCTCTACTGTAGCTATTGCATCTCCTTCTTCTTCTTCTTCTATGGGCCGAAACCCCCCCGCGCGCTCAGGCGCGCCCAGCTCACGCGGTCCGTCCACAGGTGAAGACTGCGGCTCCCCTCCCCCAGCATGCACGATTCCCCGCCGCCAGCTATTGCATCTCTCTCTCTCTCTCTCTCTCTCTCTCCCCCACGCATGACCCCCCCGAAGGGAGGCCGCCCCGGGTCAGTTGGTGTGGGCTTCCGTCTCATGTTGAGAGGGCGCCCGGCTCATTGGCCAAAAACCACAGGAGGTAGGGGTTCAGTAAGACCCTGCTACGGCTCAACTTCCCCCCTCTGTTCCTCCTGGCTTATCGATGGGTTTGGGGTTCAGACATCACATCACAACCAACGCCTCGAAACCAAGCATCCCGGTATCCCTAACCCAACAGCATGTCCAACCTTGTCTTCCCCTCCTCTGTGCTCCCATCGTTCTTGCTACTAATCACTGCTGGCTCCCTCATGTGTTCTCCGCCGTTTGCTATCGTAGTCCCCTTCTGGTAATCTGTGTTCTCGACGGTGTAGTTGCAGTGTGGTGATGCGTAGCCAGCGGTAGCCGATAACAGATAGCGTTGCCTCTCCACGAATCTGGGTTTTTACCCACGATGATTCTCCATGGGTCTTTGTCTTCGAATTTCAGGTCTGCATCGCAGATCACCTCCTGGACAAGCAGGATGTGTAGTTCCCTTGGGGAAGGGATCTCCTCGAGTGTTTCGCAGAGATCCAGCACACTGGAGACTTGGAGCCCCCCTACGTTCCAGGTTGCGAGCATGATTCTGCCCCCATTCCGGTGATGCTTGCCATGGTGAAACTGAGGTTCTCCCCCTTCTTCTTGTCAGAGGCCTTGCCTGATGCGCTCCCATGTGGCTTGGACGGCTTGCGCATCCTCCCCCAAGAGCGTGGCAATGTTGTTCAGGTCAATCCATCCGGCCCCTGCTTTTGTGATTTCGTTCGTAGGTGAAGTTGCTGTTGCCGAGGAGATCTTGACCCCATTCAGCCAAACGGTGCCCGTGGCGAATTCCGCTTCCACTCTCTTTGCGTCTATTGCATCTCTCTCTCTCTCTCTCTCTATTCGTTCTCTTCTGCTGGTCTTGAGGGCTAGGGCTTAGGAAAAAGGCCATAACCCCGAAACGCGGGCTCTCGCTCTGTCTCTCTCTCTCTCTCTCTCTCTTGCTTGCTTGCTTGCTAGGCGTATGACCCCCCCCCCTAAGGAAGGGAGCCACCCCTCTCTCTCTCTCTGTGCGCGAGGTGCCCACCGACAAGTGATGGGCCTGGCTGCAAGTGCTGCCGATGGCATGACACGCCGCGCCAGGCTTGCAGTGCCTGTGCCTCGAAATTCAGATGTCCGATGAAGCTGTGCCGTGCTGTCCACATGTCCACAACTGCACGAAAATGATGCTCCACATTGCTCCACTGGGACTCCCCTGAAACCCTCAAAAAGACCCTGCAACGCCCAGAGACTCCGGTTCTTCTTGTGTGCCGATTGAAGGTGCTCCCAGTCATCGTCGGTTCAAGTTAGTCATACTTCTGAGGAGCAGACCCCAAACCTGGAAGTACAGACTCGGGCCAAGCGACAATTAAAAACTCATCCAAGATCGCAGCGACCTTGGGTGTGGCCAGCGAATGGAACCAACGTGCGCATACTTTGGACACTGACAGGGATGCCCGAAAAAGCACCCGAGGTTCAGGCCGTAAACTCTAAATGGGGCGCAACGGATCAGGTGCAGTGGCAACGCAAGGTTTCAGAATGTGCCAAGAATATGTCGGGTCCATGGTTGATGGTAGCTGGCTAAGGTTGGCTAAAGGAGTCAGGGTGAGGTGGGCTGAGGCTGCCTGTTTTTCCCAGGTCACTGAGCCAAGACTGCGGCGCGTATGCTGCGCGCATGCTGCGTGTATGCTGTGCAGTGCAGAGCTTGCACAGATTGTTACCAGCTCAAAGGATCCTACCGTACCATCTTCAAGCATTGTCGACTGCCCTGCCGCATCTTACACCTTTTTCTTGCAATTTGTGGCGCTGAATCTTGGTCTCGAGCATGCGATGCACGGTCATGCTGACATGGCACTCCTCAACCATTCCAACGGCTCATGGTTCTTTGGCTTCGGGCTGGCGCGTTGGCTCGCGATTTGCCTGTCGATTCTGGGAAATCCCAGCCAGTATTGCCATATCACGCAGTGCAAGGCTCCTTCATCAAGGACTCTTTGTCGGATCGGCTCCAGTCGTCGCCTGAGGATATGCTTTCGCGCCCCATCATGGGGAAGCGTATGTGCCTCTTATGGAGAGGCGGTGTTGGAAATGTTTCGCCTCGTGGGGGGCACCCTGCCTCGGGTCTCTCCTGGGAACAAGAGCATAAAAGAACTATGCAACGCGCCTCTGGGTTGGTTTTCACTGTTTTCAAACTAGTATAGCAGCTTTAAACGTTGAAGCCCTTTTCAGTCAGTCCTGCAGGGCACGGCAGATCATTCGCCCGCGCCTTATGGATGCTCAGTCGCTCCGCTCTGCATTGCAGCCGTGCCAAAAATGCCAATTCACGCTGTAGGCACCTGACCCTTTGCTTCCGCTTGTCGGCCGTCGCACGGGCCCCAAAAAGCGTCAAATGATGCATCTCCCCTTCATGGTCGAAGCACCGGCCGCGGCGAGGGCTCGCGGGTGCTCACTGCCTTAGGACTTGGGAGTTCTTTATAAACTACGCTTCAGATTCAGTCAGACCAGGAAACAGAGTACAGAAAAAAATAACAAAAATAATAATGACAATAGTAAAACACCGAATTCCTTGCCAGAGCCAGGCTTCCGACGGCGGGTGAAAGAAGGGGGGAAACCCAGCCTTCCAACAGAGTGTTTTCAGAGAGGATGGGTTGTGAGGTTCACGGTGTGACATCGTAGCCTTCAGATGAGGACTCCTTGCCCTGCAGTCCAGGACCTTGATAAGAAGCAACAGCATTGGTCTTAGCTTCGGCTGCCGCCTGTAACTTAAAGAACCGATTTTCACACTCCCCTAGGCGCCGCACCTTGGCTGTAGTAGTCGCCACCGAGCCCGATGCTGTTCTGCACAGCGCACACAAATACAATCTACCCACTCTATGACACTACGACTCTGCGAACATCAGCTATCCGTGGATTTCGCAAATGGCAAAAGGACCCGACATGTCGCAACGGCATCTGCTCTCAAACAGCTTCAAAAGCCTTTTCACGGCTGGCTTGCAATTACCATTCCTGCAGACCTAGGGCAATAATGATTGCAACACTGACTGTACATGCGAAGATCGGACTGTCATGGAAGGTAGGTAGCTGTATGCTACGGCTACAAGCTCGCCCTTCGATACCAGAATGACCTGATCACTTTTTCCAATCGATCTTTGAATGCTTTTGAGATGAATAACCCACTGATTCTCAGGCTGGGTGCTCACCATCCCATGAGTATTCCAGGTCAGTCTGGTCACTCAGGCAGATGATGGAGAAATAAAAGGAGAGAGGACTCATGGCTGCGGTATGTGGCGAGGAAGACGTGCTTTGGTTTCAGCCGCCGGTTGGGGGTGTGTTCTCATTCCTGTTGTAAAGTTGTACATCAGCTTACATCAACATCGAAAACGCACGGGAAAGGCGCTAAACCGGCACTGCCACACAGATCACCGATACGAATCTGTCGATCCACGCTGGCACGTGGTCGACGATTCCATTCGTTCTGAGTTCTGAGACTCACATGGCATCGGAATTCGGCATGGTTGCATGCCGAATTGCGTGCGGCTAGAGTGCACAGAAAAATGAGTCGGCACAGCTATTCTAGTTACTTACTCGATTTCAATCGTGCTCGTAACGGCAGTGACGCCCATACCTGCAATGGCCGCGGGACCAGTGAAGACAAAGCTCACGGCGAGAAGCCATGCCTTACCGCGAACCCCAGCGCACTTAGATGCGCTCAGCGTGTCTACAGTTGTGTCCATTGTCACGCGTGCTCTCCCCGAGTGACGCACCCCACTCGATTTCCCAATGTGTTTGAATTCCTTGGAGTTCTGTACAGAGCCTTCCCGCACTGAAACGCCTGCAGAAATGGCTTGCCAAGCAAAACAGCCTCGCCATATCACATGCTCTCCCTACCCCCGCGCCACCCAAGGCATTCCCCCGCCCCCCCACCCCTTCCTCTTCAGCCCCTGTTTTTGGTTTTGTTTCCATCCCCGCCCCTCCTTCCGTGGTGTGGAACATGCCCATGCGGCCCTCCCCATTGACCTGCCTCTTCAGCCCATGTTTTGGTCAGAAATCAATTCCCCCCCCCCCCGCCCCACCCGCCGACCCCTGTCTTGTGGAGGGAACATGCTGTGCCCCTTAGCCCATGTTTTTGGTTAGATGTCAATCCCCGTGCCCCCTCCTCCTGTGGTGCCATCAGAGGGTTGCCTGTCGCTTCAGGGCACAACATGTTCCACACCACAGGGGACTGAAATCTAAGCAAACACATGACCTGAAGAGGAAGGGGTGGGGAGGGTGGATTGCATGCGGGTGCCCTGCCCCATATATAGATATAGACTCGACATATATACATATATATGTTGATTTATATACTATATACCGCGGACGGCTATACCCTTTCAGCTGTTTTGTCTTGAAAGAGGAGGAGCGCATAGAAAACGACCAACCGGACGACTGGACATGGTTATAGACGATAGGATACTGAAAGCTACGACAACCTACTTCTCAGGACGACGTGACAAGCACACTAATGCCGGCAAGCAGCCTTTCCCCTTACCCTTCCCTTTGCCCTTGCTGGCACTGCGCTCTGCCATTTGCGAAGCCCGCTCCTCCACAAAGTGCCACGACAGCGCGGTGCGCAGCATATGCCCCGAGACATCAGATACTTGCCCTTGCCGGCTGAAGGTTTCCACCACGCGGCTCCAATTCGGCTGGGAAGCACGGAAGACATCCTTGTTGCCGACTGCGGTAAGGGTCTTCTGAGCCCGGCTAATGGCCACATTCAGGCGCCGAGGATTGTGGGCAAAGCCAATGCTGCTGGTCGCGTTGCTGCGCACAGTGGAAAGGACAATGTGAGGGGCTTCTGACCCCTGAGCCGCATCGACGGTGACCACCTTTCCGATAGCTACAGCGGCGTTGAGACCGCGGGTGAGGTGAGGGCTGCTACCACCAAGGGCTGTTGACAGATTTGGCATCAGTCCTCTCAAACAAAATCACTACCCTCGGCCTTCACAGATGCCATGCGATGGGGAAGCAGCTTCGAGAGAGCGTCCTGCAGCAGTGCCGCTTGCGGCTTGTAGAGCGTGATGATCATAACGAGGTCGAGTGTGCTGTTAAGGACAGGGTCGGATCTCAACCTGGGCTGGCACAAGTGACAAGACCACCTGTCTTCGTGACCTACTGAGGTGCGGTGATTCCTCGAATGTCTTCGGCGCCTGCGCCTTAGAGCATGTCATTAGAACACTTGGCAGCCAGCAGACAACTCAATGACGTGAACCACCTCTGCAGGGTTGATCTTGGATGTGCCCACGTCGAGTTCCGACACTGTCACGTTGAACCAACGCAGCTCTGGTAGTTGCCCGAGGCTGAGCCGACCCATGCGATCCATGATCGTCCTTGTCTCCCGGGGGGCTGTCCGAAGCAGGCCACCTTGCCAAATACACACACAGACCACACAGAGACACCAAATACAATGCAGTCGAGAGCGTGACTTCTCAGGTTTTTGATCATGGAATTCACAACATAGCTGCTTGACAAACGAGATGAACGGCACATAAGGCATCGGCCGTAGAAAAGGTTTGACACCAGTGTGCAGAGGACTTCCGGCATGCGGTATTGAACTCGAAGCGAGTGTGGGCGGAGGCCATTGTCGATCGCTCGTTCCATGAGACTGCGGTCCACGTTCCTAAGCATCCGAAGCACCAGGAGTCAGATGCAAAGGAGGCAAAGGAAACGTCTGAGCTGACTCTCCAGCAGCGCCCCAGGAATCCTTAGGACATCTGTTGCCTTAGGACTGGCTCACTCAAAGCGAGGCTCTTTTCCTTGATCTCACGGTCCCCGCCTGTGGCCAGAACCAGTGGGCTGAGCTGCTTGTGGTCGCCCAACAACCTGGATGACATACAATATGGTACAACCACAGCACAGTAATGTTGAACCCTGTTTAGTATAGGCCCCCCTCTGAACAGTCGAGGCGTGGATTTTGCCCTGTTTAGACGGGCCCGGGGGTTTATATGATTTTCATAGGGGATCCATATGAATTTAAACGGGATGAGCTTATCTGAATTTAAAAGGGATGAGCTTATCTGAATTTTAAAGAGATCCACATGACTTTACAAAGAGCTTATACGAATTTAAAGGGATCCATGTGAATTCAAAAGGGATGAGCTTCTGTGAATTTATAAATTCAAAAGGGATCCATATGAATTTCAAAGGGATGAGCTTACATTATGATTTAAAAGGGATCCGTGTGAATTGAGAAGGGTTGTTCGGGGCCGAAGAGGACTCCTGGACCACCCCCTTGTCAGATTGAACGAAGCCAATTTTTCAAATGGTTTCTTTCTTAAAGGGAATTCATGGTTTCGGGCCGGTTGGAATGGATGAGGTCGGCCGTTAAGATCACAAGGTCCGGCTTCAAAATCATAAGGCCCGGCTTTAAACCCCCCCCCCCGCTGTGGTTCATGGTCTGTGGTTCATGGGTTGAGGGTTTAGGGGTTTAGGGTTAGGCTGGAGAGTTCAGGATTTTCACTCTGGTCCATTGGTTCACTGTGGGTTTAAAGTTCAATTAGGGTTCAAGGTTTGGGGTCATGGTAGGTTTACGGTTTCCCCTCTCCCCCTGTGGTTCGTGCTGGGTTTACGGTTCAGGGTTCAGGGTTAACGCGGCTAAGTTTTTGAGTTTACCCTTCTCCCTCCTGTCGTTCATTGGTCGGTTTAGGTCTGTAGGTTCAGGGTTTGGAGTTTTGGCCGAGGTTTCTCTGTCACCCACCCCCGTGGTCCGTGGTGTTTTTAAGGTTAACAGGCAGGGTTTGGGGTGGGAGGGGGGGGGATACCATTGGGGAGGGGGTCGATTACGCGGAACGCAGGCGCCTTTAGCGGAGGCCCCTGCTTGACAGGGTCCAACATGAGCAACGTTGCACGAACTACCCACAACCCCCAACAGGACAGGATGAGCACAGGCCGAGGGGCACCAAGTTCTCAACACGCAGGCGCAGGATCAACGGGATGTACGTCTCAGCCGTCGCTGCGGCCTCATCCAAAACGCCCAAGAAGAGCCTCTTAGGGAAGTCGTCCTTCCAGAGAAAAGCTTGAGCTTCAACAGCCGTTCAAAAGGGTCCAACATGGTCCAGCTCAGCTGCTTGACAGCAGTACATGAGGCTGCGCCATGCTGCGCCCCTGTCCTGGAAGTCCTCCTGCAGCTGCATGACCTGCACGAAAGCACAAGGGATGCCCATCAGTGGCCATATAAAAGAGAAGCAAGATGAAGCTAAGTACATATCCGCTGACCCCGGCTGCCAAATCCTGCAAGCCCAAACCCTTGCCCCACACCCGAAAAAAAAAAAACAGACCCGCGAAAAAAAAAAAAAAAACGGCCCTTCGCCCAACATTTGTCACCCTCTCGCCTACCCACCCCCCCCCCTCAAACCCGGTCCACCTCCCCCTCTTCTGTTTCTTGATGTAAAAGTGTTGGGCATCTTCGCCCATGTCCTTGTTTCCGGCAAACCACGCCTCCCCCAACCCCAATTCCCTGCCCCCCCCCACCCCACAACCCACTCCACCCCACAAAAGGGCCTCCGTCCCCGACCCTCCAGAACAAAACGCCAAACTTCTTCTTTCCCTGATTTCGAAATGTGCGATGTCAGTGGACGCATTCCCCTACCCCTCCCTGCTCAAACCCCCACTCACCTTCCCATGAGCCACCCAACACCCGGGCGGGAGCGCCTCAGTATGCTGTCTGCTTGCCCTGCTGCTCTGCGCCTGGAGCCTGGTGGCCTTTACGGTGTTGGCGGAAGCAGCGCTAGCCTTGAGATACTGTGTGTATGTTTATATATGTATACATATATACATACAAGATACATGTGTTAATTAAGTGGCAGCAATTGCACACCGTTCGTCTTGCAATGGGTGCTTGTGGGCTATTGCAATCCTCTGTGAGGGGCGTGGGCGTGGCGCCTTGTAGCTCGAGGGGATGGTGTACAGAAGGACCCGTGTCTTGCGGACATTCCGTGCCGCCGCTGTGCTGGTGGCAAGGCTAAGGGCCGCCCGAGCTCGTTCGAGAGCTTTCTCCAGGCGAAGCTGGAAGGGGTGCACGTGCCACTCGACTCGAGGAAGCCTGGGCATGCCGAAACGACGCCGCCTCAAGAACCTTGCAGGCCTCAGCTGGATTGCTGCCTGAGCCAGCTTCTTCTTGATGCCATCGATACGTCGAAGGTAAAAGTCCACGGGGTCGTATGGCACCGGAGCCTCTCCACGCCTTCGACGCTCCCAGTTCCCAGCCTCTAGATCAAGGCGATATCGAATGACAGAAGGAAGACACTCGATTTGTGGCAGCTGCAACCTGGACCTGCGGTGAGGCCTCCACAGACGCTCCATCCTTGTGCTTTGAAGTGTGACTACAGCCTTCAGGGTTCTTGACAAGAGGTTTGCTGCCCAAGTCATGCTCAGAACCAGCTCATCTCTCTTGCACAAGTTGTCCAAGGTGTATTGTCCAGCGGTCCTTCCAACGCGATCCGGATTTCCGAGGACAAGGATGCGCAAGCCACCAGGGCAGTCATGAGTCTGCCCGAGCTTTTCGACCACTGCATCGATTGCCTGGTTAGTGACACAAGTGACAATGGCCGCGCATGGCGTTGAGGGCAAACGTGAGCTGAGCATGTGAAAGATAGTTGTGCTCTTGCCTGTGCCAGGAGGTCCATGGACGATTTCCAGGCGTGATGACAAACCATACACAGCAGAGCGCTGATCACTGTTGATTGGCATCAAATCCTCGCGAATTTGGCCGGCAGGCCGGTAGGTGCCAACACCACGACAGCGGGGATTCAGGACAGCCCGCTCCAGCTCGGGATCTGTCAGCCCCATGCCCAGCAGCAGCTCATGAGCGCAACGGTAGCGGTTCAAGTAGTCTCCGGCAAAGATGTGCACGCGCAGCTGCTTCTCTTGGCCGTACGGGAAATGAACCTCATGAAGCTGGCTTCCAGAAGACGAGAAGCCTTCCAACTCAGCCATGTGCTTGGTGCCTCCAAGGATTTGTACAGAGCTCACCTCACACTTGGTCACCCAGAAGAGCTCCCCATCCACCCCGACCACGTTGTCCTTGAGCTGAAGATCCGCTCCAGATTGGGACGGATCGCTGCCATTCTGGCTCTCCAACTGGACCCTTGTCACAGCTACGCCTTTCAACGTTTGCTTTGCATCCAGCTGCACTCGAGGGCCACTGCTGCAGAAGGAAGACACCGCCTCTGCCAAGACATTCCTCCGCATCGTCTCATAGTACATCCCTGCATCGCCATAGGCATCATCAACCTCGTTAAAGGCAGGGGGGGGCAGCCCTTGCTGGCTCTTCCGGAACCATTCGAGGAATGTGTGCCGGCAATCTGGCTGCTCGCTGCGCGATGCAACAGGCCTTGCCCTCAACGTACCGAACATCACCTCTCACAACAAGCTCAGTGACATCAGGAATTCCTAGTCTAGCGCGTGACGTTGCAAACCGGCCTCAAGCACGGACGACGGAACAAATGAGAGATGAACGAGTCTGCTGGACCAAGAGATGGCTGCGTGGCATTTGGGATGACGCATCAGGGGCATCATGGGCCTCAGGAGAAGAATGGTCCTGACACTCCACATCTCTGCAAACTGCAAGAAGCGGCTTCCAGAGCCTTCAGTTTGGGTTGGAAGTGCTGAAAGGCTGCCCTCGGTGACTTCACCTCGTTTTCTGCACATCTAGTCGGTGTCCAAATCTGTGTCAAGAACGGGGGGTGCGCAGGCGTCTGGTATGATTTCCGGCTCGCTTGCACACCTCCCCCCCCCTCCGGGCAACCTCTCCCGCACTTGGCTACTGGACCCTGAAGCCCTTCATTCCCCCAAAGCCTGGGGCTCTGGACAGTTCCGCCAACGGCGGCTGCAACACTGCTGGCAGCGCATCGCTCAGGCGGGTATCCTGGCACTTGCGACTTCGTAGTAGGGCGCATGAGTCTGCTGGCTATGGCTACCTGCAAGCAACCTCCAATGGTTGTGATCATGCCCAGCTCCGCCACTCTCTCCGAAGCTTGAAAAAGGCTGCAGCGGGTCCGTGTCCGCTAGTGCCGTGGCAATCAACACCGACTGTAAGCCTCAGAAGACAAGAGAGCAAAAGTCTGGACAAAAGGCCACGCAGCCGCTCTGCACCGTGGTGAGCTTGCTACGTTCGCACTCAGGGCTTGACGATTGAGGGTCCACAGACCCTCAAGCCAGCCATCGCCGATCGCATCGGGTCCACGGTTGACGGTAGCTGGCTAAGGTTGGCTAAAGGATTCAGGGCGAGGTGGGCTGAGGCTGCCTTTTTTCCCAGGTCACTGAGCCAAGACTGCGGCGCACATGCTGTGCAACGCAGAGCTTGCACAGACTGTGACCAGCTCGAAGGATCCTACCGCACCATCTTCACGCATTGTCGACTGCCCTGCCGCATCTTACACTCTTACACCTTTTTGTTGTAATTTGCGGCGCTGAATCTTGGTCTCGAGCATGCGGGCGGTTCGCGGTCATGCTGGCAGGGCACTGAGTGGCCACTGGTTCCAGCAATACCACACACCAGCGCCCCGATTTGTCAGACTACGTCAGACTTGTCGGGCCTGCTCGCCGCTAAATTTGCCAGAATAGGCAGCGAGAACACTATAGACACCAGGGCGCAACATGCCCTGGGGCTGGCGTCTAAAATGGACGCCATCCTGTTTCTAAAGCCTATGCCCAGCAAAGCAGTTTCAGCATTTCGCAAGGGCTGCTGAGCATGAAATCCTCTTTCTTGCTTTGTTTCTTTGGATCTTTATTTTCGTTCTTTCTTACTTCTTTTGGCCGTTCTTTCTTTTTGTCTGTCTTTCTTTCTTTATGTTTTCTTTTCTTGTCTTTAAGTCTTACTTTCTTGGGGCTTGTGGGCAAGCTCCGGCGCGCAGGGCTCCGGCTCTGTCTCTCTGCCGCATTGCACTTCTTCTTCCATCCTCGTCCATCTTCACTCTCGCTCTCTGACTTACACCAATACAAGGGCACAAGGGACCAGCAACACCACTGGTTTGTGTCCTCTGAAGTCTTCGGATGGTCCGGGGCCCCCCCTCATTCTGAAATCTGCGATCTTGCAGAATTCCACGACCAGCACCAAGCGAAACACCCACTCCTGGCCCACAAACCTTCCACGTTGCCGGGCAGTGATAGACAGCAAGAAAACGACCCAACAGCCTGGAGGAGACTAGCATGGCAAGCATCTGGCAACGCTGGGAAGGTGTGCAAAAAAATTGCTTCTTCCCGATACTGCTTTGCAGCCTGGGTGAAAGGAACCGACCAAGGTAGAGCATGCCGAATCCTGCCTAGAACTCCTCATATCAAAGAGCTAGCTACTGACGTCACAGCTTTACCTGCTGTGGTGCTTAAAGCATGTCTTGGTGTTGTTCGGGCACTCTCTCCTGAACCTTGCCGGATCTGGGCACCACCACGACGATCGCAAACCCAAAGTGGCAATGGCAGATCTCTGCCCGAATGCGGCCGCTCGAGAGTCACTGTGTGGGGCATGGATTGGTGCTGATCGCAGTCAGTGCTGCATGGCATCATCCATGTAGGGAAATGGGATCGCGAGCGTCATTGCCGTCACTTCAAAATCAAGAGGCGTTTCTCACTCTGTGAGATCATAACTCGGACGATGTGTCTGTGCAAAGCGATGCATTACCCCGCTAAACTTGTGAATGTAGAGCAACCGTGGGGAGAAACTAACGCGCGATATGGTGCTGTGCGAGGAACTCGGTGCTGCGCATCAGGCACATTGAAGAGGAGGCTAGATAAGACTAATATGCTGTACAACGCGATGCTTCCTCTCACGGCAGCGAGATGCAGCGAGGCCTCCGAAGGGCCATCCGAAGGGCTAACTAGCGCAAGACGCCACATTGATGGTTCTGCTCATCATCACGCTGCGCCTTAAAGAAGACTGGCAGCAGACGAGTAATGAGGCCAGTCCTGTTGCGCAACCAATCACGACCAGACATCACTAACATTCATAGGCATGCAGCACCTTGAGATCGGGGTGACGAAAGTTAGCAAAGCACAGGGATGTGGACTGGCGGGCTCTGAATCGGGAGTGGAGGAAAAACTGCGACGATGCTGAAACCCCCAGTTGACACCTGCACCCCCAAAAAGGAGCCTAAAAAGGAAGGGGGGGGTTGGCAGGGGAGGGTGTGGGAGGGCCGCCTTCATTCGATTCGGTGAGTTTGTTATCGTTGACGATTGGACTTTCCATACCATTAAGGCCTGCGACATACTCTGAGCGAAGAAGAGATGGCAAACACATGAGCTCCCACGCAGCTGGCTGCTTTCGGAACACCTTGATGTGTTGAGATGTGCTTCATACGAGTATGAGTGCAAATCCCCCCCCAACCACCCACCCCCCCCGCCCCCCAAAAAAGCTGACTCGAGCACCTGCTCGAGACTACGACGCTGAGCTTCTTGTCCATGCGGGCTGCGGGACCTGGCTTGGGGTTCAGGCTGCAGAAAAAAGTCTCTTGTACTTGGGGGCCATTCTTCCTCATCCCTCCACCCATCCATCTGCAGCATGAAGTCGAAGTCTCTTTCTCTCTATACACATCGGCATATGTTATATACATATATATATATATGTGTGAGTATAAGATGCTTACAGAAGCAAACCATGCATGACCATAAGCCATGTGACCTGCGGCGGCGGCGCCATGAAGAGCCCCAGGCTTCGTGCCTGACGGCTGCAGCGGCTGCGGCATTTCCCTTATTTAGGTGCCCGTTGATGGTAACCGTTCGTCAGCTCTTCCGTAGCTTGCACTGCTCTACCATCCCACACTTGCTCTGGTATGGTGGTTTGTGCCGGTTTCCGAAGTTAGGGTACCTTATTGGGGTCCGTACTATAAGGGAACCCTAGTATCTGCGTAGTATCTGCGGGGGCGATCTTCGGGGCCCCCTATCTTTGCAAAATCCCCATGTTGGCCGTGCAGATGTGCCCGGCGCCTTGCCCCCTTCGGCGCCCGGAAGTGGTGGGAGGTCCCCAGCCTTCCGTTTAGGGTTTAGGGTTTAGGGTTTAGGGTTTAGGGTTTAGGGTTTAGGGTTTAGGGTTTAGGGTTTAGGGTTTAGGGTTTAGGGTATTCTCTGCCGTAAGTAAGAGACCCGGGGCGCAGCGATGCTCGTGCGGGATTTTGCTAAACGTCTAACGGCTAAATGGCACCTGGGCCTTGTGCTCTCATGTCTACGCGACCTTCGAACCTGCAAATTACATGACATTCTGATACATATTCAGACTCCGGCAGAGGAACTGGAAATTGGAAATTGGAAACTGCTCATTGCTCAGGTTTGACCTGTGACCACGTTGCAGAGCCAGGCCTTGCCAGGCCTCCCAGAGGGCCAGTGCCCACAGGCCTCCCCAGAGCAGCCACAGTCGATGTAACCTTCGCAAGGGCCAATATAGCTGTTACCCAGTAACTGCATCCTTTTCATTAAAGTCCCCAGAGGCCCACACCCACTTCGCGCTCCCAGGTGGGCTGCTGCGAAGGGAGGGTGCACTTCTCGAAGTCGCCCTGGCGGCGCCTCGCGCATGGTGAGATTTCCTACCAGAACAGACGTTGTTGCTGTGTGCGGTTACAACCTGCATGATCGATAGCTTTGCTGACGTTTTGCTGACGGCCTTGGCTCTGCATCTGATCTCCGAAAAACTAGATTCAGAGCCCACATTTCTCACGCAAAGAAAATCTGAGAATCTTCCACAGCTCTCCAAAGTTGAAGTTCTATGCTCTCGCAAGCACCCCCTGAGCCCGAGCCTGTCGGCCCCAGGGCTTCTCTGCCACCAAACCTCTCAGGCGCTGAAAGGTGTTCTTAACACAGGGTGTCTCTTCAGTGGCCCGTTCGGACCAGCGAGCCTCGGATCTGCATGAGTACTGGGTGCTGTGGCCTGACCACAGCAAAGACGAAGCAAACAGCCCATGAGAGACGAATGTGACGTCAAATCAGTCGCAAGCTTGGGCGAAATCTGCCCCAATGCCTGCTGCACAGCCCAAGCGACGTGCTCTTGACGGACCTGCAATGGCAAGGGACGGGCACCGGAGAGCGAAGCACGGGAGGCACAGGGTTCTACCAACCCAGGGTCCTTTGCACAAAGCAACTTGGGGGAGAAGGTCGCGGAAGCAAGGGCCGAGAAACATTTGGCGAGTGTGTGACAGTGATCCATATCATCACTGAATCGTGCTCTTGTGACTTGTCATCTTGTAGTGCTCCGCAGCGATGCTGTACAAGTACGATGCTCATTTCAATGCTTCACATGGGCCGAGCTTCCGCGCCTGGCCCAGTCTGCAGGTTGGAGAGGTTGGCATCAATCTGCCTGCGGGCGTATCTGACATGTGGACTCGCAAACCCCCCCCCTGCAAGGACGGAACAGGCTTCACAACCAGGATGGGACTATGTTGAAGTTCTGGGAGCAACTGGTCTGAGCCCCTGTACAATGGGCTCAGACCCTGCACAGTTTAACAGTACATGTCGCAACCCAGTGAACCTCTGGTTCTGACCTGTGTACCCAGTGGCAATATGGTCGGCGAAATGTTCTGATGGATGGTGAAACAGGGCAAGTAAGTGTAATTAACACCGACCCGACATCATCCGACTGTCCGTAGGCCCGGGTTGCCGCACCCGAAGTCAAGCGAAGTTGGGGGTGGTCGCCTTGGCTGACACATGCTGGCAACACCAGTGCATGCTGGCAACACCAGTGCATGCTGGCACCCTCCTTGACAAATTCCACATTCCCGCATAAGTGCAGGCAACGCAGCTCCACCCCGCGCCAGTTGCGGCCCTCAGCACGCGGCCGGGGGACCTGCAGAGTCTTGGGGGAAATCTATGCAAGGAGCCACCAGGAGAAGGCGCAGCTTTCAAGGAATAAGGGGCTCGAGCAGTCTGAATGGGGCTCCCCGTGGGCTTAGAGGGGTTTACACGCGGGGCACGAACACTCTTTCGCCGCCTCGGCCTTTGCTGTGTGCGGTCTCGGGCGAGAGCTCAGGCTTGAGCGCACACCTCACACACCCGGGGCCCATGGGCCGGGCAATGGTGTGGAATAAAGTCCATGGAGTCCACTCTGATTCTGCTTCCTGATGACTCAGGCAGCAGCTACATTGATCCATGCCCTGGAGATGTCACACGACATAACGCGACACCACAGGAGCACGACTCACCAACATCATGACCTCAACCATTCCAATGGCTCATGCTCTTTTGGCCTCGGGCTGGCCCTGTTGGCTCGCGATTTGCCTGTCGACTCTGAGAAATCCGGAAATGGGGAGAAAAACAAAGGCTCCGAATCAGGAAGAGAGCCGTCGTCTTCGCAGCGCCTTCTTCTCGCAGCTTCGACAATCTTCTCCACCTGCCCAGCCAGAACTGCAATATCACGCAGCGCAAGGCTCTTCATCAAGGCCTCTCTGTCGGATCGGCTCCAGTCGTCGCCTGAGGATATGCTTTCGTGCGCTGTTCCATCATGGTGCTGCTCATGTGCCTCTAAAAACCATGGAGACACGATGTTGGGAGCGCTTCGCCTTGTGGGGTACCCGCACGTGAGGCAGGTCTCTGGGGCAACTCAGAGCCCAGGTGCTCCTGGGAAAAGGAACATACGACATACGAGTAAAGATGACAAAAGAACCATGCAACGCGCCTTTGGGTTGCCTTTCACTGTTTTTATACTAGTATAGCAACTTTGCACGTTTCAGCCCTTGTCAGCCAGTCCTGGAGCACTGGGGTTGCCGCTCGCTGGGCATTGAAGATCATTCGCCCGCGCCTTTTGGATGCTCAGTCGCTCCGCTCTGCATTGCAACAAATGCCAAATCACGCTGTAGCCACCTGACCCAACCTCCGCTAGCCTGACTCTGCTGGTCTGACAGAAGCCGTCGCGCTTGGTGCCCGCGTCGTGTTGCCATGTGCTGCCGGGGCACGATTGCCGATAGCTGCTGGAGCTGCTGCTTGACCCACGCGACTCCTCGGCATTGTGAACGCTCGGATGCCGAAGCCGACAATATCAATTTGCACACTCCGTTTGCACTGGTGTTCCATGCCATGGGAACGGGCAGACACATGAATGCATTGTTGAAATCACAGAAGCCAGCAACACGATTGCAGCCATGAACATCAATTCACAGTCACACGCAGACACAGTCTTTCTCGCACACACACACAGTCAGACAGTTACACAGGCCCCAAAAAGTGTCAATGATGCACCCTCCCCTTCATGGTCGGAGCACCGGCCGCGGCGAGGGCTCTCGGGTGCTCACTGCCTTAGGACTTGGGAGTTTTTATAAACTACGCAGGCTTCAGGGCTTCAGAGTCAGACCAGGAAACAGAGTACAGAGAAAAAAGTAATAATAGTAAAAACTATTAAGAATCATAATAAAAATAAGAATAAGAATAAGAATAATAATAGTAATAATAAAACACCGAATTCGTTTGCCAGAGCCAGGCTTCCAGCGGCGGGTGAAAGAGGGGGGGAAACCCAGCCTTCCAATGGAGTGTGTTTTCTCAGAGAGGATATGGGTTGGGGGAACCAGGTTTAGGATTTAGGGTTTAGGATTTAGGGTTTAGAGTTTAGGGTTGGGGGAGCCTTCAGGGCGTGTGGCAGATGCCGGCCTTCAGATGAGGACTCCTTGCCCTGCAGCCCAGGACCTTGATACCAGCAACAGCATTGGTGTTGTAAGGTAAAGAACCGATGTTCACACTCCACTAGGCGCCGCACCTTGGCTGTAGTAGTCGCCACGGATCCCGATGCTGTTCTGCGACAGCGGAGACAAACTACAATCCACCTCTCTCTCTGCGAGCAGCAGCTATAAGGTCCCGACGTGTCCCAACAACATCTGCTCTCAAACGGCTTCAAAAGCCTTTGTCCTGGCTGGCTTCCAACTACCATTCCTGCAGACTTAGTGCAGGAACGACTGCAACACTGACTGTACATGCGAAGATCGGACTCCCATGTACTGTAGCTGCATGGCTACAAGCTCTCACTGACCATCCCATATTTCAGGTCACTGGCTGATGATGGAGAAATAGAGCGAGAGGACTCATGGCTGTGGTATGTGGGCGAGGAAGACGTCTGCTGTACATCAGCTTACATCAACATCGAAACAAAGCACGGGAAAGGCGCCAAACCGGCACTGCTACACACATCACCGCTTCCGTACGAATCTGTCGATCCACGCTGGCACGTGGTCGACGATTCCATTCATTCTGAGTTCTGAGACTTACATGGCATCGGAATTCGGCATGGTTGCATGCCGAATTGCGTGCGGCTAGAGTCGGTTTCAACCGTGCTCGTACCGGCAGTGACGCACATACCGGCAATTGCCGCGGGACTCGGTGAAGACAAGCTCGCGGCGAGCAGTCATGCTTTACCGCTTACAGTAGTGTCGGTTTTGCATGGTTCATTGTCCTTGGATTCTTGGCAAAAAATCCTCATAGCCTTCCCGCAGGACTGGCTCACTCAAAGCGAGGCTCTTTTTCCTTGATCTCACGGACCCCACCCGTTGCCAACCAGTGGGCTGAGCTGCTTGTGGTCGCCCAACAGCCTGGATGACATACAACATGGTACAACCACAGCAATATAGCAACGTTGCACAACAGGACAGGATGAGCACAGTCCGAGGGGCACCATGTTCTCAACACGCAAGCGCAGGATCAACGGGATGTAAGTCTCAGCCGTCGGGACGGCCTCATCCAAAACGCTCAAGACAGAAGAGCCTCTTAGGGAAATCGTCCTTCAAGAGAAAAGCTTGAGCTTCAACAGCCGTTCAAAAACGGGTCCAACATGGTCCGGCTCAGCCGCTTGACAGCAGCCTGCATGGGGGCTGCGCCATGCTGCGCCCCTGTCCTGGATGTCCTCCTGCAGCTGCATGCCCATCAGCAGCATTCAGCAGCCACAGAAAGAGAAGCAAGTAAGTACATGTGTATATATATAATATGTAACGAAAAGATACATGTATTCGCGGCAGCAATTGCACATCGTTCATCTTGCAATGGGTGATTTTATGGGCTATTGCAATCCTCACATTCCGTGCCGCAGCCATGCTGGTGGCCGAAGCTGGAAGCGGTGCGCCACTCGACTCGAGGAAGCCTGGGCCTGCCGAAACGATGCCGTCTCTGCAACAGCTTGCTAGAAAGAGCTCTGCGAAAGCCTGTGGAGACCCTCAAACTCGAGAAGGGCCTCAGCATCAGTGGTGATAAAAGGGCCACGGTGAACCTCGCGGGTTGAGACGTCCACCCCCAGTGCATACTCGAATAATTAGCGCAGAGCATCGCAGTGGTGGCACTTTTACTTCAGGAGAGCCTTTCTGAGACTGAGCCTCTTGCTCGTTGGATTATCACAGGCCGAGCTTGCAGAGGTCCAGCACTGCAAAACCGAGTGATGGCTCACGTTGCTCTAGGCGGGGAGTCTGGTTTCCTGGAGATTACTCCGTTCGCGTCCCATGAGAAGTGGCGGTGTCATACACGGTGGTTGGTGCATAAACAGAATCCCACCATGGCTCAGAGTCGAGAGTCGAAGGCTCGATTGAGGCGGTTCCTGAAGCTCCGCTCTTGCCTCGGGGCGGGGGAGGCGGCTTTCCAACCGATGCTTCAGATGATTGTGATTGTGTCCCTTGAGAGTCCAAGGACCCTGTCAAGGATCCTGTAATATCCCAAGTCGAGTCTCCAAAAGTCGAAGTGTCATCCGAAGTCCGCCCCTTGTACCTGATGGGCACTCCACGTGGAGGAGCCTTCCCTGTCAGGGGCTTCAGCATGTCTCTGGCCAAAGGGTTTCCGGCTGTCCCCCTTGTACGTGGAACACGGGGTAAAGCCTCCCGCACGCGAGGCGGCGGCAGATCTTCTTTGTCCTCCGGTGGCGGTGGAGGCAACCCTTCGTTTCCACTGGGCGGTGCCAAATCCTCTTTTGTCTGTGGTGGCGGAGGCTCGGAGGGCTCCCTTGATCGTCTGGGAACCGGCTGTCGGAGGATCCAAATCCAAGTGTCCTCATCCCACATGAGCATGGCCCAGGCACCAATGACTCTCTGCCAGTGGCCCAGGCCACCCTTTCCCATCATTACTTGGATTCCATAGTGGGGACCCCACCTTTTCGTGCACTTCTCCCCAATGCACTCGGACATCTCCATCTTGCTCTCCACATAACACCTGGGAGCCGCATAGTCTGTCAACCACCTGAGCTCCTCCTCCGAGAGCCGGGCAGAACGCAGCACGTTGGGATAGCCTTCTGTCGTCCCATTCAGAGTCTGAATGCTTTCCGAACTGCCAGTGTAGCGCACTGCTTGGCCGGCTGAGAACAACAGGGCAGCAAAGACAGGATACATGCTAGGCATCACGTGATGCCAGGAAAGGAGGCCGGTGTTTTACAAACGACGAAAGGGACCTACCTTGCTTGGAAGCTTTCTTTGAACCATACGCAGACATCACTCGCCAGTTGCCCCATTGTCCACTCGTGTGCATATTACCCGAAGAAGAATGACAACAACCGAGACAACAGATGACATTTGTCCTCCTCATTTCCTGCACCTGAAACAGTCCTTTGTGTTTGTGGCTGAGTTCTCTTGCCTGGGTACTTCGCAGCAGTCATAGCACAAGCCGACATTGCTGCAGCAGCAGCAGCAGCAGCAGCAGCAGTCTTTAAAAAAAAACATAACGGGCCCTACAAGCAAGCCCCTGAGCCCCTACCCATGAATACAGAAAAAGGAGACCACCACCATCAACTTAGGGCCCAAGTATCAGCAGCAAAGAAGGAAATGGAAGGGCGTAATGTTCAGAGTTCAGAGTCTTGCTGCATTCCAACTCCTCCTAACAACTTACCCACGTGCAGTCCTTGCTGTTGCCTTTGCCACCATAGCCATTTTCGTGCTGGTGGTCGTCGCGGCTGCCATTGCCTGAAACAAACTCAATGCGTGATCATGCTATCCGTAGGTTCTGGCAATCTACTGCCGTGGACACTGCCTCTGGCAAGACATTCCTCCGCATCGTCTCATAGTACATCCGTGCATCGCCATAGGCATGAGCAAACTCTTTGATCCTCTTTGAAGGCAGGAGGCTGAGCCCCTTCCTGGCTCTTCCGACTCAATTCGAGGAATGAATGCGGGCCGGCCTTGCCCTCAACGAACCGAACATCACCTCTCACAGCAAGCTCAGTGACATCAGGATTTCCTAGTCTGGTGAGTGACCGTCGCTTTCCTGCCTGAAAGCACGGACGATGGAGAAAAAATCAGCGATGAACGAGTCTGCTGGACCAAGAAATGGCTGCGTGGTAATTTGACATGCTGTGGGCATCACGGGCATGATGAACCTCAGCACAAGAGTGTCCTACAGTCCCCAGCTTCTCCAAATAAATTCTCCTACCTTCGGTGCCCACCTCTCTGCAAGCTCCAAAATGCGGCTTCCGGAGCCTTCGGTTTGGGTTGGAAGTGCTGAAAGGCTGCCCTGGGCCGCTCCTGGCAATTTGACGACCAAAACGAGAGAAATGGTTGCAATGGTTGCCACTGTGGCCAAAAATCTTCACGGACCCGATGCTGGGCGCCTCAGGTTCGGGCTCGGCCACGCACCTGAAGATCTTCTGAAGGCTTCACATCGCAGTCAGGCGACGTTAGAGGGTTCAAGCCAAGTCCAACCGATCTTGGGATGAGGCCTTGCGAATCTGAGCTTGCTGTAAGCACGGAGCTACAGCTTGACTGAAGTGTATCTGCTAAGCCATGGATCTTGTGAGCAAAAAAAGGACAGACCACAGACTCTACTTGGTCAGCTCTCCATAGGACCGCCCCCATTCGGGGTACCTGTTTCTAGTTTCGAAAACACGGCCCAACATTTAGATTCAGGCTGTTCGTAGACCTAGCTGGAACAACAGGTGCTGCCGATGACCTATGCTCAGAATGGCACTGCATAAGCTCATCGTCCTCCATGGCCCTCGTGCGATGAGACCTGGTCGGCCGAGAGCAGTCTAACATCCCAATCTCCTTCAATCTCCTCAACAAAAAGGAGACCAGTCTGTGTCAGGACCCAGCAGGACCGCTCCTACGTTTACAAGGCGACTGTCGCATTCCCTAAGCATGAGCAGATACAAGCGGAAGAATACCGGAAAAATTGAACAGGAGGGTAGGCGGTGCAGTTCCGAGCTGAAGGTCAGGCTCGTGATTAACCAGACCGCAAATATGCCACCATCACCTTTCAAACTACATTGGCAGCGGCATGTCCTTTAGCAAGAGGTGCTTGAGAGGGTTCATAGGCATGCGTTGTACAGAGAGCTCCGAAACCTCCGACAGACCTGTTACATTGCTGGCTCATGCTAGTTGTTATAACTCCAAGAAGATGAGATGTGACATGATGGTACAGACGCTCCTTTGCAACGACTTGCTATGGCCATCGTCAACTCCTGCCTTTGGCACATGGAGCTATTGCGAAGTTGCGGAGTTGCTGGCTGCTGCTACTGCCTTTGTGTTGAATTCTTGTTGTTCATGCGACATTCCTGGCCACTCGGCAACTTCCCTAAGCCGCGGAGGCGAATTTGAGCCCTCTTGGAGGGAAGCTCAAATAGGGCCACGGAGTTCTTCTGACAGAGCCAGGCTCCATGGCTCTGGCAGCAAAACTCCCTGGCCCTGCTCACACGGTGAAACAGCTCAATGCCATGCCAAGCGCCGGCATCTGCGATACGCGATGACGTCGAGGCCTACCCAAACAGTTCGGGAACATGAATCCGAGTGAAAGAGAGCTCTGTACAAAGCAACACCAAACAAGAACAAAGGCGGTTGACAATTGTTCACGGAAGAGGTGGCGTTCGTTTCAGTTCGCTGAAAACAAACCACCATGTCTTGAACCGGGGGGGGGGGGGGGAAACAAGGGAGGCACGGCCTGTGCCCGGGCAGGAGGCGCCCCTAGTGGCCGAAAGCGAAGTGGGACATGACCTTAAGGCGCTTTGGCCACAAGCGGACGTAACAACGTACATCTGGCCGCCGCACACGACGTCATGAGAGCCACTCCAGCGTGAACTCTTGACAGAACTTTTTGGTCGCCTAATGGCTGAGTGCAGAACCAGCCCATGCTCCTGACAGTGGGCGAGAGCCTGGCACAACAGTTGTGCTGCGCTGTCTTTGAAGATCGTTGCAAAAGTCGTTGGCGCGAACCATGCTACAGAGTGTCTTCATGTAAACAAAGCCCCATATGCACCTCTCCAGGATCGTCTCGAGCAGCACCTCATAATGGAATTGGGGCTGGAAAAGCTGCCAAGCGCAAGTCAGCATACGAAGATTCTGCAGGGTTCGTGTCGCGAGGCGTGTTCGGTCGAAGGGACAAGGTGACATCATTTTCAGCTCTGCTAGCTGCAGCACTCTGAAATGAAGCCGAGTAAGGAAGTGTCTTGTGATCCATGTCATGCCAAGTTAAGATGGATTCCCCGACCTTCTTTGCAGTGGTAAGACTTTGGCGGTATGCAACTAAAATCTGCTCAGGGCCTGCTCACAAGCAAGGTAATTCTGTAATGTTTCATGGGATTGCACACTGTAAACAGACTCCGACTTGCGGATTCATGTTACCAATGCTGGATGTCTTCTCATGTCAATGGGTAGCAGCACCGTTGCAGGAGATGGCAAAATCAGCTGTCGAGAGTACGCACACATTGACAATGCCTGCAGCCACGTGCAATGGCAGAAGGTGCTCTTCACGACCGTGGACCTCGTACAATCATGGCAATTGCCCAAAAACTTTGCTCTTTGAGAGGGGATGCTCGTCTGCACCTCAAACCCCTACGCCGCCTCCCGCGCATGTGGCAGCGTGGAGGTCCATGTTCGCAAGCCTTCAAAACCTGCGGCCATCGGTAGCAGGGAGCAGAGACCAGTGAATCGAAGTGCAGTCATGAGAAGCCACATCGCTGCACTGCCACTGCACATCTGGCCAAGAGGCGTTCTCTCGGCGAAACATCACAGCAGAGTCGCGTGAGCTCTTCTGTCCACCTTCGAAAGGTCGAGAGGGGAATCATGGGGAATCAGAGTTGAAGCCCCGAGCATGACTCCACACATTGCGAATTGCTGCTTCAATCCCATGTCGAGAGGCCTTGTGGCTCTACTATGAAACTGGGATCCCCAGCCTCCAAACTTTCAAGGACCACAAGATACTTTTCAGTTTGCCAGACCATGCTCGAGTTAGGGTGCCCTGGGCAACGTCTTTTCTTATTAACAACTCTCCTGGGTGATGTACTGCTATTGAGGTGCATGGGACAAGGCAGAGTTGGGCGGTCAAATAGACCAGCTGCCGTCCAATATCCCACAGAGCCTCTCAAGGCGCTCGGGCTTCGTGGCAGAATTCGTGGAAAGACCACTGCCGAGTATCAGCACCCCACGAGACCTGGCTGCTTTCATGAGCACAGATGACAGCGAAATATCTAGGGGCTTCCGACATTAGGGGGTACCTTATTTGGTGTCCCTACCATCATAAGGGAAACCTACGATTTGTGGGTCCATATTAGGGGTCCCTTATTTTCGGAAACCCCCATCTGATGGTCCAGGGTGATTGCACGGCTGGGCCGCAGGCCGGAGTGGCGACAAAGCTCGGCCAACCTCTGCCAAGTGCATTTGGGGTTTAGGGTTTAGGGTTTAGGGTTTAGGGTCATTATCTGAACATCCCACACACGATGCAGGCATCTCGGGGTCAGATGCTGCAAAGGCGAGAGCAATGTGAAAACGCGAGATTCACTCAAACACCCTCCGCTCCTCCAGGCACTGGCGCGCGAGTTCGGAGCCCCTGCGGCCGAAGGCGGGTAGGCTGAGCTGCACCACCGGCACCGATGCCAAGTCAGGCCTCGGGAGTCTGCCGGGTCGACTTAGGCTCTGCTGAAAGCGTCTTCTCGGCTACTCCTCCTTCCTCCCATCGCTATTTGTGGTGATTGCTCAAAACCCAAATATCACAATACCCGAACCTTCAGCGGGGCTTTAAGCTTACGGATTGCATGCTTCTGCGTTTGCAGCTGCAAAGGTCGTCGGGATTTCAGAATCACGGCACGCGAGCTCTGAACGTTCTAACTACTGTAGAGCCTGAACACAGCAAGCAACAAAGGAACACTAGTGAGAGCCCTGGTACCACTCGGTACCCCAAGGAGAGAGCGCAAAAGTGTCACGAATCATTCCGAGCGGCATGAGGAGCAGCGGAACGAAGACACCATGGTCCTTAGTTTGCAGAGCAGACACTGCAGCATCGCTACCTTCATCTAGCAGGCAAGGCCAGCTAAATTGAATTGCACTGTATTCAAGGCTGCATAACTTCTGGCGACCTGTCAACCACACTGATACTCAGTGCGGTCGAAGCCACCAGAGCTCGGGCAGAGTTGATCCTGATCTCCTGCTGCAAGACTTGCAATCAGGATAACCTGCAGATCTTCTATGGCTGTTTAACATCCGCTCCTGGTCTGCCGCCTGAAGGAGATCAACCACCCAGCCTGACCTTACAAGTTCTTGCGAACGGCTTGAGGCTGGGAGCCTTGGGCACTCGCCGCTAGCCCACGTCCTGATAAGAGGCTTTTGGGCTTAGCTGTGAGTGGTCTTGAGTCTCTTCTGAATACTCTTGAACTTTAAACGGAGCACCAGCCATTCGGATGTGCCGAGATCTTCACATCCCAGCGCCACTCAGTGCCCGGCACCTGTGGGTCACCAGGAGGGTGGTATTGGTGGTGCACCTGTACCAAACCATGCGGAGCTGTGTAGACACACAAGGGCTTAAACAGGAATCTGTCTGGGACACCGGTGCAAGATCAACAAGGTCACTTCATCGTGGGCCGTGGAATGCTCACGAGACATTCCAGGAAAAGTTGGCTGCTGGCCCTGCTTCCGCTACTCAATGGGCTTGCAGTGGCTTTCCCTACTTAAGAAGGCAAACTTCAGTGCACGACCCGCGCCTCATACATCTCTTTGGATGCCCCAGCATAGTCATACAGAAGACCTCGCGCACAGCGCAAAGTGGCAAAGTGACAAGGCTCTGCTTCGGGTCAGGCCATCATCCACGAATTCATTCGAGGCTATGTCAATGTTCTTGAAAAGCTTCTCCATCATAGGCGCAGAAATGACGTACTTGTTGCGATTCCGACGGCACGTCACTTTGCTTCAAGTCGCCTTGCGCATGAGTCCGGCGCAAGCTCACCTGTCATGTCAGGCAGAACGAGCTGAACGGGTGCAAGGCTCGCAAACAAGAGCAGAATGCGCATCGACACACTGTGTAGAACAGCGTTCGGACTCGACAGGCTGAACACGTGTAAATGGCCTCCAGCCCGCCCCTGCTCTCCCAGTGCGCCGACACCACGAGGATGCACCGGACCTAAAAGCGAGACCCCCTCCGCTTGAGAGACTGAAGAAGCTTAAGCACTCTTAAGCGCCGAAAACGCGCTGAAATGTAATTGGTAAGCACTCATGTGATTGAAAATGCAAGCGCTCTGTAGGCTCCAACCAAATGCTCATCCAGCCGCAGCCTGCAGCCGCCATTCAAAGAAGCAGGTGTGCACAGAGGTGCATTTCTACAACAGCGCAGAACAGCATTTTCTTGCATCATGGGTATTTTTGGGCCAGCCTATGGATGCTTGTGGACGCTTATGGATACATACTTCTTTGTATGAATACTGCACCATGCAGAATCGAGGGAAAAAGCGTCAAAGCCCCGCCTGCGGGGTAGGTCGGCCAAGCTGCGTCGGAAGGGGGCAGATGGGTCGAGCAGAAGGGGCATGGGCCCAATGCCATGGGAGATGAACCTCGGGCGCTCCACTGGTGCCACACTGAGCCCACTGATGTTCACACGAACATGGCACGGCACATCGTCAGGGCGAGGAGCAGCGTGGGCAGAGGGTCGGTGTCCACCCGATTGATGACATGTTCCTGCGGGGGTTAGCCAGAAACTCACCGGTTGTGATACAATGGCTCTTGGAGCACTTGTTGCATGTTGCTCGGCTTGGTGGCTCGATGGGTTCTGCAAGACAAGCAACAGCATCAAAATGCATTGCCAAGGCTCAGCCGGCTGGAAGGCTTTGCTAAAGCACTCCGCTGCCCTCAGCTTGCCATACTTTCTCGCTCCGCTAAGCGTTGACATGCACTTTCAGATGCGGGCATCATGTCAGCCAATGGAATCGAGGGGACTATGTGCAAGATGACGCGACTGCATTAGACGGACTGGAGGCCTGAACACAGAATGAAAGAGCAGGGCGCTTGCACTGTGTCTGGATATTGCCGGCAAGCTGCTGATCCTGAGTCTCCACAAAAACAGTAGGACAACACGTCTCAACATGGAGATTTGCCCCACAACACAAGGCCCACAAACAGGAACTGAGAGCACAGGACCATTCTGCAGTGAGCCTTGAACACTTCAAAGCAGAGCCAAGCATCTGTCGCACAGGCAGACGCCCTGTTCACCCGCTTCTTTCCATGGGCTCGAGGACCTTCCAAGTCCTCATCCTGAGAGGCAGAAACGTCTTAATTGAATGCAGAATTACATGCCAGAAACAAATTCATCTAGCACTATAGTACTCTAGTAGCTATATAATCCAACCTAATGGAATCCAAGATCCAACATCACCGAAGAAAGGCAAGAAACCAAAGCCCCCGGCCTGGAGGCAAAGGCCAGCGCAACCGTCGAAGATGTTCGCAAGCTGCGCGTTCGCCTTCGAGTTATAGCTCAGCAAGAGATGACATGACACGGGTCATGACTTGAGATGCGCTTCCGCACACTACAGCTGCCCCAGGTGAACCCGGCGAACTGAATAGGAGGCTGTGTGCTGGCAGGCCGCCTTCTTCGCATGTGCCTGCGGCAGAACTACGAGTCAACCCAGGCAGTGAAACAAGCTAACTCCGACGCACAGTAAGCAAGCAGCACCCATCATGATAGGCAGCGCTTGCCCTGATGCGCTGCGGTGCGCCTGTGTTGATAGGTAGGGTGTGTGATATATATATATATATATACATCATGGTGCCCTTTATGGTGCGACGCACATGGCGGCCACCAGGGCGAAGTGAGGGTTGGCTGAGCTGTGAGGTCGGCCCACCGGCCTCCTTGAGAGTGGGGGACCCACATACCAAGTCGAACCTCAGCTCTCCATGGCCCAGGTGACCGTGAGATGAGGAAGTGTTCTGCAGTGGCACGCCGTTGGCATTCTCCGTGCACTTTCTGGACCGCCTGTGTTGTGGTTAATGCCAATGACTCTAGAGCTCGATCAGCCAGGTGGCACGTCTGGGGAATCAGCTACATGTGGTGCACCAATAAATTCCTTCTTGCCTTGACCTCGGAAGTGCTGCAACTATGCTCGGAGCGAAACACTTCTTGACAACATGCGAATTTGCAGCTCCCTCTCAGTTGAAAGCGATTCGGAGCTGCATCAGATGGCAAAAGCAACTTGTTCTTGTACTGGGGTACGCATGACATGTTTCGAGCAGTCTGCCGTAGTTCTCCTGCCGAGAGGCGACGCACCTTGCCATCGCCAACGTCTTCATCCTCCCAAGGCCAGGAAAACCCTACACCCCGGCTCAAAACATGTGCAGAGTCTGCCAGAAGCATCGCATCGACCCCTAAATTTGAATTTTGCATTCAATTGCGAGAGTCCTTTGCATTTCTCTAACAAGGGTGGCTTCCCAATTGTCAAGTTGTCCTGCAAGCTCTTGCCGGCATGACCAGCGAACATGTGCTGAAGATGGCAACCTGATTTTGCAGCAGGCGAGACGGACGAGTGGCACTGGGGCATGACTGTCTCCGATGGAACCTGCGCTCGGTAAGTCACCGCCAACCGGCACTCTCGGCACTCTGAAACATGAAAGTATGCAAGTGGCCATGCTTCTGGTGATGTCGCTCATAGTGTTCCTCGGTACCGTGTCGCATGTGGCTGTGGCATCGATGAATCCGGTATAGCTAGCTCTATAATTACTTCCCGTAACTTGCTCAGGAAGACGGAAAGTCGAGAATTCCCCAAACGATGGGAGTCTGCATCATGCGCCCTTCCTCGTGCGGACCCTGGGCTGCAAGCCTCCGAAATTGAGTATTTACATGTATTTACCACGCCCTCGCAGATGGGATGTGTGAGAACGCTGCAGCGAGCAAGCATCCTGGAAGCCCCACTGTGCCAATGAGATGCAGAGAGCTGCTCGCTGCCACAAAGGATGCCGGACAGAGGGGTGTCCTGCACCATGTCAGCAAGAGAAGACAGGAAATTCGCAATCCTCGATACATCTGACACTTCTTGAGAGACTTATAGGTTTAGGGGGTTGGGGGGCTCGAATTTCACAAAAAGCCGGTCCATGACATGGGGCGCCCCGAAGAAGTTCCTGAGCAAAGTGCCATGGCAGGGTGTGCAAAGCAGTGGGACTCTCAGCTTGCCAGAGATCCAGCGACTAGTTTCCAGGAAGAGTTCCAGAAAGGGTATTCCAGAAAGGCATTTACCAGGCATTCTCTGGTACAATAAGTTAGTGACTTACGTACAAAAGTTTAATGACCGACAGCCATGCACTCATGCTGCGTCAGAGGATATGATTTTAGGCTTTTTGGCGAAGCTGGGTTTGGGCTTTAGGGTCGTGTGTGGTCAACAGACCACCTTCCGGTAGGGAAGCCATCACACATCTCTGTCACCGTATGATTGCTCCTGGTAAAACATGATGGCTTGGTTAAATCTCTCAGCCGCAGCACCTTTTGCTGCGGGCACGGCTGCCGCTGACATCCTCTTCCTGCCCAGCGTGCTGGAGATAGATTCTTAAGATGCTGCGCGTGCCCAATCACAGTGAAGACCCGTCTCGCTTTAGGACTCCATTGCGGGCCATTCCCCAACCCAGGTCCTGCGCGCTATGCCCAGCAAAGCCTGCGCACATGGCAGGGGCGCATTCCTGAAAACCCCTAGAACATCTGTTGGAGGACGATTCTTGGCACCACTCGCTACCTCAAGTCATGTCTTCCTTCCTGTAGAGACCTGGAGGCCTTTAGACTCCTACCATGGCCACGAACCTCGATTTTCTCCGTTCTCCGCAACTGCCATGGACACTGGGCAAAGCTTATCTTCTCAAGGCCATTGGGTCAGGGGGAGCGCCCAAAAATTCTGGAACACCACAGCTTGGTGTGAGACTAGCTATGGGATTGGGGGTGTCTCAGGGCCTCTACTCGCCATGCCGGTTGCTTCATCGTTAAGAAACAGCATGGTGTCAGTTGGCACTGGCTTTTGCTTCTGATGCAAATCAAGTACCTTGCTTGCGCTGTGGCCATCCTAGCCCTGCTCACTGAATATCTCGAAAGGCATGTCAATGTTTGCAGCCTGCCCGAAAACCATCCCCGGCCCCTGGAATACTAAGGCTGCTCAAAGCTACAAGCTTGAGATGAAGTCTTGGAGTCCGCATTCAACAGGCCTGCCTTGAAACATCTTTGACAGGTCCCGGTGGCTCTGCTCGTGTAGATCCTGCCGCTCTCAGTGCACGCTCTGCCGCAGCCCGTCAACCCACAAAGCACCATGTGAGGAATCTTGGATGGAACCTGAAGGATTAATGTCAACATCAGTACGAATGGAAATGATTTGAACTCATGCTTTGATTTCAATCAAAAGACAGCAATAGCAAGCAGAAACCTTGAAACGGAGACTGCACTTGCTTGTCGCAACCCACTCTGCACCGACGGCACTCAAGATAATGCCTAAACACGGCTTATTGTAAACTCTGAGGAAAAACACAAGCGCCTTCATCGCACTCAGCTTGTCGCTGCCACAGATGAGCTTCTCGACTTCTGGAGTGTCCTGCACCTTTTTGCAGACTCTACTACTTGCTCTACTCAATATCTTCACCGTGTCTACCATCAGCATCGGCATCATTAGCATCATCATCAGCAGCATCGTCACCATCGCCCAAAAATCATCAGAAGAAACCACTGTGACAGCAATGGCTTCATCATCATGGACACCACCCCCCCCCCCCCCCCCCCACCATCCGAAACAGCAGCGGCCTCTCCTCATTGCAGCTACAAACACTCTCATGAGCACTGCTGACATTATTACAACAACTATGGTACTACGCTCACGATTGGTACTGCCTTTGTCTTCATCATTGTGATTATGATTGCCGTTACTATGATTAATTCTTCATATGACTGTCATCGTCCTCATCATCGTCATCATCGCCATCAGGATCGTCATCATCATCACCGTCATCGCATTCTTCCAGCCGAGGAGCATGTGGTGCGCCGTAGTAGTGCCGGGTTCCTGCCGCCTTCGGCCCATCCACATCGGCAGCTTGATCTGAGAAACCTGCCCAGTGTGTTAGATCAAGGGGTGCCCCAAAATAACCACAATGCCCCGCCGTTCGACGATCATTAGCTTCGTAAGGACTGAGCACAGCATAGGACATTAGGCGCAAAGCCTACCCCTTTAGAGCAATCAAAAGCTGCGTTGACAAGAACGCCACTGACACACTTTCACCATAATGATGAGCCTGTCATGCTGCATGCGGAAATGTCGAGCCTGCACAGCCGTCGAAGATTCTCTCCATGCCGGGATACTCCTGACAAGCAGTACACAGGCTCCATGAATATTACTGAACTGATCATTTTGAATTCGTACATGCAGCATGCATGCACAAGCAACGACCACCGAATGCCTCCACAGTCTCATGCAGTCGAACAAAGGTATCCGAGGCGCTCAGCAATGATCAGCTCATGTGAGACGCTGTGCGTTCGCGCCTGCTCCTTGAGCTCCCAAGATCGGACAAGCTCTTCGCTCCCACAGACCAGCTTGGCCATGTCCTTGATGTGCGACCCGCCGAGATACCATGAAACAGAGGTAGATGATAAAGATGACACACACCGGAGGCCGAGCCAAGTCATGCATGAAACTGCTTACAAGTCTCTGGAGTGTCCGCCTGGGCTTGGCAGACACATCTACGCGTGCACTCATCTCAGGCTTTCACAAGGCATCTCGAGACTGCTCTTTGGCTGCCTATGACATTCTTCCCATCCTGGTGTGACAAGACCGCAAGACCGAGGTGCTGTGTGAGGAGCACCGATGAGGCATCGCTTGCCTCTCGCTTTTGAAAGCCATGGCCAGGAGTGTGTGGGTGTGAAGTGTGAGATCGTGTGAGTGGAATGGAGGGATCCGCGAGAACTGACAGCAAAGGTGTGGGATGGTGTGGGCTCTCAGCAAGCAAGAGACTCGTCTCTAAACAGCACAAGGCCTCGCTGGTGGCGTCGAGACGCTGGGCGTCCAGCCTGCCGCTCACTGCAACGACACTCACAGGAGCCGCAAAAGCTCCAAGAGCTCATGCTGCACCTTTCCCGCAGATGTGTCTAGAGCGACAGAGGCTATTGAGGCGTCGCCGAACAACTACAAGTACGGGGCTTCCGGGGCAGCGAAAAATCCAGATAAGTCGCAAAGCCATCCTTGTCCCAGGTCCTCGGGTAGCAATGGCCAACAGACTGCGAGGCATATCCGCCGGGCTGAGCCCGACCTGCAACTCCAACTCGTCTTGGCGTGACAAGTTGCGGCTTGCTCAGGTAGACCTGTCTGCTGGACCGGTCCCGGTCCTCCTGTGGGCTAGCCGTCTACAAGTGGCGGCGAGGCAAAGCTGGCTCCAAAGGCCCCACAGCAGCTCTTCAAAAAGAATCCATCACATGAAGCAGCCGTGACACACACCACACCAACCTCACAAAGCTCATAGCCTTTCTGAAGACCAACCCTGTGGATGTGAGGGCACCTGCGTCTGGTAGTCCTCAAAACGCTTGGCCCGGGAGAAGCTGGATGTCTCCGGCGTGGACTCGACCTGGATGTCAGAACCGAAGCCGACTGGAGCAAAAAGTGGTGAAGTGTGCTCATCGCACCGCGGACGGTTTGGCAGGATGTCCCATCGGTGTACTGTGCTGTAGGGTTGAGTATGGCTCTCAACGGAAGACATGATTCGTCCGCAGCTTCCTCGCAAGCCTTCTCTCCATGGCTTCATATTTTTATAGTCTGTCCAGTGGTCCACCCAGCCAACTTCCATTGAAGGCCTTGGGCCCTTTTTGGGCCTCTGCCTCTCCTTCACAAACCTTGCCTGGATCTGCAGCTGCCACAATGAGTTTGCACAATGTCCCTTGCCAGTCAAGGCACGTCCCTTCGTGCTGCTTTGCAATTGACAACTTCCTTCCTCTTGCGAGCACAAAGCAAGACAATGCCAATCAACGCCGAAGTGCCGGCTTCGAGCTGCCACGGTCACCGCGCTCCAGAAAGCGCCATGCGCAGTGAGCAGCTCCAAGAACAGGCCGAGCGAAATCTCCTAAACGCGCGGCAGCTGCTCAAGCACAACAGCCTTGCCTGTTATAAGGCATGCTATCAAGCTCACAACAGCTTTGCCTGGGCTGTTGTACGTCATGCTGTCCCATGACATGTGTGATCGATGACAACCCACTCTATGCCGGGCAGGTGCTATAGCTTATAGCTGAGCAGCTTTGATCTCGATATGCCAGCGGTGTAGCATCCCGCCCATGAGAGGGAGACTTTGTCTTTGCCTTGTCTTTGCGACCATATAGTGCACACAACTGCAAACTGCAACGAGGATGGAAGTCAGCGAACAACTTCCCGCAGCCAGTCCTCGAGTATCTCGAAACGCATTCGCTCATGTCTTGGTGCGGCTTGGTTGCCGAGGAAGCTGCGGTCGAAGGCGTTCGATCCCTGCACGGCACTTCCGTTGTGCATTTGTCGGATTGAACTCAAGTTGGGTGTTCGGCTCTGCGCCACTGGTCAGCCGGCTAGTCTGCCAGCATCACAGCCTCATGTTTGAGGGCGTCGTCGACCGAGATCCTCGGCAGCTCGTGTAGAATATTCTGGAATACACGCAAGAACAACGAGCTCGGTAGTGAGTGTCTGTAGACGATTCCATCTTTACTCTCGAATCCTTTCAAGGAGAGAAGCAGACGCTTCGACAAAGGAGGAACATGAACAAGGCCAAGCAGACTCAACACTGGAGTCACTGGAGACTGTCACTGTGACATTTCGCGTGCTAACATTTCATTGCGGTCCCAGTCCAGGACTACCGTTCTCAATCCCTGAGCCTTTCGAGCAGTCCTTCAAGCAGCCAAGTAGCGGTGCTTCGAGTCTAGTTTCTCGGTCTGGGCCGGCCGTGGTGTCCGTGGCGATGCAGTCCTAGAGTTGCCTCGCGCCACCGCAGAGACGACGCATCGCATGTCCAAACCTACACTACACTATCTTACATCCATAAAGGTCCAAAAGCCGTTACAATTGCAATGATGCGATGTCAGCAGCCCAGGAACTTGTTGGAAGCGGCCCGAAGGACACGTCGCGTGGGTGGGAGTTGGTGCTCCTCTTTGAAGGGAGACCCAGAATCAAGGCGGACTTTGAAAAGGCTGCCTTACAAGGCCCCGTGCTGAGGACTGGCTTTAGTCTGTACTGACTCCTACAAGGTTTGGGATGTTCATAAAGGGTTGATAAAGGGTTTATCAAGGGCTTATATCGGGCTGATTTATAGAGGGTGCATAAATGGTTTCGGTTTAGGGTTTAGGTCCCCGATCTCCTGCTCCGCACGAGGGCAACGGCTGGCTCCCCTGCTGCGAAACCCACCAAAAAAACACTCCAGGGGGCCGCGGTAAGGCTGGGGTGAGTTCTGAGCTCCTTCTGTTCACGTGCAATGTGCCCCTAAACCCATAAGCCGATAAACACATAAGCCCATAAACCCATAAGCCCATAAACCCATAAACCCACAAGCCCATAAACCCATAAGCCCATAAACCCATAAACCCACAAGCCCATAAACCCATAAACCCACAAACCCATAAACCCATAAACCCTAAACCTCCATAATGCTTGGCTAAGCTGCGTCTGACCGAACGGACGGAGCCAGACCTGGCGGGGATCAAGCAGCACGACCCACGCGAGCTGCATAACTATCTAAGTCTAAGTCTAAGTCTAAGTCTAAGTCTAAGCATACTGAATATCGAAAAAATGCGCTCTGATACAGATTTGGAAACTGAATAGTTACATTGTTCTACTGAGTACTGAAGAAGAACTAGAGTTCTACTGAAAGATTGACCAGGCCTCTGCGGAGCCTCGAACTTGACCCGCTGCTCGGGCCGTTGACCTAACGCCACAACATCCAATCTCTTTCAGAACCAGAAAAAGGGTTTAGGGTTTAGGGTTTAGGGTTTAGGGTTTAGGAAATTCCACAGTATTTCCAGGGACTTCTGGGTGTTCGTACTTTCTTGCGCGCAAGCTTTCCAAATTCCCAAAATCCTTACCCACGGAAAACAGGACCACCACCCCTCGAAAAAACGTCCGCCTTTGTGCGAGGACCCCCAGCGCATGCCAACATGCTACGATCACTCGGCGTCTTGCCCGCTGGCACGGCTGGCCGCGCGCTGCGTGCGCGCGGGGCAAACGCCATGGAGTAAGACTGTCTAATTACTAGGATTCAAAGGAGGTCTGTCATATGTCGCTCTACGATGCGTTGTGAGTTACGACGCTCTACTCTGAGTCTCGCTGGAAGCGCATTGCAGGCAGCTTCACAGGTCTTGCCCTCGCTTCTGTGAAACTTGTACAGGTCGGGTCAGGGCAGGTGACCGGAGGCCGGCATTTTTCCTTGCCAACTCAGCTATGTTAGTCATACATGCCGCTAAACGCGGAAATCTTTGAGCCGATAAAGACAATAAAGCTCTCTGAAGGTATACCATGCGTCTGTTGAACCTACCCTGCTGGCAGATGCATCCACGCGATGTCACAACAGCTACTGAGCAGCTATTGGTACCTTGTGACAGAGGATGCCTCCGAGCATATTCCCATTCCCATACTCTCACGACTGGGCTCTCGACAGCGCCACGTGAAGCCACGCTCACTGCGCTGCTTGAGCCGAAGAAAATGGCTGCTGCGTCCTCAAATGCGGTCCTGCGCAGCGAATTACCGCTCTCAAACTTGGCAAGTACAAGAGCCACCGTTATCTACCGGTGTTGAAGGCGCAGTGGCGTAGTGCTTGTTCTTGTCATGCGTGTTTTCGAACAGCATACATGCAACTGAAAGTAAAAGTGAAAATCGACTGATAATCTATCTCTGAATGCAGTGTTCGCGATGTTTTGCTGGATACAACCTCACCTTTCGAGTCGACGCTGTCGAAGCCTACAGGCTGAGCGGGGCACTCAGAAACATCTGTCGATTGTGCCCAGCCACTGCACCAGTTCTGCTTTGCTGTGCTGGCTGCTGGATGCTTTCAACGTGGACATGACTCATGGTGGCGGTTCATGCTACGTCGAGACGTCGAGCACTGCAATGAGTCTACTCACCAGCTGCGTTGTACGCAGTGTCCTGAGCACGGATGCTGGCTTTGCCTGACCGTTCATGTGGCGCTGACATGAGTACGCTGGTCCCTCCGCAATCCTCCTCAGAAACATTTTAGACGCATGGCTTCAAGATCCTTTCCGGGGAGCGGCTGCTTGTAACTAGGCATGGCTACCAAAGCTGTACACAACTTTGCAACTCGACACACTAACGAGTTTGGGCGCCTGGACAATGCCTCAACACTAGTCACCACGACCTGAGAACCCAGAGGTCACCTGGTCCTGGTTCTCCCGTGGGTGGAAGTACAGGCACCTCAGGATATCGTCCCTCACCATCCCTCGTCATCCCTGCACATTGTGCCCCGGAGCTTGCTGGAGAACTTCAGGCGCAGACGAAGGGAGGAAACATTGGTCGCCCATGGGGCATGACTTTCGCTTCAGCTCTGCTCGGCACCTTTTCGTTCTGCAATGTACTCTCAGGAAGGCAGCATTCATGGTCAGAGAAGGTCCACACAGGCGCCTTGACCATTGGCTTCGAGGAGGGTGGTGATCAATGCAGCGCAACCTGCAGATACTCTCGCACATGTGTAAATGCTATGTCTCTAAGTCAAAGAGACGAGTCCGCTCGAGGAGGTCTGTAAATGTACTTCCCGAGGACCTGGCCCGCGCCGGCAGGAGCCACTCAAGAAGTTCATGCAGACCTTTCGCTTCCCCTTCGATTCGGGCTTCTTACAAGGGCTTTCGAGACTACACTGCCACTACCACAGCACAACTTGGCCTACGGCTTTACCGACATAACTTCAGCAGACGCAACCGGCCAGCGATCCCGTCACGACGTGTTGAAAATGCGCGGTGCATTCTTTGAGTGTACGGAGCCTTCGAAGCCTTCTTCGACAGTGGCGTTTCGTATGGAGCAGTCGAGGGAAGACAAGCTGCCTGTCCACTCACCAGACCACCAAGGGCATTGGCAGAGAACCTCATGCGGCGTAGGTCCACCTTCCAAAGCTCTCAAAAGCTCCGGACACTGGAGGAGAAGAGGACCGAGATTCAGACACTCAGATGTAACTTCACGGAGAAGCGCCAACGTGCGTCGTCCCAGGCTTTGTTCTCAAATGTGCTCTTTTGCTCTCGCCCCACCTGCGGTAGACTCTGCTGCAGCGCCTCATCCGATAGTTGCAGCATATACCTCGGCAGAGAAGTGCTGCAGGCACATGCCCAGATGTTCTCAACCGCCCCTCTCTGCTAAGACTGCAAAAAGCACATGGCGCGTTGAGAGAATTTATGACTGCCCTGACTGTCAGCGAAACATATTTACTGCGGTATGTAAAGCTAGTAGAGATCTTGGGTGCCCAACTGCTTGAACGCAGATCGGAAGTCACTCCACACCTGAAGCAAGCACAGGCACGCTTTACAGCTAGAGGCACACGGAAAAGTTGAGAGGACATGAGGGTACTGAGGGTTTTGCTGAGAATTTGAGCGCTTCAAGCGTAGCGTAGGGGCAAGGAGAAGTGGAACGCAGCGCGGAGTCAAAATTCTGTCTGCGGATCCCTTCGACGGCATCCTCTAAAGCACCACCTACCCACACTGCCACCTTGGCCCCAAAAGATGTACCCTGATGCTACTCTGACAGTAGAGCCTCCAACACGCAACAACATGTGGCACCGATGACGCGATATGCCGGTGAGCCCAATGGCCCACCGAGTAGCAGGCCCCGGGCTTCTGAGCAGTTCTATTGGCTTCTATCGGCTCCTATCGGCTCATATCAGCTATAGGGCAACCAACCGATATCAGTATGAGCCCGATAGAACTGCCCAGAAGCCCCGGGGGGGCCTGCTGGCGCCCACGGGCTCATCGGCTTGTTGGCTGAAAGCTTATCGGCTTAGCGGCTGCAGAGCAACTAGAAAGCCAAGTTTGCCAGCCCAATGGAACTTTTGAAGTTTTGAAATGATTTGTGAACTTTGAAGGGCTGGAAGACTGAAGTTGGAAAGCATATTGTCGAACTTCGAACTCGAAACTTTCGCACTTTCGAACCCGGCAATCTCTCAATCACGCGAGCTCGAAGCAAGCCCTCAACTTCGAAGCATGTCGCTGGCAACTGCCTTCCGCAATCTTCCGCAGTCTCCCCGTGTGTTTCGCTGGAAAACATCGGCCTGCGCCTCTCGCGGGTCCATTCGAAGTGCGCTCCGCGCCGGACCCGGCCATCCCGCCACTCCACCTTCCGAATGGGAAGAAGCTTCCCGAAAGAGCGCAGAAAATGCCTTGTAAATGCCGCAAAATGCCGAACATACACATGAATGCGTTGGCACGCTTCATGGCTGGGCCCCCCGCCTGAAAGCGAATCTGCAGTAGGCTGCAAGACCTCCAACTCAGAAGTTCGAAACGTGAAGCGATTGATATCTCGATGTGCACTCGACACAGACATGTGTCTGAGATCTTCGATCACCGTTTCTACACAAGCTTTGCAAGTCGGATTTGAGAGGAACCTGCATGGACAGAGGGCGTGATGGATCCGCATCCTCCTGGCGAAAGGCATGCACTCCACGGAGTTAATCACATGAGTTGACAAATGTCCGAACTAAAGTAGCATGTACCTTGTTTAATAACAATGGTGTCTTTGACTCATTTACACAGCGACGGAGAAAAGTTGCGGGTAAGGGTTACTCCCCACAGACAGCGTGTACTAAGGGAGTCCAAACATTGATGCAACATGTCACCAGACGTCCCATGCGAGAAGAATGCAGGAATAACTTAAAAGCTTAAGTATCAAACTGATTGCGGAAGCTGAAAAATCACCGCCTTCGCTATGCATCTATCATCATCTGTCGTCATGGGACAGATATAAAAAGACTCCTATGACTGCTAAAGGCTTCGCTTGTAGGATACCGCCTTCAGCTTAAAGATCTTTAACAGTATGCAGAAGAACAGTTACCTGCTTCCTAAGTGCAGGCCAACAAAGCTTGAGCAAATACATTTCCAGCACTGACAGCGGCGACAATGACGGAGCTATGACAAAGACACTTGTGAGCAATACCCACAGAAAGTGCGGGCCCAAGCAATCGTCAAACTCCAACCAAGCCCTGCCTTACCCTTACTGAGGTCTCCTTGTCCTGGCCCTCCCAACGCTAACCCATCCACGGAAACCAAACGGAGCCCTTTCACCACTTCCAGCTTAGTTTCACTTCTCCCTCATGGAAGGAAAAGGTTTAGCCGCGGCATGGTGTTGGCAAGCTACTGCAGCTGATGGTTTGCCGAATCCACGGGTTTGAAAACCGTACTCCCTTTCGGGCAGCCTTGGCTGCTTGATCTGCTGCTGGCCGGAAAGCAAAAACGTCCACTTACTCAGCGCATCCATAGCATGTCAATGGCGCCAGTGGGAGTTTCGCATGGCAGATACTCCAAAGCCCGGGTTTCGGAAAAGCTGCGACCAAACGAACCACAACAAATCGAGATTTGTCAGCTTTCCCGCTGCTCGCCGTCCTCGAGGCCATCATCGCACTTGGACTTCTGGAGTCGCGAAACGCGACACGGTCACCTCGCTTTTGGACCTCCGGGCTCGCCGCCGTCCAATCTGCCGTCGCTTTTCCACGTTCGACGCGTGGGCTCACGAGTCAAGTATCCAAAGAACCGGAAGATCAACAAAAACATCATAATGAGAATGACAATGAGAAGAATCAATACATGGAGATTCTCGCCTCGGCTGCGTTCGACACCTTCTCGGCATTGAGTGCTTCGCTCTCTGCCGGCTCCGGCGCGGCGTCATCAGCTTTGGATGAACTGCGCGCAGGCTCACCTTCCTGAGCAGGATTCTCCGCAGCCTGCTCTTGCATCACCTGCCCATGACAGCAAGGCTTCAATCGTTTGGAACGGGACTGGGAGGGTGATTTACTTGCTGTGAGCGACTGCTATCTCAGGTATTTCTACAGCTTGCTTGGGAGGCTTCTCAAATTTGCACAAATGTGGCTGGAGTCAACTATATTCCCAGGCACCGGCACACTTCTTACTTACTTTCTGCATGCCGTACAAGCAACACAGTACACCAACAGCTCTCACTTGATGACTCAGTAAGCAATCGAGGCAGGCTGCTTGACCTTTCGATCTGCAAAGGTATCTAGGCAAGCATGTCTCTCAGACAATGGATGTCACGCGGACACACATAGGGGTTTCCCAAAAAAAGGGTACCCTTAGGATACCCCGAAATACGATGAGCTTTCTTCTAGGAACCCCCCAAAAAGGGTAAGCCCTATTTTGGGAAACCCTCTGACATGTGGGCAGTTGTTTTTTCCGCTTTTTTGTTCTCAGGATCTTGACTCCCGAGCTCCGCATCTACCTCTGTGACCGGACGTGAACGATGCCCATACATGTCATATGCGTACATAATATATTTATATAAAAATAATACGTATAATATATATAATATACATATAATATATTATATATATATACACATATATATATATAATACACATGATGTACTGGTGTCGTGGGAAATGAATGCATACGCTGAAGGAATGCGAGTGGTTGGCAGCGAGCTCACGCCAGCGACATGGACGTGCTGCCGATCACCGCATCCACAATCCACTCACCCGCTGAGCCTGGGAGGTGACGCTTTCTGGTTTAGGGGCTTAGGGGTTTAGGGGTTAAGGGTTTAGGGGTTTAGGGGTTTAGGGGTTTAGGGGTTGGGTGCAAACTTGTGCAAGCCAGCAAACCCTCTTAAGCAAAAAAGGTTTGGAATGCGCGGAGGAACTTCAAGGCAAACCTGCCCGAACTCGTGACGTCTGCCCCGTGTGGCACATGGTGCAGGAATTCCTCACCCAGCTAGGATCCGGGCTCATGGAGGTTGATGACCTCAGGCAAAATTGCTGCAGATGCAAGGCCAGAGCATCAGCCGAACTAACAAGAACCAGCACATGATCCTTGGCCTTCTACCGGTCCACGCACAAGCTGACCTTGTGTTAAAACGACTGCGCCCGCTGAGCTCACAGCATATCCAAGCTCTTCTCCTTTGCGAAGAACTGACGTCGCTACGTCGTAGGCAGAAAGTAAATAACTTAGATAACTATCCTTTGCAGTGGATGTAGGAGTCCCAACCCTGAGGCAAAAGTCATGGATCATAATCCATGCATGTTCCCCCACTATCGCTGGCACTGCTTTGACGAGCTCCATAAGTAAGTTGCGATTTCCGCTCTGGGCCGCTCGCGGCTATATTGACTACATCTGTAGCTGGAAATCGACGTGGTGCACACCATGGGACGTGCTCATTAGATCATCAACTTTGATTGCGGGCCGCAGATGCATGAGCACCCACATGCTACAAAACGTTTAAGGTACAGTACCCTCCGGCTCTTGTCAGCCAAGGCGCCTTCCGGCGTGAGGGCTAGGACCAGCTCGTCGCCGTGGAAGATTCGCACTCGGGCATCCTTGGGCAAGGAGAACTGAAGGGACACGTGTCCTGACATATCCATGATGAACCATTTACGAGCGAAGACCAGAAATACATAGAAATACCTAATTCAGCGCCAGGCGTCCATGGGATGCTTATACGGTGGTCTGGGCAGGCGCTTGCCGTTCAGGCGGGTGCCGTTCGTCGACATGTCCTGGACGTAGCCTTGGCTCGTCGACCGGCATCAACACAGAGAACTCGGAGCCATGCCAATGCACCAAGCATCGGCAAAAGGTACACCCGACTAACGTTGCCACACCAGAGTCTCTTTTGCTGGCCCACTCTCCTGGTCTTTGTACAAAGGCTCACCATGGAGCGGAGTGGGGATTCAGGGTCCCAGCTTTGGGGACCGTCTTGTCTTGACACCACTCTTCGCATGAAGCCGCAATTTTTGCGGCTCCGTGAATCTTTGGTGATCCAGCAGGCAATGTCCCCCCACCTTGACTCGAGAAGGTGACTATTTGTACATGTTTGCGAGCACTGTCGAGCCACCCCCCACCCCCGCCCCCGGTCAGGTACACCAGTCTCCGGTGCTGCAAAGAACCTGAGGCACGGAGTAGCACAGATGTGGCGGCAGGATGCGGCAGCGCAATGCAGCGCACCCCACAAACCAACAAAAGACAGATGCATTCAAAACTTGTGCCAAGGCACTCCGAGCTCGTCGTCATCATTCTGCTTGCCCTCTGTTGTGTCCTTGGTCGAATCTGGTCGGGACATGTCCAGCTCTGATCATTGCACATCACAGATATCACAAGGCTGCCTATATTGCTAGCCAGGACACCCTGTTTCTTTGCGGCACTGGCCTCAGCGTCAGCCGTCAGCAGTCGCTAACATGGCCCACCACCGGGTACACGCTTGCAAGCAGCTCCGAACTCAACTCAACAGCTTGAGCTTCTTTTTACCTGATAGAACCCACGAAGGCGACTTTGCAATGCGGCGATCCCCAAGCGCACCCGACACTCCCGCCCAAGGCCGGCGAACCGCCGACACCCCCGACCGACCAACCGAATACCCCTCAAACAGCATACCCCGGCCCGTAAAGTTGAAGCCCTCCTGCGAAACTGTTTGAAACGGCGGTATTCTTGGACACGACCCACGCCACATGATTACGACCAGGCAGCTCCCATACCTGGCCACCAAACGTTGCCCCTGGAGGTAGCGAAGCCTGATGGATGAACGGAGCATTATTGGCCACAACGATTCACATCTACATGGCCGGTAGCAAGCAGCTCGCACGACGGACGGCTTTTTTCTGACAAACATCCAGCTTTTCATGTTGCGGGAATTGCCTCTGCCCCCCAGGACGCTGCTGTGCGGTCTGGGCAATCCACATACCTGGCGGCTCCGATCAGGCTACAGGAGTGCAGCGACATTGTGGCGCACACCCCGCCAACCAGAAGACTTGATCTTTGTGACAAGGACGAAATGAACCCAGCATCACAAAAACCACCAATTTTGACAAGAATTATAAAAAAAAAAAAAAGCAAAAAAAAAACACCTGCCAGTCAGAAAGCCCGAGCCCAACTATTCACGCGACCGGGCCACCGGAGGTACTCTTCCTTGGGTAGGCTCCCCCTTGCCTCGGTGCAGAAGGACATGGCTCCAATGATTGGGCTCCACTGGGCTTCACAAAGTTTCACAAACTGAGCACGAGTACATGGCCGCAGGATGTTCTCAGCCTAGCTTGATGCCCAAGCGGCGCTGGGCAGCGCTACGCTCTCCAGATTCCGGAAGCGAGCGTTGGCTTGCTTCGTGCTCATCTCAGCAGCAGATCGATTCACGAATGTTCGTTGCGAGGCAAATCTAGGGGCCCATGCTTGGGCAACAAGGTGCGAGAGTATACGCCTCTTGCCCCAACCTTCGTGTCCACGATGGCGCGATCTCCCATTTGCCAATTCGCCGGGGTCGACAGCGCGAACTCCTGTCTCCGAAACTGCTTCGAACTATGCAGCTGTGAACAGGTGCAGCGTTGTGGGGACTCCTTCATCTTTCGCTTACGGGAGAAGACACATGGAGCATGGGAGTCCACTGCGACTAGCAGCTAGCAACACTCACGATCGTCTTTGTGCATGCGCATGCAAACACTACCTTGCAAGAATCTCAAGCAACACCTCACCAACCAGCACAAAGCACACCGCCTGCCTTTGTCAGCATCAAGGAGTCCAGCGCTCCTGAGACTATCCGCACGTCACAGCCGTTTCCATTTACCTACGCATATGCCCTTGCTTTGCCTCGATCACCATGTCAAGACATGTCAAGACTACTTGCTAGAAGATGCGAGCAGTGTTCCTCATGCACCGAGAAAGCTGAGCTCAGTTCGCAACACCTCGAAGAAGCTGAAGCCAGTGGTCTGAGGGTACTGCATACCTTGGCAACAGTGAGCGGCATCTTCCTTCTATCCTTGCAAACTTTACTAGACAAAACGTCTTTGTTCACCAAGCAGGTGGACAGCGAGGTACCAACCCCTTGTTCACGAGAAAAAGCCCGAAAGCCAAACCCTCGCGAGTGCTAGCTATATTTGCTATGTCCAAAGTGGATCCCATCCGAGCTCTTCTTGCTGTCACAAGCCCTGCTTCGTGCAATGTACCAGTGGCAACTATCCGCAAGTTCTGACAAGAGGATGTGACCCCACCTCGGGTACCTCTGTGGGTGCGAATTGAACTTCCAACATCTTGCAACTCTGAGTTGCTCAGCCGCACTTTCTTTTGCTGGTCAAGGACAAAGAGAACTCGCGCCATCGATGTATCCTGGTCCTTCGTTCCACGCGGGAGGAGGCCTAGGCGCAGACCAAGGCACAGAATGCAATGCACACGAGACACGAGGAAATCTCGAGCGCACACCATCCTAAATCCTAAACCTCAAAAACCCTACAGTCCCTACGAGTACAGTGGCAAGGCACCGAGCTCGTGGGCGATGTGATGCGACTTGTCCTTACCGAGCACAAGCTACAATGCAGGGAGTCTGGGGTGTAGGGCTTCTAGGGCTCATAGGGCTTCAAGGTTCCTAGGGTTCACAGGGTCCAAAAGGCGGACATCGCCGTGGCAAGCACATGGGAAGGCCCCACGCCCTTCGGATTCAAACATGACAGCAGGGGACGGAAATATCGTGTTTGGATTTGTTCTTTGTTGAATTTGGCTTCTCTGCTGCCTTACGGGTTCTCCTTTCCTAGTTCTTAACTAGACATGCTCGAAACAAGATGTACAACAGATATGTACAAAACAACGTATTGCGCGTTCGGGCTTTGCATTTTACAGATGCTGTTGCGCTTGCTCTTAGTACGATTTACCTTGCTATTGCTACTAGTGTTGTTCTTGTTGATAATTGTTTTGTTTTGCCGTTCTTGCTATCGCTATTGGTGTTATGATTGGCTGCTGTTGTTTGTTGCTTTGTTGTTCTTGTTTGTTGTTGTTGGCTGTTGCTTGTTGTTGTTTGTTGTTGTTTGTTGTTGTTGGCTGTTGTTTGTTGTTGTTTGTTGTTGTTTGTTGTTTGTTGTTGTTTGTTGTTTGTTGTTGTTGGTGGTTGCTTGTTGTTGTTTGTTGTTGATTTCGAAGTTCCTAGCCCCAAGCTGCAAAGCTCTGCTTCGGGCTAGCTTCACTACTGGAAGTGGCTTTGCGAAGAAATTAAAGCGCCATTGAAGAATGTACTCCTACGCATCGGGACACAGCCCGCCCAATCCGAATCTACATACGCTACAACATCAAGAGAAGTCATTGCCCGTTAGATAGCGTTTACACGGTTTAGTCTTCGGATTCACATGTCCCAATGTTAGATGCTCTGCAGAGCCAGGATGCGGGAATCATCGTCGGGTACTCGGTGGCAGCGCTAGGGCCCACAAGTGCCAGGCAGTCCTCCACCCAGCTCTTCTGGTCCTGCACAGCGCACAACGTGCCTGTCTTGGGAGTTGGGATTCTGTGAGTCGGAAATCTGGGCCTCCACCGAGTCGCAGGTCATCCCGATCCTAAGGAGTGGACAACGAACCCTACAATGTAGCAACCGTAATTAAGCTCCCTAGGCAGCCCGGGCAAGGACCATGGCAAGCATACAGTATCTTGTATCTAGCAGTAGAGTCGAAATGGGAAGTCTTAGGTCGCTTGGGGCTTTGGGATTCACTGCTACACTTTCTTGAAGCAGGCAATGAAGCGCCAGGACACAAAGTGATGCCACGCTTCTTGAGATCAGCACCCATCTGTGGCAGGCCGTGCAGGGGGGGGGGGGGGTTCGTTTCTTGATGCTAGGGAGAACAGGTGATGCTGTGAACAGATCGGCCACTCAGCAAGGAGAGGTTGCAACGCTGCTCTGTTGCTCTGCTACTTGCCAGTGTCCGGCAACAGCCTGCAAGCAGCACATCAGCTCTGTCGTGGCCACGGCGTCGAAGTTGCGCGGCCAGCAGATACTCGGCGACCACAGCAGGCACACGGAGCAGTCAAGCACTTCACAAACTGTCAAGGAGGCATCATGTAAAGGTCGCAAGATGTCAACGAATCTCCTCAGTTTTCCACCACAACCTTCTGCACTAATCTCGGAACTCGCCAAGTTTCAAGAGCGTCATGACACCCTGCCAGGCTTGACATGCGAGATCTGCTAGGTGCATTGGGACACAGGGACTCCAAAGCGGCCCTCATCCGACATCAACTTAAGGCCTTCAGCCGATCTAGGAGCTGGTGGAAGCGGCTGATGCCCTTTGCAGTGGCATGCCAGTCGAAGTTGGGGAAGGTGGCGCCCAACCTGACATTGACCCGCGCGCCTTTAGACCAGATGCTGGTGGGTGTCATCCTGCAGTTCCTATCGCAGTCCTGAAGCCTGAGGGCCTGACTTGATCGTGAACTCGGTGTCACTCTGCTGCACCTGCGATTCTCTTTTCGCGGCTCAAAGAGTGTCATGTCCTGGGAAAGACCATGAGAGGCCTCTCCCAAAGGTGGGATCGGCTGCTTCGGTCTCAGACTTGGAGGCTGAAGGTGGCGCATATAGCCTCGATGTCAGGACACTTCAGTCGCATCAACGACTTCTGGACATTATTACACAATGCAATATGTTTATGTATATGTTATACATACACGCATACATATAGTTCTTACTCAAATAAAGCACGAAATCTACAAGTCGGACTCGACCTGAACCATGGTAGCTGGAGAGGCGCCCCACAAAGCTCCTTGCCGTCGAGCGGCGTTTGCCCGAGTGCACCGGCTTCTCCGTGGCTTTGTTGAAGAGCGCCTGGTGATCACTGCGGACTGCTTCTCACTTGCCACGTTCTGACCACATCGGACTCTGCATGCTGATATGTCATTCCTCTTCGTGGTTGGAAACGGCCCAGGGTGCCTCAGGAGCGTTCATGCCAAGGAGGACATCATCGCCCACATGCCAGTTCGCCGGCGTGCCCACCTGGCAGCTGGACCCTCAAGGCCTTGAGGAACTTGACTTGAGCAGTTGTTTCCGTTCAGCAGAACTTGGCAAGCAGAACTGTGCTAGGCTCAAGCCACAGAGGAGGCTCAACCCTGCATACCATCGAGAGAGAGCAACAGAGACAAAGAGAGAGAGAGAGAGAGAGAGACAGAGAGAGAGAGAGAGCGACAAAGAGACAGAGATATACACATATATATATATATACATATATTTTTCTCTGAAAAAAAAAAGCTCCCCTTGGCCTGAACGCGGCTCGTGAGTAGGAGGGAGTCAATGACGCGAAGCACCTGCGACACATCTTGGCACAGCTGAGCGCCGTCGGACCTCGATAAACTACGCTTTACGTCAGGGACTTCCCATTTAGAATTAAACCTGTCATACATTGTGATCCCCCGGGCTGCTTCGGTCATAGGGGACCTGAGCCACCCCCTTAAAGCCTCGGCAAAGTTCCGGCCCGTCGTGGCCGGGTACAGGATGGTGAGCCGACAGCGCTTGTCGGGACCTCTTCACAGAGCAGCTCCTTGTGGAGGACATGCTCCATACTGGCTCCATAATGGCTCCATCACGGCTCCATGTGCCCCCAGCCTATCAGAAAGAGGGCCCGGGCAGGCATGGAAAGCTTGCTGAAGTCGTCGATCTCCAAGGGGTCCTGGATGCGAAGCCAGCTGCTTTAGAACTGTCAGATCATGCTGGGTGACACCATGTTGAGCAGGCATGAACACACAGCTTCAACTTCCATACGGGCGACCATCATGCCCAGCAGGTTCGCAATCTCCCTCGTCTCATCCGCAATGAGGGGGAAGTCCAACTGCGCATGCTCTCTTAATAGACTCTGGCAGCTGCCTCTCCAGCTTCCCAATGCCACTGCCTGGCCTGCGTGGTATCCTTGATGTTCTTCGCAGCCAGCACATCCTGCAGACCCATGAACTCTTGCACACCCCCTGCAGCCTCGCGACAGCCGCCACGGCATGATTTTTTTTTACACAGTCCTCAGTCCACTTCATGTGCTGATCCACGGAATCGCTGCTCAGGCCTATCAGTTGCACCTCAGACAGGGATCTCGGACCCGAACTCAGAAAGCACAATGGGGATCAATGGGGGATCAATCGGGCTCAGACCCCACGGCGCTGGAAGTCCTTCGACAGCACCTGGCACATGCCCAGCTCCGTGGTGCAAACCGGAGTGAAGTCCTGAAGTGGCCGCGCTACAGATTCAAATGCTTCAACAATGCTTCAACAATCTCAGCTCTCAAAATCTCTAGAAAGCAGCTCGATGCATGTCTTGGCATCTCCTTGGGATGCGAGAAAAGCATGGTGAAGCCGTGGGGGCCGTGCTTTTCAAGGAACGCATGGAAGCTGAAGTCACCTCTGCGGCACTCCAACAGCAGTACACCAAAGGACAGGGCTTCAAAGTACTTGCCACGGCTTCCCTCTCTGTGCAGCAAAAGCAGCCCTTCGTGGTTCGGCATTCGAAGTCTGGAAAAAGAGCCCCCAGGCCTATCCTCACAGCGAGCATCAATGAACCGCAGCGTGTTTCGAACCGACTTATCCACGCAGCTCGAGGTGTTAGAACATGCCTATGCCCCTCGTGGTCATGTGTCAAGTTCATATTCAAGAGTCCGAGAACAAACTCACTTTGAATACTGGGCGCGCTACAGGCCAGTTTTCCAAACACCTGCAGAGAAGTCCTGAACTCCGGCGCACGAGGCCTGCACAAGATCACATAACATGTCCGTCAAATTTCGTCCAACATTGTACAAACATCTTCTACCCCATTTCTACCCCATCCTGGCCTGGGCGGCGCGGGCTCTGGGTGCGGTGACAGATCCTCGGGGCGAAAGGCCCAGGAGGTGAAATACCACATCCGTGTGCACCAAGCAGGAGCTCTAAACTGCAGGAAAGCTCGGAAGCCTTCGGAGGATCATAGACTTCCGTGATGGGCTCCACCACGACTGGCAGGGTCGCCCCGGGCCCTTTCTTCTTGGAGCCGCAGCAGCCCATGGCAAGAGAGGCCCTCTGAGCAAACGGGGGAGAGTCTCTCTGATACTTATAAGGCATAAGGGCCTCAAATAGGACTCTGCGGGGCTCTTCCTCAGGTGCTGAGCCCGGGTACGGTGGCTGCTTATGGTTGCATTCAGGGGAGAAGCGTGCCTCTTGATGCGTGTCAGGCTTGGGACTGCAGTCTGTTGAAAGAGCCAGCGTCCGTGGGCGTCTGAAGCATCATGCCCTCCTCTGGAAATCACATGGCCTGGAAGTATCTGAAACTGGGTCCTGAAGCTTTCAGCACAACTTTCTGCCAGGTCACAGGCACCCTTGTCCTCGGCTCAGGGGCTCGGCAAACAAGCCCACAAGCACTTCGCTCAAAGACAGAAGCCCGGTCGAAAAAAGCCAAAGTCGGGCCGGGTTTAGGGTTTTGGGTTTAAGGTTTAGGGTTCAGGGTTTAGGGTTTAGGGTTTGCAAGAGGGGTGGAAAGCCAAACAAACAGGACACTCGGAGACATCAGCACTTCTCTCGAGCCTGTTCATGGGTTGTCTTGGCAACCCACTGCCAGTTCTTACGGGCTGTGCCCGTCAGGAAGTGGTTGACTCGAAGAAAGCCCTGAGCACTGCATTTTGGAGAGTACGGAACCACTTTACTGTGCAGTCACAGGCTCGTGCTCGAAAGTGATGGTCGCATGCTTGCGGCTCACCCCCTGGATCGACTCGACAACGACCTGCGTCTCATAACAGCAACACTTGGAGATTCTTGGAATACCTCGCAGGCCTCGGTCGATGTCTACTATGTTTGAAGCCTCTCAAAGATCAGTGAATTGCTAAAAAGGTGGCCGCCTGACACTGGTGCGAGTCCGTGCCAATCCGGAGCTTGTCGTTGTGGAGATTCACACGGCCCTCCTTGATATTCGCTACGGCCGGCACTTTGTGCTGCAAAAGAATGCTGGCTCAATCTTCGCCTTAATCCCCTCCACCAACTGGCTTGAGCCCTCAAATCATGGCGACATGCGCGCCTCAAATGCATGGTTACTTCAGGCGCCCGGCTCAACATCCACATCTAGCTTCGAATTCGTCCGCAAGCTCGGGCCCAAAATGTTATCCCGATACAACCCCACATTGATATACGTGCGATGTCGCTTTGCACATGAGCCCTCGAACGTCCTGCGTCTGCATCCGGCTGGAAGTTGCAGCTAGGCGGATAACGACGGTGTGGATCATTTTCTCCGGCTTTTCTCCTTTGCTTTAAAGGGAAGATTCGATTCCGCGCTCAGCCGAAGAAGTCTATCAACCCCAAGCTGACCTAAGGGCTATTTCCATGATATTTCACAGAGCCTTCAAGGACCAACCCAGAACCGACGTGGGTTGCAACCAAGCTGCGCAAGAGTAGTCCTACCTGCAAACACCACCGGGTGCTGTGAACTACCCCTGAGGATGACGAACACAGAGCAAAACCATGTCACGGTTAAGAAGCCATGGTCATGGTTTAGCTGCGAAGCTTTGTTGACAGTTTAACTCAACCCTCTGCGGCCTTGGTGGAGTTGCAGCCCCATGTGCCTTGATGGAGGGCAGCAACAAATTGCAATCACTCAGTCAGTATAAAGTTGTGCTTTGCTATGTGTGAACCGGGTATGAAGTTAGGGAGTGTACCCTTGTACCCTGCATAAACTATTGTGTCGGGCAATGCCCGGCATCTTTTCTCTTTGCACTTGACGATGGGGAACTACGCCGTCTGCAGTCCCGTACACTGTCTGTAGGACAGATTCTGTCACTCCACTAATATGCTGCTGGAACTATGCAACAAGCGCCCGACAGTGATGTGCCACTCGAGCCAGCACTGACATGGCATCCTGGCGTTCAATCATCCGGACTCACACATTTCTCACGGCCCCTGCAATCAAAACCATGTCCTTCATCGACTGCTTCGACGGCGCACGAAGAACGATCCGCCCATCCTCACATGAAAGTCCGGCCTGACCCTCTGTAGATTGTGACACAAGCAAGGCCCGAAAGATGGCAATGCGCCTCAGCTTGCGTCACCGACAGAAGGCTTGTTCTTGTCAACAGCTGCTTCCTGGGCAAATCTCAGGAAGCGTTGGAGCCTTTCAGTGACCAAGGTATGGCCACATATTTGCCAGCTTTGCTTTCAAGAGGCTGGTTCGCAGGGTCCAGCAAAGCTTCCTTCAGATCTTCCGCCATGCTGAGTTTTTGCTCCTGCTCCTCCTGGGCATGGCGGTATGCAAGCTCTAGCCTGCGGAGTAGGGCTCTTAGCAGCCCTACAGCAGCGAACTGTGGGGAAACTTCTCCCACTTCTCACAAGCCTGATCCTGGTGCTTACTTCCTGATCCTCTTTGGTGTCACAGCGTATCCTCGAAGCTCGTTTAGCAACTCCGCGGGAGTCTGGCTGGATTTAGAGCCTCCTCTTGCGTACACGGGTGCACGGCTTCAGCAGGCCTTCACCCCATCCCCCCCCCACTGCGGCCTCTCTCTGGTCGAGCTTCAGCCTGCAGGTCTGGCAAGCCCCTCTCAGCCCTCAGGTCTGGCAGTGGCCCAACCCAGAACCAGAATCGCTGGAATTCACAGCACTCAAAGGCGTGCACCTGGGCTCCATCGTCTTGCCTGTTGCAGCCTCGCAGTAGGAAGCACTCGGGTTGAGCTAGGGCAGCCGGCAAACATGTATCCGGCTGTTCTGAAAACTTCCCAAAGCTCGAATCCCTTCCACACACCTCTCGCACCTCGAGCCCCCGAACCCTCACAACTAAGAAGCTTAGCTTTGGTGCAAGAACTGGGAATGTACTTGGAGTTTAGGGAATCTCCATTCAGGATACGCGGCATGCCAGACCAATTGATGACATGCTGTAGCTGACGACAGAGGCCAGTGCTTCCTGGGGCGGCAAGGCTGTAGGCGAAAATTCCCACCCCGCTCACTACCCCCCCCCCCCCATCCTAAGTTCCCGATCTGCCTCGACAGCCAGGCGCATGCGCTGCAAGTCAGTTGCAACGTCGCTGGTGAGGAGGCCGGCCACGGGTGCCGGAAGAACCTCCGAAGAGATCAGACCGCAACATGCCACAACTACCACAACTCTGAGCTGCCACTAGCTTGGCTGTCGAACTGGAGTTGTGAACGCAGCTCAACCTATCGTCCCTACATTGTTTCTATTGCCTCACCACTGGGCCCCTTGCAGCCATGGAAGGACCCGGTGCTGAGCCAAAGCCCGATGCGGGAGCCTCGGGGGCATCCCTCTCACTCTGAGCCTCCCTTTTTGGGCTTAAGCACTCCTTCACCAAGCTCTAACTGCTCTGAGTGCTCCCCTTCACTCCTCTTGTCTTAAGTATACTCCTTAGCTGCCTTTGCTCCACCCCTTCTTCTCCTTCTTGCTATGTTTTTTTGTCCTTTCTCCTCCTCGTCGTCTCTCTATTCATCTCTCGTCTTGTGCTCGTCCTGAACTATCCTGAACCCCGCATCCTAGATCTTAAACCCAAACCCATACTCCACTCCCTAAAACCTAAACCCTAAACCCTAAACCCCAAACCCTAAACCCTAAACCCTAAACCCTAAGCCCTAAGCCCTAAACCCTAAGCCCTAAACCCTAAGCCCTTTTCTTCTCTTCCTCTTTCTCGTTCCCGCCTCGGCCGCGGGCGGCGGAGCAAGACCAAAGCCTTGGACTTGGATGTCAAGTGTCCTCTCTTGCTTACTGAACTCGTGTTGCATAATGCTGTGTATGTGTATATATTTGAGGAAAACAAAGGGAGGTAACACTTAGACCGGGCAAGGGGGGCACCCCAAACTAAGTTCGTCTACGCCCCTGCCCCTTCGCACGAGGCCTCACGGCCTTCTGCTAACTTCGTCGAACCTTCCCTGCGTTCGCAGGGGCATCTACTCTCCATGGGTGAGTCTTCCAGCTAACCCATGGACCCTTCGTGAATCTGTCCTCAGGTTCGCAGAAGTTCGTGGCACCCGGTTCTGCCCCGCTAAGTTCGTGGAAAGGGTGCCTGTTGCCCGTCAGACAGTTACCTACCTGCGTGTTGCCCTGACTATACATATATACTCTGTATGATTACTGGCAAATATATATATATATATATACATATACACATACACATACACATACATATACACATACACATACATACATACTTTTTTGTTTATTATACACGTACCTTTATAAGCTGTCTTTCTCCATCTTGTCTCCGCATAAACTTGCGACAGATTTCACAGAGTTTTGTGTGGGAATTTGCGGAGACTTCCCTCTTCCTGGAGATCCTGTGAAGGCTTCCGACAAAGACCCTCGACGGAGATCAGAGGAGCCGGTGGCTGCCCGCAGCCCGGCGTTCGCACGGCGCTTCTTTCGCCGCGCCGCCGAGGCGTCGGAGCTCTGAGAATCCTTTACAAATTTGAGGTTTAGGGTTGAGGGTTTAGAGTTTAGGGTTTAGGGTGTAGGGTTTAGGGTGTTGCACCGTGCAAGTTCAAGCTCGGCTGAGGATCATAGACCGGAAAAAACTCAAGGGGACCCGGGTGCTAAGCGGGCAAGACCTCACAAAAGATCCGAACACCACGTGCGGAATTGCAAAAGCGTCCTCGTCATAGCTGTAGCTCGACTTGTCCTTTTTCTTCCCTCGCCCCCTTGATCAGCCGGCAGCTATCCAGAACAAACAATGCAACACTGTTTCAACTCTCGACTTGCACAAGGTTCTGGGAATCATCAGCCTCTCTTTGTCCTTTCCTTTGACTTTGGTCTTCTCCTTTCCTTACCAAGTCAACCATCGGCAGCATCTGACTCAGGGGGCACTTCAGGAATGCCTATAAGCCTGAGCACAACAAAGCACGGGAAGGGAATGACGCAAAAACACTGGCAGTATCCGCATCAAACAGCCATGTGAGCGCTGCCATGTTCGTAGGTGAGGGGCCTTTGTCCTTCTGCTTTTCCTTACCATCCTTCACCTTGACCACTGATACGGTTCGTAGAGCAGTTTGCTGGCTCATCACCACAGGTCGCCGGAATGCTACAGTGCTACAGCTCGTGGCGCTCACAAACTAGACTGTGTGGCACCTTCGCTTAGTTCTAGCAAGCTCTCTTCCAACATCCAGTAACCCCAGCCTTCTCAGGCTCGGGATCCTCATCGCCTGTCATCGAAAACAACACCCTTCTCCCCTCGTCCTCCACTCCCGTATGCCAACATCCTGAACATCCTGAACAACCTGAACAACCCGGGGCCCGTTGCGACCAGGTTGATCAATGCGCCACAAGAGCCCATGATTCCTTATGGCCACGCCTGGATCATGGCTCTGGCTCCGGTCCACCTGCCGCGTGGAGCCCCCCAACCCCCTCAGCAGTAAGACTGAGATGGGTTCTAAGCTGCAGCTTCCCAAAGCCCCCCCTGAACCCTCTAAGCCCTCTACACGACGGCCTTATTCACCACGCAAACCCTTACACCCTGCACACCGTGCCTGACCCGGCTTGGAGTTGTTGAGCCTCTCAACCAGTGTCCATGAATAGGCTTTTAGGGCCTTAGGGTTGGGCTGTAGGGTTTTGGGTATTTAGGGTTGAGTTCTAGGGTTTAGGGTATCGGGTTGAGGGCCTTAGGCGAGTTTAGGGAATTCAGGCGTATTTAGGGCCAGGTCTTTGCCAAGAGGCTTGGCTGCTTTCTGGGGCCGACCTCGGCTATGGCGACCTACGAATCAGGGCATGAGCAGCCCGTCTCTTAACAGTTGCTCTTAAGCAGAATCCGGATTAGATCTTCCTTCAACAGCTCCTCTCGTAGACTCCGCTGCCAAGATGCCGTGATCCTCACTGTCCACGTCTAAAGCCTGACGAAGTCGGGAATCTTCCGCCGTGTTTTATGCAGCCACACTCCTCACCTCCGCAGCGCAGGCCCCTTTTGGCTTCGCCTTTGCCTGCGCGCAATGCTCCCAAAGCTACAGATCCCTGTCTCGGCCCTCAGTGCTTCCATGCAACCGGAGCCACCACACAAGTGCGACTTCGTGTGAAACTGCTGTATTGTTGTGCCAAACCCCACGTATATCTTCAGCTGCTCAGATTTGAATGAAGTAAAAGGGAGCGTATGGGTATCTTCTCAGCACGCACCTCGCCGGGCTCCTCCACCTCTACGACGCCCTGCGAGACGCGTTCTCGGACCCTAGAACTGTGGGAGTCGGGAGAGCAATCACAGGCATCCTGTCTGGGGTCAGTGTACTGGCTTCAACAGTGCAATGGCACACTATGGAAGCTGACTGGCCGTGTCCTAATCTACATGCATGCATGTAAAAAGATGCTATTGTATGCCAATCCATGTTAGTGTGTGTGTGTGTGTGTATGTCTGAATATGTTGCATATGTGTGTATTGTTATTGCTCTGCTTCTACCAACTACCATCTATCCGTATATCGAGTCATATACATGCATGTATACGAAAGCTACTTACTTCATCACATGAAAAAATATATATATTTATCCTTTACGTTCTTTAATGTCAATGTGCTACAGTATGGTACGCTGGCACCACCAGCCTTACATGACAGTGACAAAACCAGCACAAACATTTTCCCCCCGTAGCTAAATAAGAACTGAACCGTTCGCGAAACGCAAATCTTAATTTCCAGACCTCGGCGCTGCGCCTCGATAAGATTTGCAAACGCCTCTCTGATCTTAGTGGGCCCATATTGGTTTTCGAGGATTCCCCCAGATGCAAACCAACAAGAGCCCCCGACACTAGCACTTTAGGGCCTACCGGTTCCATCGGCAGACAAATTTAGGACCTAAGCTCTGTCTTGTGTCTTGGTGCGGTGTCCCTGTCAACTGCACGCAGGCCTCTTGCAGTTTTCGCGTGTCGTCGTCCTGGTCACAAAGTCACAAAGCATCCGGTGGCTCACTGTAGCAGCTGTAGCAGATCGTGTGCAACCCGTGCATGGGTCTCCTCTTCCTCCTCGGGCGGGCTCTCCGCAACTTCCTCCTGTACATCGGATTTCGATGCGCAAAGCACTTAGGAATGTGTGTGGCCCCCTTGTCCGCCGCAAAAGCCCTTGGAGTCAATGCTCCAAGATGTAGCAGCTGCGGTTGGGTGAGCGCGTGGCGGAATTCTGGTGCTGGTTTTTGCTGCGGTGTATGCGGATGGGGCGCGGGACTCATGGCCGCTCATCCGCTCAGCCCGAGCAAATGATACAAGGACCATTAAGATCTGTTAGGGCACTCCAGCATGCACAATATCGACCGCGTGGAAGCAATGTTTTCATGGAGCAGCTGTGCTCAGCAATATTTCCGGTCCTTCTTGCGCTTCTTGCCAGCTGCCTCGACTACTCCGTGACCACGCTGCTGCTCAGTCACCACAAGTGAACCAGTGAAGGGCTGCAGCAACAGGCTTCCATCTTTTGATTGTAAGGGCAAAGCCAGAACCACGGATTTCTCAGGGAAAATCACTAGTCTCCAGGAGACATCCTTTTGCGGACAAGACACAGTGGCTGCGGCCGTCGCTGCTGCTGCCTTTCGTTCATTGGCTTCTGCCGCAGCCGCTGCAGCAGGAGCCTTCTTGGCCTTGAAGCTTTCTGGTCGAACTCCCCACTCGCTCTACTAGTACCAAACTGTGGTTCGACGCGCAAGAGTGTTGCGTTCAGCAAGCGGGGGGGCTTGGCCCCCTGCTGGCAAGAGCTACGAAGGACAAACAAACATCACCCTAAGAAGGTCGTCGACACGTACTCAAATGCTACATAGAATCACGGTCGACACACAGCTTCCCAAGAGGTGCTTGGGAACCCAGCCTTGCTGTCTTTGGCCTTTGGCTTTTCGTCAGCCTTAGTCTTTGATTTGTCCTCAGCCTTAGCCTTTGACTTGTCGTCAGTCTTGACCTTCGGCTTCTCGTCAGGCTTGACCTTGGACTTGTTGTCCGCCTTGGCCTTGGACTTGTCGTCCGCCTTGGGCTTGGACTTGTCGTCCGCCTTGGGCTTCGACTTGTCGTCTACCTTTGGCTTCGGCTTGCTGTCAGCCTTGGCCTTGGACTTCTCGTCAGGCTTGGCCTTCGGCTTCTCCTCAGCCTTGGCTTTGCCGTCCTTGCCGTCCTTCTTCTCTATGGCTTTCCTGGGAGGGAGAGGCTTGCTTCATAACACCAAGTGCTGAACGCTTAGTTCATCAACGCAGTCGGGAATCTTGTCATCCTTTTTCTCCGCTGCCTTTTCCGGCTTTGCTGCCTGAAAAGCTCCCGGGCACAGCTCTGGGACATCCTATGCGGTCGTGTAAGGAAGGCCTTGGCTCCGGGGTCTTTTGCTTTCGGGTCCTTGCCAGGGGACCATGCAGCACTGTGCCCTGAAAAGAAGAAGGGCCCCACCTTCTTCTTGGGCTCCTTGCTTGGTGCGTTCGCCGTGTCGCCCATGGCACGCTACGTAGCACCGATGTAGGAGGAAAAAGTTTTCGAATAGGCTGACCTGTGAGAAGCTGCAGAAGACGTCTGGCAATGAAGTCCGCATGATCAATGCTCTTTATTGTGATGGGGTCTTTCTGCTTTAACGGTTGGTGGCAAGTATCATATGGACATTGGGCGGGGTGGTCCCCGGTGTGGTTGCGGCCAGCTGCGGCCCCGTGTGTCATATGAAGTCAAAAAGCGGCTGCAGCCCGAAGCCACGTCGGGCAACTCGAACAAATGGAACAAACTCCCCAGCGTCTCAGAGTCTCAGAGTATGGCTCAAGGGATCCTCTGGGCAACAAGCTATGCAGCTCAGCCCAAGCATACGCCTCGTGGATCTACGCATCGTGCGCATGGTCAGCATCCCAGTCATTACCGGTAGCCGTCAACAATGCAGCCAGAAGAGCTTAGAAGAAAGGAATGGTCCGTGGGGGCAACAGCGCATGAAGCACATGCCACCTCGAAAGATGCGTCCCGCTGTGTCCCGCGAACTTCGCACGACTGCCTGGCGCATGCAAGCGTTACACTCTGCGGGGGCCAACGCCACACAAACTGAAATTTGCCTCCCAAAAACCATGGCTCGAACCGCTCGATTGCCTGGGAGACCCTATCTGGGACCCCTCAACGTTGGCTTTTCGACCTTCCCGGGACCAGCCTAAACCTCTGAAGCCCTCCTACCTCTCTGACTCGTGGTGGAGCTGCACAAGCGCCCCAAGCCCTACCCGAGCCAGGGTGGTGCTGGCCACACTTAACACCCTTCTAGAACCTAGAAGCGCTTCTAGGAATCTGGGACGCTCTTTAGCTGCCCTTCCCTTGCACCCTTTTTGTTTGGGACCCTCCGCATCTTCGGACCTAAGTCCTGGCACTTTCCTGACCCAGAAGCAGTGATACCCAACTCCAGACAGTGCCATTTCAGCGTCTCCCCTTCAGAAAATACAGAGACTTGCCCAGCTGACAAACTTCAACTCAGGGCTGACGCAACAGAAACAACCTGAGATGCAATACCAGCGAAGCAGACCGCTTCTGAACAAGGCCCAAGAAGGAACAGGAGAAAAAGGTGGTTGTTCCACGGTCCACATTCCCCTCCAGTCTTTCGCGGTCTTGTGCTGCTCTTGAAAGCTACCCTCGTAGTACTCGTAGTTTGGAAGCCTTTGCTGTCGCATGCTGAAGTTCCCTGACCTTGAGCACTGTCAAGTGGATTCTTGGACTTGAAACCTCAACAAGGCAGGAAAGAGCAGTGAAGGAATTGCCGGCCAACTTAGCACCAGCCTCCCCAGACTTCAGCCCCGAACCCAATTCGTGTGAACCTTAAACTGGACAGACCGAATCCTTAACCTCCTAAACGGTCCTACACCCCTCAAAACTCTGAACTGAACCCTGAACCCATGCGCAACTCTGCAGGCTCTCGCTTGCAATGTTACGAGCTACGCATCAGCAACCCTTCAGTCTGCTCAAGATGGTGGTTTTGGAAAAAAAGGACCCCGAATTTCTGCCCCAAATAGGTAGGATTTCCTAAAAAAAAGGACCCCGATAAGGTACCACGAGCTGCGTGCTGCGACATGGTACCACGCCACATACAACCCTGAACCCTAGAACCCTAAAAGTCTAAATTGCTGACCTCTATAGCCCTAAACCCTAAACCCTATGACCCTATAACCCTAAACACCCTCCCTAACACCCTCTAACCCTATAACCCTAAATCCCTATAAGCAGCACTCGCTACGGTCTCCCACGGGGCCTGGAGCGGCGCAGCTTGCGACAGCTCACAACATTGGCTCAGGCCCGCGGGGGAGGCAATGGGGTTGCAAAGGGCTTCGGGTTTTGGGTTTAGGGTCTTTGGGGATTAGAGTTTGGGTGGGAGAGTTGAAGGTTCAGGGGCTTTTCAGGGTGGTAGGGGCTTAGGATTTTAGTGTGAGGGCGGCTTCTCCTTTTCAGAAGGCGTAGGAAACAGGAACCCCTTCCAAGCAGGAGGCTGAGCCCAGATGCGTGTGTCTTCCAGTCGTGTTCGCCCATCGAGGCATCGAGCAGAAATAGGGCAGGCAAGCCTTTGAATGACATGCAGCAGCTTCAGCAAGGGAACGATAGAAAAGCACAGCCCCAAGCTGCCCCTGATTGCAGGAACCCACGGCGCGCTTTTTCTTGACTCGTCGTCTGAGCTCTGTGAATGCGCTCATCTTGACGCACCTGCCTGAATGCGTCAGCAGCAGGCATACCAAAAGAAGAGCCACACTGAACGCGCCGACGCAAGCGATTGCCCCCAACATCAGCCAGCCTCTTCAGGGTCCGTATGAGAGATCACCACGACCTGCAATAAAGCGAGGCTCGTACCCTGCCACGCCTCAGTCCTCAGTAGGAAGCCTTGGAAGCCTTGAGTGGTATGACCAAGTTCCACAAGTTGCCCCGGCCTGGTGCCGAGGCCGATTGCAGTGTCGGCACGGTGGGCGCTGGCCTCAAGTCCAAGCAGAAAGCTCCCCGCGGGGACGCGCTCAAAAGCTAAAGCCAAGATGATGGGACCCTCTGTATTCTGAGCAGCTTCTCTGATCCTGAGCAACCCCACAGTCGCGAGATCACATCTTCCAATTCCTCGGCATTGTAGCAACGGAACCTGAGCTGTGGCAAGAGCACAAGTCTGACCGAGCCACTGCCGAGATAAGCCAAAAACTCAGACCCCAGCTTTCCTGTGGACGTGGGGCAAACCCCAACCTCGATGTTGACTTTACTCAACTTCTCCTCCATCACCTCGGCGCAGCACCTGCTCACCTGTACCTCTACCCTCGAACTGCTTCATGAATATCGAGCATTACGGGAACACGCCTCGCCTGGCGGAGAGTTGTCAGGGCCAAGATCTCCGCCTCTTTCAATGTCATATCCTTGTTGTACTGCTCCTGACGCAAGCTGGAAGGGAGGGGAGCGCGGGGTCCGTCATCACGATGTCTTGCGAATGTTCAGGCGATGCCAACAGTCCAACAAGCGACGAAGGCAGCTCTCTGCCTATTCTTGGCAAGATCTCTGATGTTTTTCGGGAAGCCTGCAGCATGCTTGTGGCGCCCTCTTGGGCGCTGCCGATCGCGCACGCGGCCTTAGGTGTTTGACTCACATTATCATCTGTTGTACCAACTTCTATATCGCATGAAGTAAGACCTAGACAGCTAGACACAAGATAGCTAGACACACCTGTCCTTGACATTTTACCCAGGAGACCCCCATGTCACTGCCCAGCCGCATATTTCGTGAACGTCCCTGAGGGATCCTGCATGGGGGCCGACGCAGCACGCAGCAAATGACATCACACGAGAAACTCCTTGAAGCAAGTAAACACGGGCCAACACTCACGGAGGGTCGAGCGATGTCCAAAGAGCCTCCCTAAGCTACCACGAACTACCCTGGGCAGCCCGGGTCAGAGAACTCAAAACGACCCACATACCTTGTCATTATCAAGGTGAACCAGTAGAAGGTAGAAGCTCCCATAGTCCATACTGCCCAAGTTCCAGGCCCTTGAGTCGAAAGCCCAGTGCTAAGTTGGCTCCCCCGGGTCCGTGTTGAAGAGTACGGGACCGTCCCAAGGGTCGACGCCTGCCACCAGCAGCGCCACCTGGGTATGAGAGGTGGCGTTGAAGAACATGGGGTACGAGGCATTGATCACAGCATCGCCCTGCTTTGGTACATGACCCTATTATCTTTTGCATGCTAACAACAAGTTGAACCATGTTTAACGATTCGATTCTGTGTCCACAGCACCTTTCATCTCTCATCTCTCTTCCTCTCTCTCTCTCTCTCTCCCGAACAATGATTCTGCAAGCAGGGCTGTTCCGCAAAGCAGCACCTTAAAGATGTTCATTTGCTCAGAGCTCGACTCCAAATGGGCGGCTCATGGTCTTCTTCTTCCTTGGTTGGGGCACAAGATGACTTCGTTGCCAGGAAGTTGTGGGCCAGAGGCTTTGGACTCTTACTTTCCCACTTCGTGCCTCTGCTTCGTGAATCCGCTTTTCTGTTCCAGCAAGAACAGGCGACAAGCCGTCAGAAGCAGCAAGAAAGATTTTGACCACACTGACGTGCATCCCAGACACTTGTCGGAGTCACTAAAGTCCAGTGCCATGTCAGCAATTGCCTTACTCGATCTGCCCAAAGCATCAACAAGATCGCAAAGGGCATCTGAGGGGATCTGGGCCATATAGTCTCGGAATATTGATCATATTAACAATACTAACAGTATGAATCATATTCATCATACTCATCATATTCGTAATACTAACAACTCTAGTAAGATTCATACTATCAATCATATGTAAAATGTCATAATACTCATCATATTAAGAAAGGTCACGATATTTATTATGTTTCAGAATATTGAGAAGGGGCATCTGTCCGGAGCAGGGTCCCGCACGTTGACGTTGCTCTCGATGGGCATGCGCTCGTCGTACGTGAACCAATGCGCCTGCCGGGCGCCCTCTCCCAGGCCCCCTCCCAAACTGAGTAAGGTGTAGGGTTCAGGGTTCTACGCATAGAGTCCTGTGGAGTACAGCAAAGTACGACTGACTTGAGGCGACTGACTTGAGGCGCTATACTCCACTAGCCAAAACGGGACCCGTCGTCATCCGTCTTTTTGCTTCTCTGCACAACATGCTGCACAGGATGTTTTAACGTTCCTAGAACAAGATGCGTTATCACAGGCCTTTTGCCAACATGCCCACAGCACTGGAATGCTCGCCATATGTGCCTTTTGTAAAAACACTGCAAGAGTATATAAGAGTATGATTGGTGCTTCTGCAGCCAGACGCGCTGTCACAAGTTCCATGCCTTTTGCGACTTTGGGCTTTACGATTCTTGCTGTCCCTTCTTCACTTTCTCCCTTGATTCATTCGATCTACCCTACCCTAACCTACCCTGCCCCTGCTTGTTATACAGCCTATATATACACACATATGCATGTATACATATCACACATACAGTATCTACGGTCTGATACATTATCATTCAATCATTCACATGATAGAGAAGAACATTCTAGTGCTATATTGCAATGATCATAAATAATCCGACCAAATACAAAAATGGGTGCAAAATTACATATGTTACAAATATATATATATATATACATATACGTATATGCATATACATATATATACATATACATATATACATGTTCAAGCCTGCGCTTCCACTCTGGCGTGGTCAACGAGGGTGCGGGCATCTGCAGTGAGGCCACTCATGGCACAGCCTAGGCGCACACTCAAGTGAGGGCTCACGATGTTAGGGGGTTGAGTTCCCTGAAACCGGGTGCTTAAGATGTATGGGTGCCATCATTGTTCATGGGGACCCAGGAAAGGACCCTGACTCAGGAACTACCCAGATGTTGCAGGCTTGTCGACGCCTTTAGAAGCACGCGCAGCAAGAGCTGGTCAATCAAGAATCTGGCCCATGTGATAGTCGATCTCCTTGGTGGCACGCCGCTACGCGACATGTTTTCCCATGTCTTCGTTATGTTGAGGCTTCTGCGTCATACGTTGAGAGGGCATGGCTGCATGGCTCCCTCTGAGATCTTTGATATCTTTGCAGGTCTCGACGTGCATGGTGACTTGAAGCAGTTGATGCAGCAAAGCGGCTAGGAGCTTCTCGATGGAAGAAGGATCCACAAGCGGCGAGGTCACCCTTCCAATCGTGGCTGCTGAAAAACAATATATATATATATGTGTATATATGTATACATACATACATACATACATACATACATACATACATACATACATACATACATACATACATACATACATACATACATACATACATACATACATACATACATACATACATACATATGTATATATGTATGTAAGTATTCGCTCGTCTTACAAGGATACTGTTGCCAGTCGGGCTGCCTCTTCTCTACGACCAGGATAACCTTAGCAAGGCAGAGGCTTTACGCTGGCTTGAGCTTCTGTGGGCGTAGCAGCTTGCAATGGCACCTCTTAGCGGAGGATTTCCGAGCGAACAGAACGCCGGAACATCATTGAAAGTGGGACTTGAACGGCCGTGCTCAACTTCAGCTTTTCAAAACGTAAGCACACGCTGCACCCTGAAGTCACCCTGACTCGGTCGTACCTGAGGGTGCAACACCCTCCTTGGTGCAAATGCCAATTGCTGTGGAGCCGAGCCTTAGAAACAGGGTCCAAGCTTAACATGAAGTGAGCACGCTGCGGACCTCACGTCCCGAGCGTTCCCCTTCAAACAAACCGAGAGAATCGACAGACGTCCGATGCATCCTTCTACAGTGTCCATTCTCTGTTTCAACGACAAAGCACTCTCAATCCGTTAGATGAAAAAGCTGAGCCATCATGCTTGATGGCTTCAATGGCATACTCGACCTGCTTGCCAGATGTCAGACCATGAACACGGGCGCGCTGCAACTTCACACGACGGCCACGCCTGAAAGAGTCGGCCCTCGGGCGAAAAGGTGTTAACCTCAACCGCAGCAACTCTCACACCGCCCCCCCCCCTCCGAACAATGAGGCATATTTCCTGAACAAGCACAAACCCAGCTTGAGTACAGTACCAGCAGGAGGAGTGCGAGAACTCAGTGTATCGGGAATCTAAGAAGGGCACACCGCGGTCGTACTCGCTCCTGGACAAGAAGCTCATGCCTTAGACAGGCTTTTTTAGACGGCATCCTGGCATCCGCCAATGCACACCGAAGGGCCAGAAGAGCAAAATCGAGCAATTGGCGGCATTCACAAAGCTAAGTCTTCGGCTCTGAATTGGCCCACAACGCACCTTGCAGCATGCGGAACGTCCAAGCCAAACTTGACACTAAATGTGTGGATGTAAGCGCTTCAAGTGGCAAGTGGCCCGCCCGCCTGGCTGGATCCCAGTAGAAGGTGCGCCGGCGACTGCGAGCCGACAGCCACGACGGAGACCCAGCTGCAACGTGCCGCGCAGTTCTTGCGTACTGGCAAAACCAGTGCTGCACATAACAAACAGTCCTTCTTTCGTAGACCAAATCGCTTGTGAAAGGAGCTGTTGCTGTTGCTGGCTGCCATTTACTGGCACTGGTAACGCCGCTTCTCTGGTTAAAGCGCAGATCGACTGACAACAGACTGGCATATCTGCTTTCCCCAGCAAGAACTTTCGCTGAACTCCCAGCATCTTTTCGCAACAAGGCGCAGGAGCGTTGCCTCTTTGGGTAACGTGCACTGCTCAGCAGCAGAGGTGCAGCTGACGTGTGTGGTTTGGACTTGAGCTAAGCACTCGGTATCAGAAGCCGACAAATGGCGCCGCTGCACCCTTCACACTGAGCAAGGGTCTTGGGCCTGCCACACAGCTGTCACAGTTCACCTGACATCTTCATCCCCGAGAATTACCCGGTGCAAGCTGCACAAGGCCTGCAAGCAATGGAAGGCCAGCAAGAATCCTGTGCGATGTCTTGATGGGCAGGAATATGCACAACACAGGCAAACACACATGCAGATTCAGCGCACGTGCGGAGGTTCGACTTCTTTCCCAGGCGACAGTTGTCAACTAGGAGCGTCTGCAGGCCCAGATGTCAGGGATTTGGCTTCAGAGTTTAGGATATTCGGGGCATTCGGTTTTGGACACCTTAGGTGTGCTGAAGCCGCACAGTTGCTGGTGTTGCTGATGCTCCAAACCCTCTACTCATGAGGCAGCACGTCCTGATGTCTCGCAGAGAAGCAGCACAGAGGTGAGATCATACCTGGACGGAGCTTGTGCGGTTCTGGCGCTCGGCAGCGACACTTTTTGCCTAAAGCACCTACTGTGGCGAGCACTGTACTCCACTGACAAGACTGCTTCAACCTCATCCCTGCCCGCCATCTAAGGTATGTTAGCCGAGCCCGAGCGACATGAGCTGTATACGCAGCATAGCAAATGCCTTCCCTTGCTGCCAGATAGCTGGTTTGCCCACTATTGTAACTATAGTTATCTCCAGCACAGCTTTTGCTACAGCTTTCTGGAGACCAAAGCACGGGCACCCGTGTGTTTTGCTGGACCCGGTGCAGATTTGGACGCTGGCTTCCGTCCAGTCAGGCGAGTCCATCAGCGCTTAAGTTGGGATGCTTTGGGAGATGGCAACGTAATCGTGCCAAGAGATTCCCATCATTGTTGTTTCCGAGTATGTGCTGGGCATGAACTACGAGTCAATTTCACGACGAAGTGTGTGCCTCCTGGGACTCCAGCGCAGCTTTGCTAATGAAAGGATCCGCACTTTGGGCTAAACGGCTAAACCGAGCAACGCATCAAAACACGGTACTACAAGGTGTAGTAAAGTGCGTGTGCAAGCCTCTGAGCTTGCCGTCAGCTGGTTGCAAACGCAAGGGAGATTCTCGTAAGGAAGGACTAGGGTCAGTTTGTCTACATACGTCCACAATGCTCATGTCATTTGGTCCTTTCTTTACCTCTTGGGGCTTGTGGGCGATTTCGCAATACGGTGATGAAACCTCAATAGCCGAACAATGCCTGCGTTTATGTGCACAGCAGATTGGTGGGCACCTTATGAGCGGATCTTCATCTTTGCCTTCTGGGAAGTTCTCGTCATCCACGCCGCAGGCAAAGTGTGAAGGCCTGGTTGCTTCGAGAAGTGCAGCAAAGAAATGATATGGAATGAAGGAATGAAAGCCGCGCATGCAGTCGATCTTTGGTTCTCAGTGGTTCTCCGTAATGGTGCTTCCAAACCTCTCAAAGCTCCTGTCCCGGCTTATCAAGCTTGCCCGGTCTCACGGTTGAGAACGCATTTTGCCCAGGCATGCACTGCTGCGGGGGAGAGAGCTAAGTACAAAGACACGATCGGCGAAGAGCATCTTCGCAAGGCAGTTTTAGCCGGCTGCTTTTCGAGTGGTTCGAGTTTTGCCAAGTTTAGGGGAGGTCACGTTGCACCATGGTTGCCCCTAGTCTGCGAATGCCAGAAAACATCTCCTCTGAAGTGGCATGGAATCGGCCTTGTCAGGGCTCTGTACCGATACCCAAGCGGGCCCTTGTCCAATGTGTCGTCTGTTGCCTGAATCTGGGGCCCTTGCTTGCGAAAGTCCGGGGAATCGCTGAAGAGATCGTCAAGGCTTCTTGGCCTTGCTATGATGCGAGAACACTGGGCAAGATGCAACAGCACAGGAGGATGATGGGGAGGAGGAGAGGGAGAAGCAGATTGAAAAGAGCTTGCGCATTGTGTCGTTGAGACCGCTGCTTGGGTGGTCTCAACGACCTGAGAGGAGAACTGCCTGCAACGTTCCCATTTAGAATCTCAGCCTTTCTTAATTAAAGTAAAGGCCTTTGCCTAGGCTTCCGCACAGACAATGAGCCTTAAGGGCCTAAATTTTAAACGGCCGAGGGCCTAAAGCACTTCCAGAGCAGGCTCTCGGCATCTGCTTCCCCCCCCTTCCCCGCCAGATGCCTTCGCGTGTGGTGAGCTCGGCGCTGAAGACGCGGAAGGTGCCGGCCCCACTGGGCAGCAGCCGCGGCAGCAACTGGGCACCCAGTGTTCTGTGGTTGTGGTCATGTGCCTCAATTTGTCTCGACTGCAAACCTCTTAGGCTACCAAGGTGGCTCAGATCTAGAGCTGCTGATGGTGTGGCTGGCTTGCAGACACTGCGCAAACGACACACACACACACAACGAGCACACTCACGCCTGTTTCTTCAGAGCATCTGACAGCATGTGCTGAAGGTTTCTTGTTGTTTTCAAGCTACCGCAATGTGACATGCAAACTGCAGCAGTTCTGCTGCCGTGCATCACCATTGCCGGATGTCAGATTGAAATACGCCATGAAGTGAAGCAAGCGCCTCACATAGTGTTTTCGACATATGCGGAATGCGCAGAAAATATGACCTCCTCTGGACTGCATCTTCCCTGATGAGCCAGTTTTGAAGCCTGACAAACCAGGCGGCTTGGCGGGCAGTGGCCTTTTATGCCGAGCAAGCAGTATTCCCTGCGGACTGCAAACGGAAAGGGAAAGGGTATCAATTGGCGCATGTCTGACCGGCAGCCACATCAGTAGACGGTCAAACAGAGGCTCTCAAATACATTGATTTCCTTAGCTGCAAGCAAGGAAGTGTCCTTCACTGCGTGGCAGTAAGCAACTTTATGACACTTTCACAGCCATGGGGAGGGAGAGAAAGGGTTGGACGGAAGAAGGAGCGTGAAATGCTTGGAGCCAGGCAACCTGCCATGTTCCTCTTCATGTGAACCATATTGACTGAGCCTTTCCTCTGTGCATGGTAGTCCCCAACTTCGCCCGTCTCAAGCAAATCCGACAAGTGGCACTAGTTATAGCTACCCATCGATCCGACGCTGAATCTCAAGTGGCTTGAAGTTAGGAAGGCATCTCTCAGACCCTCTCTAGATTCTGTTGAGGCTCCATTTCTTCCAGCATTGGCCTGATCACCCTGCTGGAAACACTGCGTGCAGCTGAAACCAGCTTCACATAGCTGGTTCAGCTTTGACACGGGCTGTGTTGCAAGAGCGCTTCACTGCTTTCGAACCTTGCGGGTGCGTGGGGCGGGGCACGCAACGGCAGTGGCACAATCTGTGGCAAGACATCCCTGGTCCGGGCCTGCGCCTCCAAACATGTAGCGTGCTTGGAAATCTGGGGAGATGGGCCGAATGGCCAGGCACATCGCTTGAAAAACCTGCAGGGCACGCAGAAATCATGCGCAGGTTTCAAGGGTTTCAAACGGTTTCAACAAGTGCCCTGGCCAGAGCTGGCCTCTGGATGACCAATGCGAAGATTATCGAAAGCCTGTATGAGGGGCAGCCGTTGCTGTGGCTTGGCCTCTGCCTCTTGGACTGCAAGCTCGCGAGCAACCATAGTGAGCACCCACTGGCTGCTCACAGAGTCGGCCAAAAAGGAAAGCGTACTCAGCGACACCAAAGCAGAGACAAGCACAGGAAACTTCCATGCGGATCGTGGCCGGTTTTGGAATACCTCAGCCGTTGCATCACAAACCAACTTGATGCTGGCCTCCAGGCTGTCCACCATCGCCGGCTGACGCTTGCATAGCTCTGCAAACGCCCACAACATGTTCGTGATTTCGTAGCTCTGGCAGGAAGCCAAGTTGCGGCAAGCGACCCGTCCCACAGAATCAAAGAGTCCAGCCCGGAAGGCACGCAGGCTAGCACAAGACCAAACAATGATCGAGGCACAGGTCACAGGCATTGTGCCATCCTGATTTTGTAGCTCGTGCTCAGTCATGTTCTCGGCCACATCCTGGAAAGGGAGAGTAGATCGGTCGCATGGACTACCATACACATCCATACACCACCACTCTCTCCAGCAAACACTCAGCACAGGTCCAACAGGAACTGAAAGATGCCGTTCTCCACAACCTGCGCATCCAAAAACCCATCTCTCATGAAGGCCCTCTTGGCACAAATCCAAGCTTTCAGAAGCACCTAGCTGAAGGGCAGGTGGAACGCACCGCAAGGAAGCACGAAGAGCAGCAAACCACGTTACGGGTAGAGAATGGCAGGAGGGCACCAGGGTCAGCGCGAAAGAGACACCACATGACCCAACTTGAAGGTCATGACTCCATGCAAAATATTGCATGCCGCAAAATGATGCAAAAGACAGCGCGGTCAATCCGCACCTCCTCGGCCACAGGTGTACCCTGACAAACCTCACCAAGTTCTAGGAAGCTTGCATTTGCAGAGGAAAGCAAGTCTTGCTTTGTCATACTCTCTGACCAATTTTTGAAATTTGCGCTTTTCCCCCCGCTGCCTTTACAATACGGTGGAGGGCCGTGGACAAGTTCACCGCGTTCATGTCGTACAGATATGCCTCCGAGAGTTCCAGCACCTGCAGAATCTGACATCGTCACTGGCATCATGCACCAGAAGAAACACAAAAAACAATTTAGGGTTTCGGGTTCAAGGTGCATCTTGTGGGCCAGTTGCGTCAAAATTCCCCCCCCCCGACGACGACACAGGCTCTCATAGATGCCTTCTTCAACTTTCCACGAGTGACTCCCAGAGCACCGAGCGTTACCGCGAGAACGCGGACATCCAGAATCGTTTTGTTGGGGTCGCATGAAACAAGGATCTTTCAGTGTGTATACAGGAGGCCTTATTCACACCTAGTGATCCCTAACCCATATGCATGGCGCTCTAGCAAGAGAGGACGCCTCCCGGACCCTTCCCTGTCCTGTTTCGGGCCCGCTGCGCGCACCCGGCAACCCAGCATCATGAGAATGAGGTTCCCCTCAAATCCCACAGCTGCCCGAAAAAGCGTCCGAGTGGACGCGCCACATCCTAGGGGCTAGCCACCGGATTTGGCCCCAAAATTGGGGTGTGTTTTCCCACTCCCCTAAAGAACAACCATACGGATCAGCTTGCGCAGAGTCTGGAACGAAGCCTCTCCCTGAACTTGAGGGGAGAGCTTTCGCAATAACCATGTGGTGAGCCTCATCTCATGTCAGAAGTCATGCATAGAGGCATACGTAGTCATGCTTGAGGTACTGATGCAATTGAACTAGATGGGCTTGCCGTTGCCAATGTCACGGGTGCCTTGAATGCGCACTCCGGTTCCCCATTCCTGCTGGCCCTGACGATCTCCTGTGATGTCAAGAAGGGCAAGGAATGACCAGCCCGTAAAGAAGCTTATATAGACAGGCTTTTGAACGAGGGTCCTTGTTGATCTGACGTGGATCCAGGCTGTCACTGCTCTCCAAGCTCACTGCGTTGCTGTGTGGCGACTGCTCGACACCAACTTGGCACTGGAGTGTGTCAGATTGCGATTCACCCACCGGGCTCACTAAGCTCACTGGGCTCCAGCCATCAATTGAGCCGCCAATATCGCCAGTGTAGGTCTTGTACATCACGTTGCACTCTGCGTGCGCGGAACTCGGGCAGTCCTGCGAGTCCTGTGTGCCCGGACCGGTCTCCTTCGTTTCGACCTCATCCGTCAGCTGGAAAGCCTCACACCGTCACGAGACACGGGTGCTCCAACAATCTCCAACATGCCTCTCGAACACGAACCGAGTCATAGCGAGCCCAAAAAAAGAAGCTCATTCTCTCACCAAGGTGGCCAAGGCTGGCAAGTCATCAAGGCTGGAGCATGTGCTGCACGTGTACTCCGCATTGGGACACGTGAACGAGCGGGGCGGTGGCGGAAGATCCGCTGGCTGCGAGTGCGAGAAGTGAACGAAGGTGTTCTTTACCTGGGGGAGAGTTGGCACGTTTGGGTTTGGGAGGGATGTGATTAAGGTCAGGTGCGAGATTGTGCTTGTTTTTTTTTTCTGGCCCTCTTGTTAATTGTTGACGGGCCAAAGGCGTTTTGAAGACTTCGACCCTCAGAAGGTTCATGGTTTGGGGCTTGGCTTGGTGTTATGATGTTTACCGGAAAGTTGCCGAACCAGTCTGGCGAACCATGACCAAGGGCTTTTACTCTTCGAAGCTTTTGTAGCCAGAAGGCGCCGAAAGTCTCAAGTTGCTCCCGCCGGTGGCATGGAAGGTTGGGGGTGACCCCACCCTAGTGATGGCAGACTTATGAAAATCCTTCTTTCAGGTGGGGAGTTGGAGGGGGAAGACCAAGATTATATTGACCGGGCGCTGGCATCTCTCCGTTGTGCTCCATTGTCAGTCCTGGGCTCAGGCTGCTCGGGACTCTTCAAGAATCACCCTCTAAAGGCCCAGTGGCTTCAAAGGATCGAATGGCGCCAGGTGATACTAGCTGATCGTATAGCTGCTTGAGCTATCATCGGCTGCAAGTGTGGCCTGTTGCCTACTGCTACAGATCTGGCTACCAGCGATTCAAATGGGCAGAAGACTGGGAGCAGTGTGATCATGATGCAGAAAGCCATCGCTTGTCAATGCCTCCTCTTGAAGCACCGCTCTGGTGGCGTACCTGCTCGGCTCGGTGCAAAGCTCTGAAAAAGGCAGCGCCGAGAAGCTCAGAAGGACTGCTCACAAAGTTGCTCGCTACACTTTGTGACTCTCAAATCATTGGATTTGAGTCCTCGCGCTCTGTTCTTGAACTCTCGGCTTTTGGTCCTCTTAGACTCTTAGCTCTCGCGAATGCTCGAATGCTCTCTCTTCTTCTTCTTCTCCACGCTCAAGAGGGTCCCCCCAGCTCTCTCTCTCTCTCTCTCTCTCTCGCTCTCTTGGGGGAGGTGCTGTCGCAGGAAAGCCAAGGAAGCGAGGCGGGGAGCTTCGTCGGGAGGCACACCCGCACCCTCAGAGAAATGCCACGAGACAGGCGCAAGAAATATCACTAAGCCCTCTAAACCAAGAAAAAAGAAAATCGAAACGATAATCGAAACGACTCGTAGCACCGTAATGAAGCATGAAGCACACGCAATACCCGTGGCCCTGACAAGCTCCGCAGGGCCATCCAACAGGTCTACGGCTGAGGCCAAGCCTTGCAGTTTTGCCGAGTTCGAGAGGCGACGTTGCTCTGAGTTGCTCTGGTAGACCGGCATACCGAATCCCAATGACTCCTGCACTACGCATTCTTGATTCAAAGCTTCAACAGGACAAGCGGCCCTCATCAGCCAGCTTCAGCCGCAGGGCAGGTACTGGCACCTTGCAGCAATCCATCTGCAATCCATCTGCCATTGCTAGGAGTGACAAAGGAGAGCGCAGGCCTCCGCACAAGGGGCAGTGTCTGCCAGCGCCCGGACGGTCTCGACCCTGCAAATGTCGGTGCTATGCAAAGCAACGGCTCCGCTCATGAAATGGCACTATTTCACATGTTTCTCCTGAGCCGCCGGCCACAGTAGCTGTTCCAAAGTCAAGCGATCCTCTGATACATCGCCGCGTGCCGAGTCTGCATCCTGCGGGGCGAGTCTCAGCTATAGTGCCTTGCCTGACCCTGTACAAGGCCATGGGGTGGGTCCTCACGCTGCCACGAATTGATCACCAAGAACTCCTCCTCCTCCTCCAAAAGCTGCAGACAGAGTGCGGCGGAATCAATCCTACGCAGTGTACTCTTTCTGCACTCAGGATTTCACAAACATTCGGGGCACGAAAATCAGGAGAATGGCTGCAAACCTGTGGTCCACAGCACCCTTCAAGGCAAACCGCCTTTTTGTTCCAGCGAGGTCGATGCTTCTGATTGCAAAGCTACGTAGCACTCGGAGCTGTGAAAAGACAATGTGGACTATACAGCACAAGAGATATCACCAGCAGCTCACAATGCATGCCCTCTGACATGGCTATCTACCCCACTTTTCTTGTTGCTCGAGGCACTTGCTGAAACGACTCGCTTAACCTGGCACTACTTTGGTGACCTCGCATTTCTTACGTCCCCTTACCATACTGTAGGAGCAAAGTAAGTAGGAGTACAAACTTGCCGGGTGTTTGTCGTTGACATCGGTTTTCCCCGTGTGTGTGTTTGTGTGTGTGCATCTCGGTGTGCATCTCGGTGCGCATGCTCAGCCCTGGTGAATTGTCGGCCTCGAGGCCTCGAGGGTGCAGCTTGACTTGTGGCTCCTCACACCTCGCAGCCTCGCAGGCCACAGGAATCGAGGGGTAAGGCAAAGGCCCACGGGTCCGAAGGCACATCAGCTTTCGCTGCTGTAACCCCGCGGATTCTTGAGACTTGTGCAAGAATCAGCTGGAACCGCCCCCTCCCGCAGCTCACGATTGCAAAGAACTATCAAGCTGAGCAGGCAAGGCGACAGAGCTTTCGTGCCCATCGACATCCACATGCTCCTTTCTTGCTACCCTTTCTCACTTGTAGTCTACTTGTAGTTGATGTATTGACTGTCCCCCTTCTCGACGGATTTTGGAGTCTCGATACATGGGAGTCGTGGGATGCGATGCAGTCGCCTGAATTGGGTAAACCTCGCCTTCTGCCCACCCCTGCCACAACAACTTAAGTGGTAGGTGGTACGTGCCTGGACATCCCGGCTTCTCAGATCTGCTTGAACCGTAGTCTTGCTTGTGGCCGCCGTTGCTTCCGAACACGTCTTTGAGCACGGGAGCATACTCAACTGCTCACACTATCTCAATCGATCTCGGCCAGCTCTGCAGCGGTGGGCATCAAGGCAAGCAGCTATACAAAACTGTAAATGTCTACGCAAATTCCACTTCCACTTCAGCCGGAGTCGAACGCAAAGGATCCCTGTTGCAAGTCATAAACAACGTCGTAAAAGTCTGGTACGAGTCAAAGAGGTTGGCTTTGGACGCGAATTCGACTCGTACAGCATCGGAAAGCACGATCAATCAACTACGGCATCGAAGGCACCTTGGACAGGCTCGGCAGAGATGGGCAGTGCGGTTAACACATGGTCTGCCGTTCAAGGCCAAGGAACAGTGCTCAACTGATCTGCAGAGGCTAGAGGCTGAGCCAGCAGGTACATTCAGCTAGAGCATATACCTGTATACAGATGTATACAGTATATCATGGATGAAGCCAACTTAGCTCCACAAGCCGCCTCCCCACCCCAACATCGTCTCGCAATGCAGATACGCCGGATACGCAGACACCTCACGCAACGTCTCCGCTGTGATCCACCGTTTCAGGCTTCATTTTCTTCGATCTCTCGATCGCTCATTGTCCAAAGCTCATGCTCCCCTACCGGGCTGTTCTCCCAACATCTTCGCTGTCTCGGAGGCTTGAGGCTGCCCCCGGCCCCCGCCCCCCCCCCCCCCTCCCCGGCACTCGAGCCAATCTGGGCAGTAGGCGGTGGCATTTTCGCCGCATCTGTGTATGCTGGCAGAGAAGCGGCGGAGGCAGAAGTCCAGGCTGCAGGAGACTGAATACTCTGAATGGCACGGCTCAGACACAATCTACACAAAAGAAGGCTTGAAGGATTCCAAGGACAAGCGTCGTAGCGAAGGCATGTATAGCCCGCGCTGGCCAAGGTGGTGCCGATGCCATCTTGCCTTGTCCAGATCTCACCTGTGCAGCGAAGCCACTGAAGCTCACGTAGAAGACAGTGAGGCATGGCACTGTGGCCCTCTAAGATTCGGGCACCGACCGCTTGTGTGGTACTCGATCCTTACTGTGGCCGTCACACTCGGGATGAGTTCGCGGCATCTTCACACGTGGAGGACAATGGGACAAGCCACCCCCACACTTCAGTCACATTATCTGACTGTGTTTCGACTGCACGCGAGTTCCTGATTCGGGATTCCCTTGCTGGTTCAAATGATGCTGCCGCTATAAAGCCGATTCGGGGGCCATAAAAAAAGGTTCGAAACGCACCGCCAGGGATTGCTCAAATTGGGAGAGCGATGAAAGGGCGTCTTGTGCCAAATATGCTCAAAGAGTGGGCTGTGCAACCCTACACCCTCCTAACCGTTGCACCTCTCCTCAAGTCTCAGGCATGCCAGGCGTCCCCTTGCATCCAACAGCAGCCACACAGGATGCCTTGCACTCCTCGATAGAGCCCAATGAGTTGAGCACCGTGAAGTAGGAGCCTCAGATGCTCAGACGGATGCCCCGGCTGCTTCGATGCGGACATCTACACTGGTACAACATGTTCAAGCCTTGGGTGTCTGCTGCCGAGGGTCCAAGGTTGTCACCTGGGCCTGAGCCGCGGCACACCTGCCGCAGCATCAGGAGCGAACTGCGACAAGACTGTGGCAGGGTGGCAAGCACCCGAAACCCTGAGCCCTAAACTACCCTAAAGAATACCCCTAAACCCTAAAGCCTCAACCGCCTAAACCCTAAACCTGCGCTGACCTGGCCAGTACCGTCGCCATCCACCGGCTGGAAGAGTGTGGGATCCACAGTCGTCGTGGTCGGAACGCTTGGGATGTAGACGAGGCAACGGTAGCCTTTCGAACATTTCCATACTCTCTTGCTTACCCAGCTACCTAGGAATAAGAACGAGTACCGTGTTTGGGCTCATGCAATTTTTTGAATCATTGGGACCCTAACCCAAAGAAAGTAAAAAAAAAATGGTTCCTCTAAACCCCAAACCTTAAACCCTTATAAAAACCCTAAACCTGGACCCTAAAGCCCCAAAAACCGGAGCCGTTGGCAACTTCCTCCTTCAAGGCAGAGGATCCCTCTGCCCCAACGGTGGCTCCGATCCCTTCGGGTCGAGTCCTTAGCGCATGAGGGCGCGGGTCAGATCACAAGGGAGCCATACAACGCTTCGGGGCCTTCTGAATGCAGGCACGTGTCCAGACTTCACATCTGCCAGCACCCTCATTAAACTCGATGCCCTTGCCTGATGATCGGGAATTCATTACAGGAGCAGCGCACATCGATGCCAAGAAAACTGATTCCACAAAGCGCACTGATGACGAACACACGCGCGCACACACACACACACACACACTCATGAGCTACACAGCCGCAGACAGGCCCGCTTAGGTGGAGACATGCAAATCACCGCTGAAGTCGTGTTCAATCCGAGCTGCAAGTGGAGGACACCGCCAGGCACTCCGCCTGTCTTAAGGCAGAAAACATCCTTTGCTGCAAGTCATGGCCTTTAAAAAGGCCTTCCTACTAGACGACTAGAATAAGTGAATAAGTATTGGCTTGCCATGACTTGTCAGGCAACGTCGAGCCGACGATGGGGTACAGCTACAGGCTGCTAAAGGCCTGACAGGCGGAGAGAGAGCTGACACCCCAAAACACCGTGAAGTACTCGGCCAGGTTGTCGCCTGTCAAGCACCCCAGGCTCCCCCTGAAGGGAAAGCTTGCACTGGGTTCAGGATTGGATCTGCCAAATAGTACTGCCATGTCTTGGTGAAATTCATGTTTGGCGAGAGGATGAGGCGTGTGTGCTGCCTTCGTGGAGCTTTGTGGAGCTTTCTGCAGCTTCGTGGAGCTTTGTGTGTGGCTCACTGCATCCGAGACTCCTGGGCCTGAGCCGCGGCACACCTGCCAGGCACGCGGAACCGCCCCGGTGTCATATTCATTACGCATTGGTGCTCTTCTCCTTCAATGTAGTACTGTATGCGTATACGGATGATAGCTGGCTACTTCTCTTGTTGCTAGAACATGCTAGCGAAACAGGCGCCTGGTCTGAGCCATCGCCTTGGAAGCCGCGGAAGAGGGCCTCACGGGACCGCGCATCTTCGAGGAAAAAGCTTGCAGTCAGCAACTACTTGCTTACTTGCCTGCTGTTTCCCCACAACTTTCTTACCACTTACCCACCACTTGCCTACTACTTACCTGCCACTTGCCTACTACTGACCTACTACTTGCCTACTACTTACCTACTACTTACCTACCAGTTCAGCTGAAGTTCAGGGTCGACCGTTGTCGTCGTTGTTGTGCTCGGCGCCTGTGTCAGAACATAAGAAACCACATGGCGCCATGCTCACAACAACGATGATACTGGCAAGGATGATAATGATCATCTTCATCACCATCATCATCATCACCATCATCATCATCTTCATCTTCATCTTCATCATTATCACCAATATCATCATCATCATGTTGAATCATTGAAGTCGCTTCCCACTTCGACTCATCGATGGCGGCCAAGTGCAGCAAGCACTGTACTCAAGGCATCATCTCCAAGATCCCCACGTTCGGCAAGTACCGAAGACAGGTGTAGCCGGTCAAAGTCGCCGTAGCACCGATTCCAGCTGTTCTGTTCCAAGTCTCGCATCTCCCAGATCCTGGCACCGAAGGGAGTAACTACAAACAGGGTCAATGAATAAAAACAATCAGAATAAGAATAAGAATAACCATACTAATAATAATAATAATAGTAGCAACGATACCCAGAATAGTCATGACAATGGGGGGCTTCAGGATGCTCGAATGGCTCACCGTGATCCGACTGATAAAAATCGACAGTCACGGTCCGAAGTTGTACTCGATGCCCACGCACCACGTTGTGCTGGCCTTGCTTGCAAATAGCACACAGGGTGCTGCATTCTCTGCACGCAAGCTTGCTTCCGCATCACATCCGATCACGAACACGACTAAACTGTAGCAAGACACGCAATCCTGCTTGCACT